CCACCGGAAAACTGTTTCTTTATTGGGTGCAGCATTCCACCGTTTCATCATACTAATTGAGTCATATTTTGTTGGTATGCTCTGTGTTACGAAAGCTGTTTTCCGGCTCACTATCTTCTACATTAGTTGGCATCGGCTGGTTACGGCTGTGGCAACCAAATTTATGTTGTTGAGAGACAGCCAACAACCTTTTGTTGAGAAAGCTGTGTGCTTCCCAATTTTGTGAAGCTGTTACATCTTCGAATAGCTTCAACTGGGTGGTGGAATACTTGTGCGTTTGAATAGGATAACCATGTTCTTCACATGCAAACGTGCTACTGAATAAACAGCACCAACAAACTCTTCAAGCCTTTTTCTGTCTTCCCTCTTAAACCTGTAAGTAAAGAATCAACATTAACAAGACTACTTGATATCTATATATATTTCAATTACTAACATTTCTGGGAAGTCAAGTTACTACTTTAAATAGAAGACGTTATTCCAGTATTTCTGAGTGAGTAGGCTTCTCATCTTTTACCCTCCATTTAGCTTTCCTACTAGTTTCAGTAGACTGGACTCATGAAGTTCGAAACCACAGGGTCTGTGCGTGCTTATTAAGTCTATGAAACACTTGTATCTCTCTTGCTGACCTCTGAGCTTGAGGGTTCCGAGAGAGGGCTTGTCATGTGACGCAGTTGGGTGCTTTTCGCAGTGTGTCCTATCCACTTCCACCGCTTCTTCCTCATTTCCTCCTCCACTGGGATCTGGTTCGTTCTCTCCCACAGTAGGTTGTTGCTGATCGTGTCTGGCCAATGAATACGAAGTATTTTGCGTAGGCAACTGTTAATAAACACTTGTATCTTGTGGATGATGGCTTTCGTAGTCCTCCAAGTTTCCGCTCCATGCAGTAGAAATGTCTCGACTTTTGTATTGAAAATCCTGATTTCGGGGTTGATTGATATTTGTTTGGAGTTCCAGATATTTTTCAACTGTAGAAATGCAGCCCTTGCTTTGCCGATCCGCTCCCTCACATCTGCATTGGATCCACCTTGGTTGTCGATTAAACTACCAGGATATGTAAAGGTGTTTACGTCCTCCAAGGCAACTCCATCAAGAGTGATTTGGTTGGCGCATGTTGTGTTGCATCGCAATAAAACTCAGTACAGGGATTTCCGGAGTATTCTTTCCATTACACCAAGTTTATCGTTTGATATCCGAGATTACATCAGGATCACCACTTAGGATGTTATAGATATTTATGGATAGATTTTGTCCGTAATACTTTTTAATGGAGGATCATAAACTTGGTCACACCATAAGTGGGGAACGACAGCGTTGGCAGATTTGTCTGGACGGTAAATGACACGTCACGAGGTATGTAACCAAAACTAGTCAGTTGTGGCCAAGGGTTCGTAGTTCGGGGTACTTAATGATGATATGGTGTAGATGCGTAATCACGAGTCTTTAGCTAGAGTGTCTAGCGAACTAAAGTGATCGAAATTACAGAACTAATTGTTTTGAGGGTTTATCTGTTGCTAGTGGGACATAGATCGGATTAAGGCATGATTGCGTTGCTGCACGCTAATTCGCTCTGTCGTATCCAATCAGCGCTAGCCGATTCTGGGGGAACACTCTAGAAAACTATAAATACACTAACTTTTTTTCCTTCGTACCCTCTGTCTTCCATCTAAACTTGTTACTAGAATATAATCTTGTCGGGAACGTTAGATCACTAGGACTCACCCGATAAGGCCTTTTCTTTGAATTAGTTGACCCTGAGACCACATTTCCAACCAAGAAAATCCTTGGCCGTGATCGGTTGATGTGTTATTTTAGCATGCTATTTTTGTGACTCTCTCATGAAAGTTTCTACAATGTATAAATAAGCGCGATTTGTATGCTTGAGATCACTATATTTGCTGGGTCTTTGTAGAATACACTTTCTAGGCCACTGCAAGACCTTTTTCCAGTTAGGTAAGGTAACGGTCCAGACTAGCCTACTGTGTCAGTCGGCCATTGTATCGTTCATGTTTATCGACTAAGGTGAACTCGTCATAGTTTCAAGCATATCAAGTGACAAGCATAAGAAACCTATTTCCCGTTCAACCGTATTCTGATTTGGGAGAACGTCCCGAGTGAATCGGTGTCCAAGAATACTAAGCACTAGCAATAGTCGGTTTTTAATAAGAGAGAATTATCACACCTATTCGCACAAGAAGCACGAGAATTTGGAGAATTAATCGACTCAATGAACAAGTGAAGTATAAGAACAGTGGTCCACGGATCAAGTCCCAAAACAATCCATTTGTCGTTAAGAACCAGACAGACAAAGCCGAAAATACTCTAAAAGCTTTTAATTTCTGGTGTATATGGCTGAGGGCCATATTACAGAATATTCACCCACAAACTTAGAAATCAGTACTGAACAGAGAGTGCGGAGTTCAACACAGTCGAATTCCTCGGATAAATTTAAGAAATCAGTATATTCAATTGATTAACATCCAAACACCTTGCCTGCTTACCAACTTATCGCTTTACTCATTAATTTTTAACATTATTTCAACTCTTTTTTTCACTTTCTCCTCGTTCCAGCTCCCTGTCCTTCCTATTTCCAAACTACCTATTAATCGACTCATCTTACAAATCATACCATTCTTTTACTTAAAATCAGTGTGATATGCTATGCGGATATATTGTCTGGCAAAGTTGTCTGGATTGCTTGTAATGTTGGAGCTAGTAAAGAATGTTAATTCCGATAAGGTGTACAGAAAAAATTGAGAGTAGACTGGAGACCATTATTTACAATTAACCGTTAAACGTAAGAGAGCCTAACATCACAGAAGGAGGGAGGGTGGTGTATCTGACCAGCATTCATGACGGTGGGGCAGTAACCTCAATCTACCCATGTCTGTGTGGCAGAAGATTTTGTTTGCTTAGGGCTTCTTAAGATATAGCAGGATGTAACAAATCAGCGATATTGATGTTACTTTTCCTTATTAACCTCGTCTACAACTCATGTCTGTAACCTTGCACTGGTTTTTACTTCCTACCGAGAAATCCTATTACAAGCTGGTCTGGACAACTGTAATACAAAAAAGAGCTCATTCATAACTTCTTGAGCCGCAGAGTTAAAAATAAAAAGAATAAATAAAACAAAAAATTATATCACTGAGCCTCTTTATTATATTTTATAAATCAACATTATTACTAACAAATTGGTTCTTCTGAATTTCCTCTATTCATTCGACTAACTTCCCATTAGTTATCTCACTACTGAATTGTCTTCGTTAACCTACATAAGTGCAGGTGTACAGTTTTTGTTATGATATTAAAAAAGTCTGAGTAAACATACCTTTGTTTTATCCATAAACGTATGTGCAAAGCCGTTGTTCGGCTTTGAACAAGAATATTCACTGTTCCGCTCCTCGTCCCGTTTTCTTTATTTCTCTTTTTTCAGAACCTTATTCCAATCCTCGTATATTAGTCTGGATATTTGCAGTAGACTTGGTTACCCTACCCAGGAACATGTGAAATCATTAGCTGATGAATATCGACCAGACCTTTGTATATTTACCGCATCAATTCTTGTTATATGAAAACCTATCTCTAACATGAATCATTTCTCAGTTCATAAGATGATTGTCGTAACGCAACCTTCGTAACTTGCGCCATTTATTCGCATTGTACATTCCATCTTTAGGAATCCAATGAATCTCGTGAACTGTTTCAGTAACTGTATACCGTTTTAAAAAGAAATATGTTGCTAATCTTAACATTTTGTTTTTGCCTGTAAATTGGCATGTCTCTTGTAACATGTTTGTTATTTGAGAATAAATTATTATTATTATTATTATTATTACTATTATGTACCGGACAGTTAAGTTATTCCAGATGGTCAGCGATATTTTAATACTTGATCGATTTGCGATTTGGATAGAACTAAGATCACCTTGTGACTCCAAATAAGAAAATAATACAACCTTCACAAATCTCTTTTACTGTTAGAAATCATATTCTCAACAGTGACTAATTTCAGGATGCTTTACTGGAGTTCCAGTGAGAAGTCGTGTTTATTGAAGATCAGTCCGTGTGGAATGGGAAATAGAAAAAAGCTGTGCAACATAGTAGACTAACTGACACTTCAAACAGATTTCTTGTTTGAAGAAGGCCTAGGAGCTCAACACAGGTTCCCGGGAGACAGATCGTGTGCATCTAATCTTCTCATAGCATGGGACAGTTGGACATCCTGCTTGGACCGAAAAACACCGGTGCACATAATCTTTCGTCTCTTTGCGAAAGCCTTTGACATAGTACCCCACTCACAAACCTTACGAAAGCAGACACAAGCACTTGGGATTATTCCCATTGAATTACAGGAGAATCAGAGGCGATATGATTATGGCGTTCAACATGCCTTGAAACTTGCAAGTTATTATTGCTGCCACCTCCTCAGATCACTAACTTAATGTATCTCGCATATTATCTCTGTTTCCTCTCACCTGCTTACACTTCAGTCCTCTCGCATAATCTTCGCTATCAATTAATAAACTAAATTATCCATTATTTACTTAGTCCAGAAATCTTACTCCTATCAGCACTAAAATTTTGTCCTTATTATTCTACATATTGCAACTAAGTGATCTCCGGTCTGGTAGTGTGATAGATGCTGTTGTCCAGAAACCCTACTGCCCTGAAACAAACGTACTCATTCAAATCAAGGGACATACATGTTCATAAACAACTGCAAACTGACTAGAATTAGGCAGTCAAGCGGCTGGACCGCCATTCATTTGACACTACTAAACACCTGGAAACTCACCGAAACAGCAGGAATCGAGCGCGAAGAAATCGTGCTCGCGAAAAAGATATTGGATATTGGAAGAGAGTAGTAATAAAGAAGCAAAGTCGATCTAGAAACTATTTTAGGCGACTGCTTCAGACCTTTTTCTCTCTGATAGGTTTATGTGGGCACCAGAACCTCTTTGTCTATTCATTTGTTTTTTGATATCAGGGATCAATAAGGAAGTTGATAGCGCGCTCCTCAACTCTATGGAGGTTGATGAAATTGCAGATGAGTTGCAGGTTTTTGGGCTTAGAGTTGATGATAAGACCGTTCTTGAAAAATGTAAATAACATATCAAAGATAACTGTCCGATCTAGTGAGTTTGTTAAGCGACAGGTGGGGTCTAAATGCAACTACACTCGTGGAGAAATATGTTGCGTTTCAAAGGAATACTGATCTACCTGATCATATTTCATTAAAAAATGTCGAACTTTTCGATAGAGAAGTAAATCTTATTATGCTTTGTAAATTCGCAGACATCGGCAAAACTTGATGTCGCTAAAAACCGCACACCTAAATCACATGTTCCAAAATCAGCAAAGAACTTGCTGACCAAGAATATGTTACAAGAACTGTATGATTATCATTTTAACCCTCATTTTCTAGGATTGTTGCAGAAGCGTGCAGTGATCAGCAGGATCTGCTGAGTTCCTATGGCATCTCTAAGTCATCAATCCCCAATCCAACTACACGATTCGATCCGTCAAATAAAGGTACCTTCAAAGGTTGTGCACAAATGTAGCCTGGTTTTACTTTTAGAAAATGAGTCTGAAGTTGGACCATTTAACACTCAGTTGATAGCGTCTTATCCTTCAAAAACCGTTGACTTGCTTATCCCTGGTGGCTTAACTGATTCAATCGACTGGACGCCAACTCTGCTGACAGCGGGAACTTATGGAAATCGGTACATGAACCAACACACGATAGAGAATGCAGAAAGTAAATCTAATTTCGCTATTAAAAACCTTTAATTTTACTAGTTCTAATGAGATTTCTTTCTTGTTATTTATTCGTGCTTGATGCCTGTTAGAGGTGTGGCCGATTAATACTATTATTATTATCATTGTTATTATGTCAGGTTGCTTCGAAATTCCGAAAACATGAATTCGGAATGCTGTTTCTATATTCAAGAACATCTGGATCTAACTAACTTATTTGCAAATACATGTTTATGTATTTCTCTTAAGGCTGTAATTTGAGTTGATGACAGTCGGTGGTCGCGGTTAGTAGACCCAGGATTAAACATGTAATCTAATGGTCCTAAGTTTTTCTGTTCTGCTCTTAACTGCATCTGCAGAAATAGCTGATAATCCATATCACGGCGACTGCTTCAAGTCGTTGATAACCATACCTTCTCACCTTTCAGTTGTGTAGCAGTCTCCATCGAACTCATCGTACATTGAGACACCTAATTATGGGCTTGGCGCAGAGCAATCCAAACCTCCTAGGTACTTTCGAATTTGTCCCGTCTCACTTACTTTCTAATGTCTGTTTAAATTAGTAACCCAAGAAAGCCTAACATGAAAATGCCCCTAACTTGCAGTGGCACTTCTCTCATATATGCAGTGGTTAAGATCCCAAAATCACTTATTTTTGGTGGGCTAATTAAGTTAATCAATTTCGCGCTCAGTTACCTTATCCTTTCATTGAAGTAATTTCTTCTACGCTGAATTTTCTAACTCTTAATATTATAGTCTACAAGTCAATAAAGCTTCGCTGGATTATTTAAATATGAGGCAATGTTTTATTGGCTAAAGCACTTGATCTTCAACCAATAAGTCATGAGGTTGAACTTCATACCACCTAATTCAGTTTGAAGACTATCAATAGCTGTCGGTAGTTTACAACCGACAAGATAAAGGTGTACTTGACAAATAAATTGCATCTACTAAGCAAACTAGTGATCACAAATAGTCAAAAAGAACCATGATGTCATTATAACCACCATGGTTAGAACATGACCTGAAATCATAGCTTCATGTCATAATTTAGTGATTTCAAAGTGCATCTCTTTCTATGTACATGGACAGATCTATAAAGTCAACAAAAATTTCTCTTATCTAGAAAACAAGCATAGCGTTGGTTAGTATTGGAACGTTTAAAGGATTGCTATCCACAAATATATTTCTATGATCAGACGTAATCGTATATTAGTTATTCTCTTAAATTGTCTACTTTTAATATGTTCCTCATACATAAATATATTGTGCATCATTTTCCGTATATAGTTCTTGACAACTGGACATGGGAAACTATCAAACGTGTTTTGAATAACGTACCCGAGGAATCATTAATTGAAAGCAATCACACTATTCAACAATCTTCTCAACCTACAAATCGGCAAGTTTTTCCATCTTTTCTAGTATAGGTTTTAGAAGAAAGACGAAACTTCAACCCTTATCTATTCTTTCCGAAATAATTAATCACTAGTCATACCCACCTGATAGACCAAATCAATTCTTTACATGTTTTAGATAAAAGCTGTTGTCTTGTTTGATCTGTGATGTACTATCAGCAGTCTGTTTTCGAAAAATAGAATTACTCACTACTAGTAATCTTTTCCCACTTGAATGGTTTGAATTTGGTAAACACCTTAAGCGAGAAAAATATTGCCCCAATAGGTTAATGAATGTATTCCCTATTTTTTGAAGTTTTTGGGTAACTAAATATGTCCTCATATGTGAAATATATTGGCGAGTTTTTATTTCATAGGAGTAAGAAAGAACGTTATTATTTACTTATGTTTTCAATCTTGAAGACGAATTCATGTACGTATTGATAAGTTCAATGATACATAGAGAAGACTATGAACATAATCTATTGGAAGCTCTATGAAATGGACTTTGAGAATGAAAATCGAATAACCTTTTAAATGACCGATTTTTTAGTGAAACGCCAGGTGTCGATGCTACGCCTGTAGCAGTAGTATTGGTAGTGTTACGTCCGTAATTTCCTTCAGAATAAATTCCCAGTTAACTATTACTAAAATAATCTATCTTAGTCTTACTCCGAACTTTGATATTTAAACTTATTTTAAGGCAACCTTAAGATCTAAAGCGTTCGCAATATAACGAATTTTACTGCTTAGTTTCAGCTGCACGCAAAACACCATATATTCTAAAATTTAAAATATTTATCTACTGATTTTGGTCAAGACTAATCCGTATATAGGACATCAACTGAACATTCCTAGTAGTAATGATACAATCATCTTCAAAATTTTGTTTTTTCATGCGGATACTATTTTTTTTGCAGTTTTTAATTATCAGTAAGATGATATTGTACTACCACACAATGGTAAGTGCTATTCACCGAATAAGACCTCCGACTCTTAATGAGGTTAGAAAGGCTGTACGAAATCTAAGGCAAGGGACAGCAGCAGGTCCTCACAGGCTTACTCCGGAAATTTTTAAGGATGGTGCTCCAGTTTGAGCAATTAGGTTGACTTGGATCTAGAGACTGGACGTAATCCCATCCGATTGATCCTAATCATTGATTGTTCCAGTCTATAAGAAGGGACAAAAGTCCTATTGTGACAATCACAGAGGAATCAGTCTAACTAATATAGTGTCTTAAATGTTACCCTCGATAATCTTCGACGCCTAACTAGAGCTGAGGAAGAGTAGACTGGAGAAAACCAGGTCCTGGAACACAGATACACATGTCAGCGTCCCACAATGGTTTTATTCCTTTGTCCTAAGGCGACATTCGACTCCGTCGATTGTGAGATTCTGTGACAGTGTGTCATGAACAGAATACCAACGAAGTACATTAGCCTTATACAAGCTCTCCACTCGAGTAAGAGCTTATGGCGAATTGTTATCGGATTAGATTACTTCAAGTGGTGTTCATCAAAGTTGTCCACTTTCTCCATTCTTGTTTAGCTTTGTGATTGACATGCTTTTAAAAACGATACTTTTATTGTCTGACTTTATAGGAATTGGTTTTCTGCTGGAAGATTCGCTTGTTGACTTAGAATATGCCGATGACATAGTCCTACTTGGTAAAGACGCTGACAAAATGCAGTCTTCTGACTACCCTGAGCAACAATGCAAGCATGTTCATGATGAGGTTTTCCCCATCGAAATGCAAAATTTCGCTTCTGGATTGGCTTGCATAGGCACCTGAACTAGTGATAGGAGGTGAAGTAGTTGAGCGTGGCGATAGCTTCACTTATCTGGGCAGTCTCATCAGTGTTGATAGCCTGATGTGTGACGAAATCTCAGCGCAGATACATAAGGCTCGACTGGTTTCTGCCAAATTGCGTCACTCATGGCGTCGGTGAGATATCTGTCTATCAACAAAAGGACAGTTTTACTGCTCAGTAGTTCGTTCCATCCTAATATGTGGCTGTGAAACATGGCCAATAAGAAGTGAGGATATTCGTAGTTTATTGGTATCCGATCATAGGTATCTTCGAATCATTGCTCGTGTATCGTGGGACGATCGAGTGATCAATGCTGTCGTTAGGAAACGAGTTCTAGGTAGGGATGGCAAATCAGTGAATAAAGTATTGAAACTTCATCAGTTGAGGAGGTTGGGACTCGTGTTACGTATGCCCAACCACCAACTACCTCGGCGAGTGATTTTTTGAGGTGTAGGAGTAGGTTGGAAGAAAGCGAGAATCGACCAGACCAAAACATGGCACAAATCCATGAGGTGACTGACAAGTGGACTGCGTCATGTTACTAGTTGAAGACTAGCTGGTTGGGGTCCGCGAACGATAGTAACCGATGGTTAGAGACCTTAAACGACAGAATTGTTTGCGATGGCGCAGGTGCATCCACTCTTTGTGTTCTCTCAAATCCTAGTATTCTGAATTCCTCATCACCTCTATCTTCCTTTCTTTAAGTATATCTCATTGAATTATACTTCTTGAATAATTTCTTCGAACCCTAATCTTCTACTGTTTATACGACTATGGGATTTGAAATGACAGTTGTATCTCTGTCCTAATTTAGTATGGCAACCTTAACTGATGTACTTACGTACGAAGCTTTACTTTGTAGCTAAAAAACTTACGCATATTTATGATGCTAAGAAATTGAGTTCCTTTTTAAAACCCAACTATCAATCTAGTGACTCGTTACTGTCATTGATCAGTAAAAATGAATGCTCTCAACCAACAAAAACTGAAACTTCTTTACTGGAACGTACCATGGTGCTTAGACCGGTTTTTTCTCGAGTTCAGGCTTCATCTCTTATTGCTGGAAGAGTTTGTGCAAAACTATCAGTACCTGTCAAAGGACCAACTGAACCTTCTCAAGTCAATGAGAACAGTAAACCTGGTAACGAAACCAAAACTCGACTACACGCATCAAATGTTGCACTAGTTGGACTTCGTAGAGTTGAACGTTCAGGTTCTGAAATTGATGCCGTTCATTTGGACTTGGGATTTTCAAAAGATCTATCTTGCTACTCTGTTTATTCTGGTCAACCACTTTTAATTCGTGGTGTCAATCCTACCGGTCATTCTCTGGGTGCAATGGAAATTTTTCAGGTTTGTCATGCAAGTTTATTGTGATTATCTTTTTGCCCTATCAAGTTAACACTAGTAGTTTTTAAGAATGATAGTCTGCATTTATATGTTTAACATAATCAAGTATCAGTTATACTGCAAATGCTGCTAACCATTTTTCGTTTAATTCTATAAAAGCGATAAAATCCTATGGAGATAACAACAAACAATCGGCTGATCTAAGATTTGAAATATTTGAAATACTATCTAATCTATCTTCGGTGAAGCCTGATTCAAACCTACGACTCCTCTGTTCAAATCTTTTTGCTTTAGTTGATAAGAAATGCAGCCATGTGAAAAGGATTGGTTTGATATTATATCTGAGATTCTGAACCCACGAATACCTCCTAGAAATCTAACAACTATTGTTTGTTTATTGGACTTATATGGATTTTTCAGAACAATGTCAGCTCTTCACACACGTCTACCGAAGCTTTTCATGAATTACTTTTAGCTGCTATTATAAAAGATGTGAAAACAATTAGGTGTAAACTTACCAAATAGTGTATCAATATCAAGGTTGAACTTTATGGCTTCAAATAAATTGACCATTGAGTGAAAAGTTAATAATAATAAAATAATCGTAATTTTTTTCCAATATTTATTTGTTTTGAAGAAGTGACTTGCACTAAGTCACGGAACGTCAGAAATGCTAATGTTTATTCATTAAGATATCACCAAAAATTATTATTATTACCAAATAATAATGCATCAATAGAGATAAATGAAAAACAACAGGGACGTTGAAAGAACATGCCGTTGGTTCTTTCAATATACTTTAAATCATTACGACGAATCCACTAAACATGGAATCAGACGTAAACAGATTTACAACATGCCTACTGTTTGTAGATTTCTGGGTAATAAATCCGTCGATCCTGTTGTAAGCGACTACTAACTCATCAGTTTTCACTATTTTATGAGCTCCATTCAGGAGATGCTTGTCTGTTTAAACACATGTTTCATAAATCAGGAGCACTCAGAAAATCTTCAGTTCTTTAACCTTAACTAATTACCACTGTGGGACCCTCATTCTACACTATTACAGTCAGTGTTAGGACTAGCTTGGAGTTTATAAATGATACTCCTGTCGATACAAGTTCACAATCTCATCACTTGTCTTTTCTTCTTAATGCGACCTCTGATCTAAGCACTACTCAATATTTCTACCCACTACTTTAAAAAGACATAATTCTGTATTATTCTTAATTAATCATACTTTCAAACTATGTAATGAAGCAAAATACCACTGTGATGTGTATTATTTGATTGCATAATTGTGAATGTTCATTCGTCATTATTTTCTGTTCGCTAATTTTTATAATGCCAAGAGTGTATTCATCAAATTTCGTTTTAATCTTTTAGATACCAATTTCAGAACCTCCCTTCATCAGTCCAGATAAATGTTGTGAGTTTATCTTTTTAATCCTAAAATTTTCATGTTTGGTACCAGGTGGTAGTCATCCTCAGGACTCAATATATATTTGGTTATCATCACCGGTCACCTCGGCTGTGGTGGCACTATTGAAAACCATTTAGCACCACAAATTGATTGAGGTCGCAAATTTGTACCACTGGATTAATATTCGTTGATCTAGTGGTTTAAAGGTCTCCCCGAAGTTTGAGGCGCTTTGAATCGATCTCTAGTGGAGTTGTGGGTACACACTGCAGTAGAGTCGTATAGTAGGATATATACTAATCCAGTACTCCACTACTACCCTATCCATCACGAATGCCACTCACAAAAAGCTTAATAGAATCTATTAAAAGATACAAAGACAAAGTTGGTTACAATTTCAAGCTTCAGACATTCCACTACATATTTTACTCTACTTGCTGCACGTAACGAAAAATATCCCCTTCAGGTTTGTCTGATTATACCTAGTGAAGTACATGTGATTGGTCTTAATTGTTACCGGTTGTAATGTTATAACCACTACAACCATCGGTAATGCAATTTTATTATTTTACTCAACACTCGATTGTTGTAGGAACGCTCTTCACTGTGATAATCTTCCAGGAAATGTAAGCAAATCTTTACCAGTTTAGTCAATTTATAATGGAATAAATGGTGTTTGGAATCCATTTAAATATACCAATGATCTGAATCTGGTCTTTTGATGTCAATTAGTTTAGCTCCGCGTCCTCATCAATGTTGGTTAGACCAAATCCTCCTAAATTGTAACTGGACTGTTTAACTTCATATTTTTACCTATCTAGTTCGGACGCTGCTCCCTCTTTCTCGGCTTGAACAGCTAGAATTCTCTATTCCACACGTAAAAACCACGAAGCACAGTCGAATATGAGTTATATTTACCTTCGTACTTGATACCCCAGGATCTAATGATTATTTAACGTATCGTACAATAAAGATAGATGCTAAGCGAACAAATCCATGATAACTATAACGAACCAACACATATCGACGCATTCATGACCTTTACCGGTCATAATAACTGTAATCTAACTAACTATAACTTTGTTCCATGCCATATTTCGAACTCTTACGTTCTTCTTATGTCCTTATTTTACTTTTGTAGTGGGAAACCTGCGTATTGTGGTGGCCTGTGGTCCTTACACTCTTTCGAATTCACATGATCCTACAGGTCTTCTTAATTTGTTGCGTTCCGTCAAACAATCTAAACCTCATGTTCTCATTCTGCTTGGACCGTTTGTTGATTCAGAGCATCCTGGTATTCAGGTACACTATAAATATTACTGTTATAAATTATTTATATCACTGTGTGAAGATAATTGGGATGTTATCATTTTAATAATTTAAACTTAGTATATATTTAATTATGTTGGTTGTAAGACAGTAAGTAAATATTTCATAATTATCGAATGAGTTTATTTTTTAAAGTGTACGGTCAGTCTGTGGTGATAGCTGTTTTAAGGTATCTTGTCATCGAAATTTTCAATTCATGTCTTACTTTCCTAATTGTTTTTTCTATCGAGTTGATCGATTCAGGAGAGATTTGTCATGAAACCATCCTTATATGCTTATCTCTTGTTTATGAAAGACTTTTCAAGTCGATTTCATTTATCTTTAACTTGACTGGTTTAAGGAATCCAATAGGCATATTTGGCAATTTTTTAGCCATGCAAACAAACTTGAGTGATCGATAATGATCATCTTGAGAAAACCAAGGAATGTTCGAGCAAACAATTTATGGTAATCACATAGATTATAAGAGTGCACAATGTTGCGAATTGATAAAAGTTGAACGGGTACACCACTATACTCCAGATCAGAAGTTTTTAAGGTAGGTGTTTGTCGTTAGACTGAAGTTTCTACGTTTAGTCTTCGGTATGGTTGTGGATGCATACCGCTGAGTTCTATTCTAAGACAAAACAAAAACTCTATCCTCCTGTCTTTTGCTTTTCGATGGATATCTAGCTTGGGTCGGTTCATGATATGCATAGAAATCGCAAATTCATCTATTTTTCTTACACTTTCTAGTATAAGGCGCATACAGACTGTTTTGTCTGTTTCCGAGACCTAACACTGGCCAATTTGAATAGCGTTTGTATTTACCCCTAATTCTGACTACTGAAATATTATTTTTTCTGGATTCATTACTGTAGATCACGAAAATGTGGCTACTGAAAACAATTCGCTCGAATACATCAATTATTAATTCAGAGCTAATATGGTTTCCATATATTATTCGAGAGAATCATAAATGATTGGTAAAATAATTCCTTACCGTTTTAGCTTTCTAGTATAGTTCGTAGAAAGTTTTCTTCCAGTCTCATTTATCTCCTCATTACCGCTAAGTTTTTCAAACTAAATCAAAAAATTTCATATCATATCTATTTTTTCCAGTCAGTCAGCTACAACCTAGAACTTTGTACGTACGTACATCAGTTCAGGTTACCATACCACACTAACACACAGAGATCCCATAGTAGTAGTATTTATCTTGTCAAAGTGATCTGTTTTCTGCATTGACTATCCCTTCTTGCTTACCTGATATATTTGTGACCAAACTGTTTGGTTTCCAAACTTCCGTGAAAATCTATACTGTTTGATTGTCGGATCTTTTGCAAGGTACTCAAAAATATATAGGATCCATAAAGTTTTTAGAGAACTGTATATTCCAAACCCATTACTATAAAGTGCATACTTTGAGAACTGCTAGCATGATTTTCCAAACATTTTCATGATTGAATTATGTTGACTGAAAGATTTTTATCGTAATGATTGTCATAAGATTCTTCACTACTTTAATAAACGAATTTTCTTAATTTTAATGAATAATACTTAAATATTTGATGGTATATATCTTTCCTACTAATTATTGTATTCATATTTCCAATTACTCTCAGTCTTATTCTGAAACTACTTACGAAGAATTATTCCAATCTAGAGTGAATAGTGTCAGTGAATGGTGCAGTCACTTATCCATAAAGTTGATAGTCGTTTCTTCCTGGAGAGAATTGCATCATGATCCAGTGTATCCGACTCCACCCATCGACAAGTCGTGGACAGAAAAAACACCAGACTTGGTTAGTTATGCAAATGTTTTTCTTTCTATGATTTAGTATCTTATTGTTTTAATCTACTTGTTACATGGATATTTGTGCTTTAATACGAACGTTATGGATTTATTTAACATAAAACCAGTTAAGTTAGTTTCTTAGCAAATGCAGAGAAGTTCTAAATTAGTAGTAATCATATCTTAAATTTCCCTTCGTTTTTGAATTGACTGTAGACTAACGTTTATCAAAATACTTGAGACGTACACTAAATGAAGAAGCTGTAGAATTGAAGAATGGCTTTAGACTTGTCCTATTCAAATTTTTAGCCCAACTTTTACTTTCCTATTTCAGTATTCACATTAATGGAAATAATGTTAACTATATGAGATTAATCTAAATTAAATTTTTCTTGATTATGCAGTATGGTTTCGTTTTCATTTTCAATATAATTTTTTGTTTCTAGTTATCATCGTACGAAAAAGTTCAATTCGCTCCTGATCCATGTCTTTTTCGAATTGGCGAATATGTTTTTGGTATAACTTCCGTTGATGTACTTAAAGATCTCAGTTGTGAAGAAATCAACGCTGGGTAACTATTGCTGTTCGTTTATATATATGGCACAAATGTGTATCGGTTTTTCCTCAATTGAAGAACATCTGGAACTGAAAATCAGCATTGACAAACACCAAAGTCACAATTTTAAATACAACTAATACGACACTTCTACTGTATTTTGCGGAAACTTTGAGAACTATAAAACCCATCATCCTGAAGATGTGTTTATTAACAGTTGTCTAAGCAAGATACTGAGGATCAGTTAGCCCGGCACTATCAGCATCAAACTACTGTGGAATAGAACAAACCAGCTTCCGGCTGAGGAAGATATTAGTAAAAAGCTCTCGAGGTGGATAGGACACTATTCTGAAAGCACCCAACTGCTTGATGGGGCAAGTCCTACCTTGGGATCTTCAATACAAAAGGCAAAGAGAAAGACGAAGAAACATGCTGCGCAGACAGACGTGAAAGGAATGAATAACGATTGGGAAGAACAGAAAAGGAAGTCCCAAGACAGTTGGTTGGGTAGTCCTGGTTGGCGACTTGTGCTATACCAGCGTAGCAGGCATACATATGTAATAGCTATCAAATGCCTCCAGCCGAACTTATGTATCCAAAGGAAACTATTGTAAATCTTCCCGTACCATAATGACTTTATCGTCAGTATATTCCGTCATTATTGCAACAGAAAATTCTCTTTTATTGTGATCTCATCACTTCCTTTAAATTCATTATATAATTAACCAATCAATTATCATAACTCTATGATCTCTTGTTACTATGTCTGATGATCCGAAATCTCCCCTCGCATATTATATTTACTCAGAACACTTAATATGTTTTCATTCTCGCTACTCCAACTTGATGATATTTACAATTTTTTACTGTTATATGTATATAAACTTGACAATAATTCTGCTTTTCGAAGTATTGTAGGTTTTAAGCAGCTGATAAGAACCCTACGAAATGAAATGAATTCATAATGTTCTGATCAGTTCTTTGTTCTAGCCCTCCTCAGAACAACTAGACGAGGTTGGGTAAATAAATATCAAATAAATAAAAGTAACAGTGGCAAAATAACAAAATATTACCCCTAATCAGGAATAAAACCGAAGTATGAAATTTATCGCATTATTCTACAGCGCCTTGGAAATTAGTTTCAATCTATTGTCTCAAAAGTCTCTACTTGTATATTGAGTTTCTGAGTAAACACTAAGTTATGTTTTACCGAAAAGCTCAGACCAAAAGTCAGTCCTCAAACTGTTTGTGGCCATATCCACTAAATGTTCACTAGGCTATATTTCCCTCTAAAAGAGTAGTTATATAGTTGTCAACTTGATTTTGTCTAGTTTTAACAACATAAATAATATTTTGTACATTGAGATCGTCAGTTGTTGCACTTACTGGTAGGACCATATTAGCTAAATACCTTGACAGTGTAAAGTATGTCTACTATCTTTTCTTCAAACTCATACCACACGATATAACTTTATCATACCAATTTGTTGACATTGTCCACATTAGACTACATTCACATTATAAGTCATTTTGACTGTTCGTAATTATAAACTACGGTAATTGCAATCGTTCACAATAGGGACGAAAAAAAGCTGAGTATTTTCATACTGTTTCAACCCATCTGGCTGATAATAATAGCCTTAATTAAATTTAATGGTATATACTGATTAAACATTTTTATAGGTTAAACTGTGACAAATTAAAACTTAGATCCACTGATGTCGATTGTAATATTGTTTATTATCTTATTCATACTAAAATGATAAACGGCATTTCTATACAATTTTTTGTTGTTATGATTTCATAGTTGCTCAGGCAGTGATCGAATTACTCGTTTATGTCGACATATTCTTGCCTCCTCATCGTTTTACCCTGTACATCCTCCTGATGATGATTTACCTCTTGATTATCCTTTATGGAGTCAATATGCACAGTTCTCAGTCACACCACACTGTTTGATTTTACCGTCCAAATTACGTCAGTTTGCTAAGGTATGATCTTAGTTATCTATCATGTTTGTTTCATCATCTCTATCTGTGATAATTTTCAAGTTCGATTAAATTCTAAACTAAGTGTTAGTAAACATAGATTTGTTTTCTTTTGTTTGAAGTTTTGTCGAATTATTCAAACATTCAGCTACCAGGACTTGTCGCTTAACTACTGTTGGTATGTCGTTAGGATGTAAAGCTTAAAGTACATTTATCGGCACGATTCCATTTACTGTTTACTGTCTGTTCCTAGATTCAGGAATAATCACAGTGATATAAAATGTATGGAATTTTCTAAGAACTCATGTGTTCATGTGACGAATCGATAAGTCGTACTTCAATACCATCTACAGTCTGAATTAGCTTTATTTCAGTACTCACTTCCAAAATATAACCAAGTCTAAGAACCAGGTCATGTCATTAATAACTGAATTTAGTTACTTTTTCATACCATAACTGACAACAGTCACATAGAAGACTATGATGGTTCTAATGAATTCACATCAAGAGTTTATAGTACTCAGCTTATGAGTATTTCACCTAACCATGAGTCTTATTCACTGCAACGAAATAAGTTTCCGTGTATTAATTTTAATAATTAAGAAATAAAGTCGGTTATACTGGTATTTTCATAAATATTATATTCTTGGCAAATAAATTATTTAAGTTCAGTTTTGTCTGTTGGTTATCTGTTCTTAGACATACTTTGAAACGTTTTTTAAATTGATTTTTAGAATGTAGATGGTGTATTATGCGTTAATCCTGGACATGTATCAAGAGGAGAAGTTTTCGGTAGCTACGCTGAAATTGTCGTTAATGCAAATGAATTTTCAAATTTAAATGAAACTAGTAACGATGGTATTGATTCTTCCATACCTAATAAATTGTCATCAGAACATTCAAATTCCAGTATATGTGGTCGTACATCAGTTTTAATTAAACGCATCAGTTCAACTTAATTCCAAAGAACAAATCTATTCTTAATACAAAATTTGTATCTGTTTTAACTTGATATTATTTTTAAATGCTCGATGTAAGATGTTTTTTTTTTTGATAGAGTATATTTTAGTCAGTCGTTTTATATAATCGCTTCAAATAATTGTATGAATTTTAGCAATTCTATGTAAATAATGTTCTGCTCTTTCCATATATTCAAGATAATTACAAATTGTTGGAGGATCATCTAAATGTTTTCAGTTGTTTGAATGAATAAGTCTCTATTCGAACTTCGCAGTATTTTTCAGATTCTATTTTAGCAATGTAGTTAAGCATTGTAGACTTTTCTACAACAATGGATGCTGTGACTGAATACTGAAGAACAATACAGTTTTCTCTAGTTATCAATAATTTTGAACCATCGCACATTTATTATCAGTTAAATCATTTATAAAGCTGTTGGTTGAAGTTTTACTTGAACGGTGTGTGAAATATTTGTCTTTGTGATGAAGACAACCATCAAATCATAAACTTATAAAATAAGAGACTAAAATAAGACAAGTTATAAAGTTGACTTAACCTAATAAGGGTAACTTTATTTATGATAGCCTCCGCACTTCATCTAAGTCCCATTGTCCAACAGTTCATAACTTTTAGTATTTATGTATTACTAAATGAGAAGCCCCAAACTTCGTCATTCTTAATTTGTTTAATTTTGTTAAAATAACCAGAAGCGTGAAAACCTGATCTTGTTCTTTACCGTTATTATTACTGAGTTACATTCTTTATGTCTTGATAATTCTGTGCTTTCCTTACAAAATAAACTATGTATAGCTCATAGGTTTAAAACAGTATTGTTTTCAATCAACAAATTCATTGTTGTAGGTTCGAATACCAGTAAAGAATAACTCATAGAACAGTCCAAAAGTGTACACCAGGCAAACACTGTGACAGGTGAGGACATGTGTGACCAAAAAACCGAATTTCCTTGATATCTTATTAAGCAGATAGTGACGGCTCGTTAAATAGAAGTTTGCATCGAAACAGCTCCTCCGCTTTCCAACACACACTTATAGTTTTGCACCTATCCGCTCACAAACAGAACAAAAATGATCTGCCCAGCGGATAACTTAAAGAGCTGAAATTTATAAATAAGACACTGACTGAGATTGGCTGCATATAAATTGTGAAAAGCAAGTCGGAGACTTTGACTATTCTATTCCTTAAGCTACACTTCAAAGAGAATGTGTCTATCGATGTCTGCATGATGGATTAGTGAAGGCAATTGGTAGGATATCCCATGCAGCCATTCTTGCATTGACTTTCTCTAGTCGACCAGTGATGTCTACTCAAGCCAAGGATAAGTGACCTAAATTGGCCTCCTCAATGTACATCTATAGAATCAGCTACTCTGGAGATGGTTATATTAAGCGAAGTACCAGACAACTTAAACAGCGGACGAGTGAGCATCTCCCATCATGGTTCGGAAAGAGCTAGATAAAAATAACGCAGCTCCATCTTGGCACGCTTGTTTGATAGTGGTCATAATGTCGATTACACCGAATCATTTCAAGTAATCCACTGTATGCTCTCATTATTTCTTAACAGAGTTTGATCCCGTCTTTCACATACAGCAGAAGCCATAGGTATCCAAATATTCAACCCCGATTTATGTATTCAGAAGAAATTCGTGATATCCCTGTTCATTCCTTGACCGGATATAACTTGATTTATCTCATTGTTTTCACACCCTGCTTTTGCTTCTTATTTTTTCGCCTCCGGTTTATATTCTTCACTATCTAATTATTCACACTTTTACTCAATTCTAACAGGGTTTTGTGATTTTCATTTTAGGTCTATTTATTTATGTTTGACCTGCTATCTCTAATGTTGAACTTCTGACAAAATCTTTTGTAATCGTATTTTATTATTCTTACCACTAACAGTACAACTGTCTTCCTACTATCCCTTACGTAATCCCTTCCAGAGCAGAGCTCACAATTTAAAAACTTCCCATAACAAGGTCATTCCGGACTGGCCTCAAGCAGTTCTCCTTTGGTATCTGCGATCACGCTCCCAGGTCGTTAAGACCAACGCTAATCTACCTTCATTTTCAGGTTCCTAAAAAAGAAATACCCTTCCACAGTGTGGACAGACGGAAAGTGACATCCGCCCTCATACCCATAACAGCACACGCGACCGAGTAAAAATCCTAGTGCCTTGTAATGACTGTTGTACCTCCACGACTAATTCTTCTTTCATTCGTTTATCACCTCGCGCCGTCGATGCAAACGATTTGAGTACGCGAAAGGTTATTCTTGGTCTCCTGAAACTTCGTTCTAAACTTTTAATATTTGAACCTTCTGCTAAATAGGACAAACGCTTCCTTAGCTAGGACTCTAGAATCTCGTGTCATCTATGTATGATGTGTTCCCGAAACGAGCGTACAGGATCCGAATAAAATCATTCATCTGACCTCACCACGTCAAAATGAAAACTCCGCCTGGAGCCCCCCCGGGGCTACAGCCGTTCCCAAGCCCGGATAAAGGAGAAGGGTTCCGGTTGGCGAACCCATCCCGCAGAAAACTAACTCGCTAAAATAAGGTTACCAGAAAATAATTCAAACTATTTCAACTCTGCCACGGTAGTTAAAAGGTGTATTTTTCAAAAGCAACTACAAACAGGTAGCCATGTAGGTGATGCCCATCCAGAGGCAGCTTGAAGTGATATCCAAAATGCTGTTGAAGCTTCAGTGATATCCCCTAGTGAGGTCGACCAAGAGGAAACCGGTATTATAAATCCTACTGTTAGCGAGAATAACTTGGAAAAAGATGGGCTTAATATTCATTCCTAATCCAGGGGATAGGATCAGTCGGTAGAACAACTTAAGGAACACTTGAAATAGCCTTCAGCCACGCTTCGGTTACCTGTCATTTCCAGCCGACCTGAACGGCAAGGTGATGTAAGCCTTCTGACTCCTAATGAGATTGGAACGCCTATAGGAAATCTGAAGCGGGAGGAAGTATCATGTCCTGCTAGATTGACTGCTGAAAATTTTAAAGATGGTGGTTCAGTTTTAGACGTAAGATTGACTAGGATCTTAGGTAGAATCTGAGAACCGGAAGTAATCTCATCTGACTGGTGTCAATCACTAATTGTCCCAATTCATAAGAAAGAACGAAAATCCTCTTGTGACAGTCACAGAGGGATCAGTATAACTAATATAGTTTCTGAAATATTAACTTCATTAATACTTCGACGCTTAAGCAGTGTTAGTGAAGAGCAGACTCGAGCAAACCAGGTTGGTTTCAGACCTAGGCATGGCCATATAAACTAGACATTCACCCCATGCCAGGTCCTAGAACATAGACACATGTTCAGACGCCCCACAATAGTAGTATTTATCGACCTTAAAGTGGAATTTGACTCTGTTGATTGTGAGGTCATGTGGCGGTGTCTATCACTGAAAGGAGTATCAAAGAAGTACATTAACCTTGCAAAGGCTCTCTACTCGAACACTGCTGGCCGAATGAGAGCTTATAGTGAACTGTCATCGGAATCGGTCACTCCCAGTGGTGTCCATCATGGCTATCTACTTTCTCCATTCCAGTTCAACATTCTTAATGACCTGCTTTTCGATACGACACTTACCATCTGACTTTTTCGGGAATCGACATTCTACCAGAAGATTCACCTTTTGACTTAGTGACATAGTTCGGTTTGGTGAAGATGCTGACAAAATGCGTTCTTCTAACGACTTTAAGCAACAATGCAAACATGTTCGGGATGCGGTTTTCCTCTTCGAAATGCAAAATGTTGCATCTGGATTGGCTTGCATCGGCACCTGAACTAGTGATAGGGGGTGAAGTAGTTGACCGCTTTACTTATCTGGGCAGTCTCGTCAGTGCTGATGGCCTGGTGTGTGACGAAATCTCAGCACGGATACACGACTGGTTTCTGCCAATTTGCTTCTCTTATGGCGTTAGCGAGAAAACCGTCTACCAACCAATGGACAGTTTTACTGCTCAGCAGTTCGTTTTGTCCTACTTTACGACTGTGAACATGGCCAATAAGAACTGAGTATATTCCTAGTTTATTGGTTTTTGATCATAGGTATTCTTGAATCATTGCTCGTATATCCTATGACTACCAAGTAAGCAGTGTTTATGTTAAGATAATGTTAATGAGTAAGGATGACAATTCAAATGATGAAGTGGTGTATGTTCATCAGTTGAGGTGGTTGGGACATGTGTTATGTATGCCCAATCCCTAACTACATCGCAGATCGATTTTTAGTGATGTAGGAGTGGGCTTGGACAAAGCATGAGGTGACCCGACCAAAACATGTTACAAATCCATGAGGTGACTGACAAGTGGACTGAGTCATGTTGGTAGATGTAGACTATCTGGTTGGGTTCCGCGAGACAACAGTAACCGATGGTTAGAGTCTTTGAATGACAATGCTCAAAATCGCTTGCAATGACGCAGATGCATTCTTTTTATTCTTCTCTTACGACTTCATGAGCTCAGGATCTTTGCTTATTTCTTCATAAATTTATTTCACTGGACTATACTCCAAGAATAATTTCTTCGAAAGCTAATATTTTTGATGACCTCTAATACTTCTACTACCTCTACTAAAATGGTATTTGAATTGTGAATTGCAACTCTGTGTAAATGTGCTATCGAAACTTGAAATGATGTACGTATGTCCAAATGTTAACGTTTTAGATGACTCACAGCTTTTCGTGTTATTCTAATATTCGCAATGGGAATCTTAAATATTAGATTTAAATTGCAAACAGTTAACAAACTTAATGATCGAAACATATTATTACAAAAATAAACTAGTTATCATTTGGATTATTTTACTCAGTATTATTTTTATAATTGGATCGGTGATATTAAAGAAATTAATATTATATTAATAATTCATATTACAAAGTATCTGTAGAGCATATCATCTAATTTTCTGAAATCATACTCTTAATATCTGTTACTTCATCCATTTCCATCAAACTTATCTCATTATCATATCTACAATTCTCTGTGGGCGTTAAAAATACTCCATTAAAACCAATTGTGTCTCTTGGAACGCTCTGTTCCTTAGTGTTGGTAATTTTGACTTTTTCAATTGTCGGATTTTTCACCGAAATATCGGACCATACTGGTTCTGATAATGGTGAAGACGATAACGAGACACTGATAATTTTTGGTTGTGATAATTTGGTTTCTGATTTTGAGTTTACATATTGAACATCGGACATTGGTCTTGTTGTTGTTGTTGTTATTGTTGTCGTCATTGTTGTTGTAATCTTGGTTATTGTTGATTGTACACTTTTCAATAATACATTCTCATTGCTAACATCATCATAATCTGGAGTTGGATTTTGATTATTACACGGTTTCAATTCATCAATTGTTTTATTTTTATTTGTATCAAAATTGTACACTACTAATTTTGGACGTTCTACTAATGATGTAGTATTATGTGATGGTTTATGCTCAACTGTTGTGTAGTATTTATGTTGATCTTGATGAGTATGATTATGAACATCTTTTCTATGACGTTTTCTATCAGAGTTTAATAACAATGATGAATGTAAAACGCCATCAATATTCTCATCATGAATATTCAATTTTTTCTTCTTGATATCATTTTTATCATGTTCAATAATTTTCTTTTCTAATAATTTACCTTCACTGTTACTTTTAAAAATTGATTGATTATTATGAGCATGATTATTTTCTAAAAACCATTCATATGGTAATAAATTTGATTGTGTTTTATTTAATAAACGTTCATTAGTTATTTTACGCCATATAGATGTTGATAATGATTTAGATTGTTGATATTTATGTTTACGTTGAACATTTTTACGATCTCTAATTGTACATGTAATAAATGGAATGATTACAATAGCGAAACCAGTTGTAAAAGATACTAGTGTCACAATTATTACATGTAATAAATCATATTGTTCAGTTAGATTTTCATTTAAAATTGTTTCTTTATATGATTGATATTTATCGCCTAAAACTGTTAGAAAAAGGAAAAAGATAAAATGATTAAACTGCGAAAAAAAATTAATCGACTTTGAAGATGCTTTTACATTTCTCACTATTTTATAATTCAATTTGACCATACCGATGAAAGTTTAATAATTGTATTATCATATTTCATCAAATCATTTTCACATGATAGTGTACTGTGACTTATTTCTAAAAGAATTTTAAACCGAACAGATTATAATTTTGTTAGGATATTCATCAAATATCTTGAGGATTATTTTTAGAAGTCTAATTCTATTGGTCAATTCCTACTGGTCAATATTATGGTCGTTCTAACTATTAACGATACATACTTCAAATGCTATTTCCTATTTGACCTAACTGTATAAATATGCATTATCTGTAAAGCCTATTATTCCTTCCCCAACTTCTGTACTCAACCCCATAAACAACTTCATCTAACGATGTTGTGTTCTGAAATATTGGAGATTCGGGCACAGTATTTAGGACCATATTAGAATATCGGAATTCGGTCAGTCGGTAGGATTCAAATAGCTATATAGAAAATCAGGGAAGCGTATTTTATTTTCATAATGTGAAATACTATGAATAAATTACTGTCTTCGATATTACTTATAGAGGTATCCCGATTGCAACTTTATAAACATGACTTATTTACACCTGCTACCACTCGCAGAGCGTAGATCGCCAACAGGATTTACGCAAACAACTCCGTCCTGGGCTTTCATTTCCAGTTCTTACCGACTACTATTTGTTCCTTGTATGCAGTATGTTCCTTAGTCTTCATCTGCGCCTCGAGTTGGGTTGGTTTTCAAAATGTATCCTATCCACTTCTGGCGTTTTCTCCTATTTTGTTCTTCAGATAAAAGCTGGTTTATTTTCTCCTACAATAGGCTGTTACTGGTGGTATCTGATGAATAGATCCTCAGTATCTTACGTAGACAACTGTTAATAAACACCTGTATTGTTTTTTGATAACTTTCATGGTTCTCCAAGTTCCCATTCCATACAATAGAGCTGTTTTGACGCTCACATTGAAAATTGCGACTTTGGTGTCGGTTGATACTTGGTTTGAGTCACAGATGTTCTTTAATTGTAGAAATGGTGCCCTTGCTTTACAAATCCATGCCCTCATACTTAAATCAGGTCCATCTTGTTTATCAGTAATGATGAACGGTTATTTAAAGGTATCCACAGCCTCATAAGCTTCTCCATGAATTGTAATTCGGTTGGCTCATGTTGTGTTACTGCTATGTCTGCATCCTATGCTTTGGCTGGTATGTTGTCTGACCCAGCTGCTTTGCCGCTTTTAATTCGTTAGATAGCCCTCATTATTTCTCTAACTATTGGCACTTTAATATCAATAGGGAGGCCCGTAGGTACTTGTTCAATTTTCGGTGGGCTGAGTGGGGCTCGTATATTCGGTAGCTACTGAAGGCGCTCTACTCACCTCTTCCGTTCAGATTTGCAATACTTCCCAGTGAGCTTCTGTGTTGTATTGTATAGTTGTACCATGTTTTTTTCTCTGAAAGTTTTTTCCGTTGTTATTGCCGGATCTTTCACATATTTTCCAATATCAGCACTAACGCTGCTCTCCAATTTTTTGTTTGCCTCTTTGTATTCGGTTTGTTCTTTGGGTTTCTCTTCTGTTTTTCAACTGCTATTGATTGCTGTCTTCCTGTTCTTTCTTTCTTGAATCTTATCCAGAGTGTAAAAACAGTATGAAGTTATGGTTAAATGGAAACTGCGGATTAATTATATGTAATAATAGGGATACAGTGATAACTAGGAGAGTTACGTTTAAAAACGGGGTAGAATCAAAAGATGCGTTTCATAGCCTCTAACTTACTTTTCATACCGTTTGTCTATTCTCTTAACTACGTAGTTTAATAAAATCAAATTATCGGTAAAGAAAACGAACCATCTAGCTGATTAATAAACAATATAATGACCTTAAACAATACGACTGAAAATTCACTGGTATCAATAACAGTCCGTTTAAATTTACCTTCTTGAGGTGCGACAAGCGTTTTAGTATCACAACGTTCGAATTGGATCCACTCACAGTTTTCGCAGCTTTTTCTTGTTCTCATTCGTATAGGGTACGATACATGATCTACAGTTATGCATTCTGACCAAATAGCCCATTCCAAAGAGTCTACTAAATGATTTGAAAAGAAACAGTACGTGTGATAAGGTAAGGGATGACTAAGCAACCACTCAAAAGTAGCCAAGTCAGAAGGTCATTTGATGACCATATATATATATATATATATATATATATATATTATTTGGTGGTCAAATATATTTTCTCTTCTGCTCTTACGTTCTCTTTCAAATAGCCTGTTTGTTAAAGGCAGCGTATATCACGTTCATATCTCGGACACAGCACATCATAATAGCAGTACATGTTATCCCAAGGTGATATTTATTACCATAAATATTTGTTGTTTGGTAGCTGAATATTGATTTGGGGACTCAGCTATTATATTTTATCCAAAAGGTCTTAGTAAATATGTGAAATAAAGCATTAGAACTGAACGGATGGCATTCGAGCCCCGTCGGAGACAGTGCGCTACGTAAAGATTAGGTCCAACTCAATATAGAACATGTTAAAACTTTTGAACAACCTTCTTCAAATCGTTTGATGATTACAGACTGATTTGAGCAGGATAACTGTGATAAACCAAATGGTATCGAACTTTTAAGTACTCATTTAACATAAAGAAACAATTATTGATCCTGAAACGATATGTTCATGTATATATTTTCAGAATTGCAATTTCTTACTTACATACATTTTCTGTATCAAATTGTTCAACTACAGCAGATCTCTTCCGATATCTGCCTTGATGTAATCGTTGCTGTAGACATTTTGTTTCATCGATTTCCAATTCACAGGGTACCGTTTGTACACTATTTTCGAATCCGCCATAACATGAGCTAGTATTATGTGTCTGTGTCAGTTTGTTAACAGATGAACTGAATTCATTAATGCATGTTCTAAATCGACGTTGCACACCTCTTGGTTGAGCACAAGGTTCCGTTTGTGAACATTTACTCCATTCTGACCAACAACTCCAATAACCTGTTTGAAAATATAACAACAAACACAGGTTCACGATAAAATAGATAGTCACAATTCTTAATCTCATCAGTGATATTAAGCTACCATCTACTATCGTCCTCGATGGCTACCTTTGTTGGGCATAGCTCCTCAGAAGAAATACACTGTAGCCAAGCTCAGTGGTCTAAAATGTCTTGTTCGTGTTTAGGCCCTGTAAATGCGAATGCGTACTACTGAGGAATCCCATACTAAAACAAGATAGCCGTCTAGTTTCAGATTCACAATGTTAGTCTAGTTTTGATCGGTTCGTGATTACAATACGTTTAGTAGCTGAACACTATAAACTTACGTCTTTAGATTAGCAGACTTGTCATTCTACAACGTTTATAATGTGAATAAACATCTATTAAGTGCAGTACTTTTTTGCTACGTTCACGTTATGGAGATCTTCACTAAACCTTCTGAAAAGCTTACTTACTTAATTACTTACGCCTGTTACCCCCAATGGAGCATAGGCCGCTCACCAGTTTTCTCCAACCAACTCTGTCCTGGGCTTCCCTCTCCAGTTCTGTCCAATGTTTGTTCATTCCTCTCATATCTTTCTCTATTTCTCGGCGTAGTGTGTTCCTTGGCCTTCCTCTTTTCCTTTTGCCTTCAGGGTTCCATGTGAGGGCTTGTCTTGTGACGCAGTTAGGTGCTTTTCGTTGTGTGTCCTATCCACTTCCAACGCTTCTTCCTGATTTCCTCCTCCACTGGAATCTGACTTGTTTTCTCCCACAGTTCGTTGTTGCAGATGGTATCTGGCCAACGAATCCGAAGTATTTTGCGTAGACAACTGTTCACAAATACTTACATCTTCTAGATGATGCCTTTCGTAGTTCCCCAAGTTTCCGCTCCATACAGTAGAACTGTCTTCACATTTGTATTGAAAATCCTGATTTTGGTTTTGTTGAAAGTTGTTTGGAGTTCCAGATATTTTTCAACTGTAGAAATGCAGCCCTCGCTTTGCCAATCCGCGCCCTCACATCTGCATCCGATCCACCTTTCTCGTCGATGATGCTGCCAAGATATGTAAAGTTGTTAACGTCCTCGAAAGCATCTCCATCAAGCGTGATTTGGTTGGTGCATGTTGTGTTGCATCGGAGAATTTTGCTTTTTCCTTTATGTATGTTGAGACCTACTGCTGCAGAGGCTGCTGCTACACTGGTCGTCTTCTCTTGCATTTGTTGTTGAGTGTGCGATAGAAGAGCCAGGTCATCTGCGAAGTACAGATCGTCCAGCTGCGTCCTAACTGTCCAGTTGATACCGTGCTTCCCTCCAGATGTTGACGTCTTCATAATCCAGTCGATGACCAGGAGAAAGAGAAAGAGTGAGAGTAAGCAACCTTGCCTGACACCGGTCTTCACCTCAAAAGAGTCTGTCAGCTGACCTCCGTGCACGATTTTGCAGTTGAATCCATCATAAGAATTCCGTATGATGTTGACTATTTTCTCAGGCACACCGTAGTGTCGAAGAAGCCTCCACAGTGTTTTCCTATCCACGCTATCAAATGCTTTCTCGTAGTCGATGAAGTTGATGTAGAGTGGTGAGTTCCATTCAATTGATTGTTCCACAATGATCCGTAATGTAGCAATTTGGTCAGTACACGATCGATCCTTACGAAATCCAGCCTGTTGATCTGGAAGTTGGGCGTCTACGAAGTCCTTCATTCTGTTTAACAATACCCTGTTGAAGACTTTGCCTGGTATTGAAAGAAGAGTGATGCCTCTGTAGTTCTCACACCTGCTCAGGTCGCCTTTCTTTGTTATTTTGATCAGGTATCCTTCTTTCCAATCTGATGGTACTTGTTCCTCATCCCAAATCTTCTTGAAGAGGATGTGAAATATTTTCGCAGTTGCTTCTACATCTGCTTTCATTGCCTCCGCTGGAATGTTGTCTGGTCCTGCTGCTTTGCCGCTCTTGATTTGTCTGATGGCTATACTGATCTCCTCAATCGTAGGTGCGCCAATATTAATTGGGAGGTCTTTGGATGCTGCTTCGATGTTGGGTGGGTTCAGTGGAGCTGGTCGATTCAATAGTTCCTGAAAGTGCTCTACCCACCTATTTCGCTGTTGTTCAGTGTTGCTGATTATTTTCCCTTCCTTGCTTTTCACTGGTCGTTCTGGTTTACGATAGTTCCCGGCGAGCTTCTTTGTTGTTTCGTACAATTGTCTCATGTTTCCTTCTCTTGCAGCCTTTTCCGCCGTCATTGCTAGATCTTCCACATATTTTCGTTTTTCAGCTCTGATGCTCTTCTTCACTTCCCTGTTTGCTTCTGTGTATGCAGCTTGTGCGGTAACTTTCTCTGCTCTTGTTCGGCTGACATTCACTGCTGCCTTCTTGTTCCTCCTTTCTTCAATTTTTGCAAGAGTATCAACAGAGATCTATTCCTTGTAATGGTGCTTCTTGCGACCAAGGACCTCCACACATTTTGAAGTGATTGCTTACTTAATCCCTTTCCAATTGTTCTCCAATGTTGCTTCCTCTCCATTGAGTAGATCCTGAAAGGCCTGGAACCTATTGGTAAGGGCTATCTTGAATTCGTTGAGCTTTACAGTATCCCGAAGAAAGGCCGTATTAAACTTCTGTGATGTTGTCTGCCCCGTTGTCCAGTGCTTCTTTAGCTTCAGTTTCATTTTGGCGATCAGCAAGTGGTGGTCTGAAGCTATATCAGCTCCTCTCTTGGTTCTCACATCCTCCATGGTCCTTCTGAACGTTTTGTTGATACAGTTATGGTCAATTTGGTTTAGAGTAGTGTGATCCGGTGAAATCCATGTGGCTTTGTGAATGCGTTTGTGCGGGAATATTGTGCCACCGATGATCAGTTTGTTGAAGACATATAGGTTTGCAAATCTCTCACCGTTTTCGTTCCTTTCTCCCAGTCCATGTCGTCCCATGATGTCTTCATATCCAGTGTTGTCCATGCCAACCTTGGCATTCAGATCTCCCATAAGAATCGTCAAATCCTTTGGTGAACATTTCTCGACGATTGAATGCAGCCTTTCGCATAATTGATCTTTAACGTCGTCATTGTAGTCAATGAGAGGTGCATAAAATTGGATGACGTTCATTGTAATGTCCTCTTTCTTTGTTTTGAAGGATGCTTCAATGATCCTTGGTCCATGAGATTCCCATCCTATCAGTGCCTTTTGTGCATGTTTGGACAGCATCAGTGCAACTCCTTGTGTATGTGAAGCATTTTCCTCTTCATGACCAGAGTATAACAGCAGTTCCCCTGAAGCAAGTCTCAGTTGTCCTACTTGTGTCCAATGCGTTTCACTGATGCCGAGCACCTCGAGGTTGTATCTTTTCATTTCTGCCGCAACTTGAAATAGTCTTCCAGTCTCCCACAATGTACGAACGTTCCATGTACCTAAAAGAATGGTTGCTCTAGTTGTCAGAAGAGGCATCGGCCCCGTGACTTCCGAAGGAACTCGGCTTTCATCACGAGACGTCATAATTCTTCTTCCAACTCCCAAGGCAGAGTGAAAATAGTTTGAATTATTATTTTTTTTTTCTGGTTAGAAGAATGTATACAAAAGAAGTTTATTCAACAGCCGTTATCATAGTATACAGTGTTTTTGAAATTCTTCCATTCATATTCAATGTCGCATCAACTACATATTCAGCCTTTTAATTTAGACGACATTCTTATCATTTCATCTACTTTGCTCCTTCGTTTTTATGTCTGATGAATTATTGTCATTGTCAACTAAGATATCATCGGTTATTGTTGAGGAATAATGTATATTCTTACAATTGTACAGCTTGAAAAATGAATTCGTCCAAAAGAAAGCTCTTCTGTAAATCTCTCATTGTTTTTTATTTGATTTCTAATAGAGTTTGTTCTAATTGTTCAGTTTGTAAACAAATTTTTTCATAAAGTAAGTTAAACACTTTCCACCATAGATTTATTTACCTGTACACGATTGCAGATTACATAGTTCATGTTCTATCTCGTAATCTTTCTTTGTAAGTTTATCCTTTGTATTACGTAATAGATACGGCTTAATTCTTTTACGATATCTTCTACCACCACCACATGGTTGTGAGCATTCAGACCATGATGACCAATCATTGTTAATAGTTTCTGATAAAACTGGTAGAAATTTTTCATCGTTTTCAAATAATTTATCTGTTGAATAATAAATAATAATTTAAATGCATCATTATCCCATATATGTAAAAGCACTTGAAAATATTTTCTTAAAATGCATAATAAACAAAATTCAATAGCTTAATGATTAGATGTAAACATTTCCATACTATTTACATTTGAATGATCTATGAATAGTAATCAATCTCATGTGTATGTCAAGTTCTACTTAGCGCTGATTGAATTCTATTGATCAGTTTGAGATGCGACTATTTTGTATGAATGAATTGATATTTTGTGCACTCATGTTGAGATGTAAAGTGGTGGTTGAATATAGTTAACAGGAAAATGAGAATATAGGTTTCTTACAATTTAGCAATCGTAAGCAAGGTATACCTGTAATCTTGAAGGACTAATCAGTTCATAGACGTAGATAACAGTAACTTAAATAGTCATTATTTAGTCAGAAAATTTCGTGTGCTAAGTTACGGAGACAAAATCCAACTCTTAATACTCAAGATACTACTTAGGATTTAAACTATTATGGCACCTTCTTGAGCTACAATTTAAACACATGTATTTTCTCCCAACAAGGATTTCTTGTTTGAAACATATTTTTGTTTTTATTGACTAAGCGATCATTTTTCAGCTGATCGGAAAATCAGCGGAATAAGCTGCAACTTGCGGAGAGTATCCAGTTGTTCAAGAGTTACCATAATAACATTAGTGGAATTTTTCGATGTATCACACCGATCATGAGAAATTGAGTGTTTTTGCAATAAAAAACCATTCATGCATAATTTTGTATCATAAGCTTGTCAATATCACTAAAGTTTCCATAATGTACATTTTGTTCATATTCCCATTACGTACTCTAGAACAAATAGACAAACTGACATTTAGCTTAAAGTTAATAAATGAAACCTCCATTAATTGGGTTCGGTTTCATTATTTTGACATCCAGTTATAAGGGCATCTCACGGCTTCAATAATGTAGTGAGATATAAATGAACAAAACGATGATCAAATAAAACGGGACATATACACATGCAGTATGACAGTATGTTAAGAACCTGAAATATGCTAAACCGAAATGATCCATTGTTTATTATTATAGATCACCTTAAAATCAAGGCTGACTTTGGTGAGAGATAGTAGTTCCACTCCTTTGTAATTACGTACGAATGTCTGTTTTTCTACGATAATACGACTAAATAAGGCTCAAAATCTGTATTGATCACTTTATCAGTGGCATCCTAGCCAAGACCACACTAGTTAGGTTAGATAGCCGAGTAGAAATCAGCAAAACATTACCATCTTATTTTCCATTTAATCTAGTGACAACACATTTGAAATAATCAATTTAAAGGTAATTTTCTGGTTTGAGGATGTGATTAACGTAGAGAGTTAATCAGTACCTTTTTATGAGAAAATGTAGGTAAACACAAAGTTCATGTTAATGTACTTCACTCCACGCCTAAATTTGTGCTTTTTATTCATCCAAATATCAAATATCAATAGGTCACCTGTTTTGAGCTAGCGAGAACATCATTATTTAAGTCAATGTTTATTTGAAGTTGATTTACTCGTATGAAACCATGAAATTCATTTTTCGCGTTCAATACGATGAAATATTTTGGCAGTCATATATCATATATCATAAAATTAATTTCACCTACAATCCATTCACTATTATTTCACAAAAGAACTTATGAAGACTTACTTAGAAATCAATAAGTAACCTCAGAGAAAATCAAGCTGAATCAGCCAGCAATGTTGTCTACTACATTCATATCTTAGAAAGTAAATGATGCTTTACACAGTACCTTATAACTACTGGGTCCTGTTGTTTGATGTGATCTATGATGAAATGTAATTTCAAGTTGTTGCATAGAGCGTATATTTCAGGGACTAAGTTTTCTATAGTACAGCAAATCCATTATAAACATGATTTACAAAAAATATATGCGGGATCGCTTTATACAGATTTGACCTTAAACATGATATATGCAATAATGAACAACTATCTTTCATCCCATAACCTAGAAGTACTAAAACTAACAGGCAGGTAAATATTCACTGTACATAAAATTGTCAGAAAAGAACTGCTTAAAAAAGCTATTACTCCGAAAAATTTTATCAAACGTTTAAGATGTATATCTAGTTAAGATATTCACTTTTTAAAACACTACTAAAATGTAGTTGCAATGAAATAATTTGCTTTAATCAATCACGTCACTTACCAAGATCTTCACAATGCACTTCATAACTGTCTTTATCAGTCTTGCAGATACGAGTCTGAGTATCGATTTGCACTTGAAAACTATCGGACTCTGGCAATTTCGCTGAACACTCGACGCGATATTGTCTTTGTATGTTTTCTTTCTCAATACTTCCACCTGTTATGTACCACTCACTCCAAGCAGATGTAATTTTTGTTGCTAAATAGATAAGTGAAATTAGCAATTAGGTCAGATAACTTGATTTGTCTGTTTTACACAAATATCTTTATGTATGAGATATATTTTATAAGAAAAATTAGCTAAATTTTTTTTCATTTTGATGCTAAATAAGTAAATAAATAGAGATTTTACTTCAAGCTATCAAATTAAAGTAAGCTTTCATTAATGGCTGTTATCTAATGAAGAATTATTGATGAAAACCACTGAGGATTGAACGATTTCCACAAAGTTTCAGTCTTAATATTAAGCATGTGCTTAATGATTACTGAATTACAAATGTCCTTTATATCTCACAAAAATTCCTAATGGATTGTATTCAAACACATAGAGAGTAACATAATATATTCGTGATTTGTAGAAGTAAATATACCAAAACTCACCTGAACATGGATTAGTATTGCATTCTCTTTCTTCAAAAGCTTTACCAATGCACATCGGCTGTTTTATATTCGATGACTGATCTTTAAGCAATAGTTTCACATCATCTAACGTGAATTTTTCTACATTTCCATCCCTTAAACCATTATTATATTTACAAATTCGTCGACGAAATTGTTTACCACCATTACACGAAACTGTACATGTGGTCCATTGTGACCAAGATGTCCATCCGATTACTGGTGTTGTTTGTTCTGTTGAATTATTTTGGAAACGTCGTAATAAATAAAATTTAATAGATAAAATCAAAGAACAAAGTAAATTATTGTGTATACAATATTCAGATTTACATAAGGGAACATTCTTTGCACTTACATGGACTAGCTCAATGAATTTCACAGTATGAGGCCAACTAGCTAATTGTTCAATAACATGTTTGTTTTTTTAACAAAGTATAACGCAATAAATTCATAAAAACATATTTGTCTTGATTGGATTTGGATCTTGTACAATTTAGTCACACTGCTAACATATTCTAGTAGGTTTAGGCTTACATCAGATTTGATGGAAACTTTGTACTTAAAGGTAAAACGTTTCTATTCAAAGATATTCAAATTACTGTGTATTTTTATAAACAACTAATGTATTAGTATATTAGTTTTCAGCACATATGACTGCTAAGTTTCAAATCATATTCATTTCGAGTCAGATTTCTGAATACTTCTGTCCACCAGTTACGATTGGACTAATTTAAAACTTTTAAAATTTTAATGAGAGGAGTGAGTCGGTTTGTATTTGCGTAATACATTTCGAACAACCTGAAAGTACACATACTGGTCAAAACAACTTTACATCAGCATCAAAAAAGACCATTCAACCAAATGCCAAAATCTAATAATAATTCCATTTCAAACAACAAAGCAGCCAACCATGTACAAATATATTTGAAATTTTTCTTCATTAAATATGTTGCTTATAATAGAAAAAATCAGTCTATAGTTCAGTTAATTTTAAACCTTCTTAACTGCAATTTACTGAAAATAGTGGTCAACATTATTCATGAAACTCATCAATCGTTTATCAACTTGCCTATTAGACCCGGAGCCACACTTAAGGTAGATGAATGTTGGCAATACTTACTGACTTACCTATACTAACGTACTTGGAAATACGTCCGAATTCATGATTTAACACTTCATAGTAGACTAGCTTAACCGCTAAGCTAACACTCCATATTATTGATTAAAGTATTAAATGATATAACTGCATGCATAAATTCTTGCGATTTTTAGTCGCATGTATGTTTCTCCATGTAAAACATTTCGTATTTAAGTGGTTGAATGTAATGAAACTTCAAACAAAACACTTTCTCATTTCATTCTCTATAATTTTTATTTCCTACGAATAACAAAATTGACTGAATTAGACAAATTGGAATCAAGAAATATTCTTCATAAACTTCCTTTTTATTTCATATAATCATGAATACAGTTTCAAGAATTTATTAAATTTTCATAATAAGCGTATCTAGAAGATCATCAGCTAACTGAAAATAATTTAGTTAACCAAATGCTTTCTGATACAAGATCGTTTGATTCAACATTTAGTCAAATAACAATGCAATAATTGTACATATTATTATAATCAATGATAGATATTTATATAGGACCGGTATACAAATTATATTATGATAAGTACTTACCGGAGCATCTACCAAATTCTTTAGTACAAATTTCAATCTCTTTATCAGGTCCATGACATTTATAGGTATTTCCAACTGGACTTGGATTAGAACACCAACGATATCTTGTACGTATTGGTGTTACATTGAATTTTTGATGTACAGAATAACAAGAAGGTTCACATCCAGACCATGCAGACCATTTAGTCCAGCCACTACTGTATGAACAACCGCTAATTTCAACTGAAGATCCATTTAAACATTCATTTCCATTGAGTTCAGATGAAATGAATGAGTTACAAGATCGAAAACGGCAATTACATCCGGTCAGTTTAAATTGTTCATTTGAATACTGTTTCACTAATAAGTTACTTTTATGTGTCCTTGACGACGGTTCACAACTATTCCATTCACTCCAGCTACCCCATTCACTCTTTATTTTAAAATTTGAGATTAGATCACTTTGAACACAGGTATCCGAATGAAACGTCATAATATTATTGCCTATTCCTTCGTCAGTACTTAAGTCAACACATTTTTGTTTTGCTTCATTCCATCCACAATAAGGATCTCTTAGAAGTTTACATCCTATTCGTTCATCACCAAATCGTTTACATCTTGCAATAGGTAGACGTATCAAACGATTTTCTATAGCTATTACAATGAACGAGTCTTTGGATTTCTAGATATTTTTAAATTTAAAATTTAAAAGCAAACAATGGAAGATGAATTGTTATCTAAATGGTAGTATCATACTTATTCGTTAACATTAAACTATAAAACATAAATCAAGTTGTTGTCTAACAACAATAATAAGCTTTACTTAGTGATAGTTTTCCTTTCGACTAGAGTACTATAAATACAACTATTAAAAAAAGCTCCAAACTATCTAAATTGGTTGTGATGAATTGAAAAGACCTCAGTAACATTTAATAAATAAATAAATCTTTGCTGTTCTTTGAATGGCTATATACATTTTTATTTTATGATATGCTGCTCAAGTCATTATTGGTACCATATGGACAGAGCCATTGTTTCTCATTTTTGGATTCTTCGGGTAATAACAACGATCATTTATCAAGAATCGCTTCTCCTCTATCATTACGATATTAGATATATTGAATAAAAACGTGGCAAAATAAACTTGTAGGAGAGGATAAAATGGAAAACTTCGTCCAAGTTTTAAGTGGTTCGGATTATCCTGTTTTTCATATTTCAGCTGAAATTTGATCAGTTTTAGTTGGCATATGCGGAATCCCTCGATCTAACGATTATGACATAAGTTTACATTGAACACATGGAATGTCGTTAATAGTGGACTCAGTAGCTAAGTGAATAACTCCATGGCGTTTTAGGCGAGTGGCAATCGTTTCGAGTCTCGAAGTGAGCATTGACTCTAAGATGCAAGCACATCCAGCTGGCGAGTTCAAAATAGGACGAAACGTACCTACTTATGAGTGTTACAACTAATGAAGCATAGGTCTTCATAGGACAAAACGCTCATCCTGAACTGCACTGCTAGTCACATTCGATCTATTTCATGTAAGTTTCATTCCAGGTTTAATAAGCTGTGAATTAGTTACGTCGATACTCCAGCTTTATATGATGAAAGAAACGATCAATAAATTCTTCTTACTATTAAATGAATTACACTTTATTCATGTTCCATCAACGAAGTTACTTTCCACACTACTATTTTTAAAGTTTTATGTGAATAATCATTTGGATTACTGGTTTGTAAATCAATATTTTATTGCTGAAAATTTTTTTATGAATATATATAACATCATTCAGTAAACCTGTAATGACTTTTTAAACACCAAAATTTGTATGGCTTCAAAAATAAAACCGTTACTTAATCTGTTTTGCTTTAAGTTTTATGTATCTAAATTATCGCAGAATTTGATGATTGAGCCTAGAATTAAAAGTAATCTGAAAGTTTCAAAATATCGTCTAACATCGTGAGAAAATTTACTAAACAAAAGTTTAGTTTTAACAAATCTACTTAAAGTTATATATGCATTATTTGCAGCCAAAATTACGCAATCAATGATTACTTTAGAAATGATAAACACATATTTTGAACAGATTGACTAATTTTACGAAGGCATTCCTTCAGTTGTTACACTTGGATTATTCAGTTTATAATCGTCAATCGCTTTACTTATTGTTCAATAGACTGTTCAATCAAAATATTTTTAACGTTTGCAAAAAAGATCTCAATTCAATTTCACTAGTATAATGAAATGTTGTAATACTGATTTGGATCATTGTCACTATCGATTAAACTACAAGGCTTATAAAAATCTAAACATAGTATCCGTTGAATTCTAACGGTATTCTACTTGATCTTGTTGACTAGTATCAGTTGAATGTGTTTCAAAGTGAATGATATGAAAATTAATAGATGTGCGTAATATTAACATGAAAATGCCAATCTGTATTGGAATTCATTACCAGCAGATGTTGGTCTGATCAACCAGATACAGTAAGTTTAACAATTTAAATTTAAAAAATTTGCTGAGGCTTATTTCTCTGAACTGATGGTTTATTCATCAAGCTTTCATTGTTCTCTTGAACCAAAAGACGAAATTACAAAAGGAGAAAAACCGAACATTATCTACGAAATAAACTGTTCCAACTGCGGAATACAATAAATCCGAAAGTTTTCACGTCCTCTTCACCTTCACCTGCGTCAACAAACATGTGCAGCCAAATACCATAAATTCTCTTCGCCTATATCATGTGCATGTACATATGCACAATTACGGATGTACATTTAACTGTGTAATTATTGAAAAGTTAGACAGAGGGAATACTGAGAGCGTCATACAGTTGTTAGAAGATTGGAAATGAACCATCAACAACCACATCGAAATAGGTCCAACCCACTAACCAATCAGAACAAACATGGATATATTTATGATGAAGAGGCAGATCAGAGGGAGATTCTATCAATATAAAGAGGCAGATAATGATTAGCTGAAAGTCAACGGTGACCAATGAAGATGAAGATGGTCAGAATAAGCTATGCATCATATGTGCAGGAACTTGAATACTTCGCCGCTACCTGAAGTTATTCAGATGATCAACTAAAACTTGACAATCAAGCCATCTAGTTCAGAGAAAAAACTTCATGATAATCACCTATACGAGCGTCAACTCTTCATCATATTAAATTAAAACTGTTATACACAATGAAAACATAAATAAAAATATACTCACTTTATTATTTTGATTATTATGAATAATTTCCATTTGAACGTTTGCAGCTGATATACTTTTCGAAGATCTCGGTAGTAGATAAATTAATTCTACAAGACACAATTGGAATTCTTTTATATGCCATTTGTATAATATTCCTTCAGAGCTAGTCACAAAAATGACCATATTCATATCACTTCTTAATGTTCCTGGGATTTTACTGACCACAATTTGTGTAAATCTATACAAATACAAATCGAACAAATATATCCATGTTAATAAAAGTGGTCAAAATAGTGTCTTAAACATGGTACAGTTAATTATTCGATCACAGAGTCTTGAATATTTGTTTCATACTCACAAACATTCAGTAGAAGAAAATATTCCTTTCATATACTCAACAGAAAACTCTAAGCCATGATAGCACTAAAATGAATTCATTAGTTAATTCCGATCAAATTAATACCATAAATAAAGGCTTTCAGTAGGACTACTGAAAATCAAATTTTTCACATTTTCAAATTGTATTTTACAAAAGCAGTCACATGAGTAATTATACACCGTAGCCTAAGTTCAGTATTACTCAGTTCATTAGAAAATTGAACAGACTACTTTAGTCATTGTAAGCATTCATTTATAGTTCAATTCCTTGTGTAATTATCCTGTCACCTGATCATTTGTACAGTATTAAACAGTCTAATCCATAGACAGTATTCCACTCAGTTATTCATGTTCGATTTTAATTGTTTTGCAAATCAATTGCTGAATGTATCGCATTGATTAAAAGTGGATTAAAAAAATTAATAGAAAACTGCAGCTTGTTTAGTAACTGAAAATTTTAATCTATGAACATGATTCATTCATTTGATTGTCAGTGGCAAAGATGTTTTTACCTTACTAACTGGTCGTCTGTGAAACAATGAGAAATTAATACGAAACCACACTATGGAGGTCGGTGTTAGTGTTTTAATTAGTAATGATTGAAATGATTCCAAACTAGCATTAATGAATTAATTTCTATATTACCAAAAGTTCAAAATAAATAAAAGCTCTATTTTGAAATGTGATTGAAACTTACATTTCACCTTGCTGTACTAGAATTGGTCTATCATATCGTGGTCTGACAGTTTTAAACATCAAATGATGATCATTTTGTGAAAATGGGTTTGATATAAGTTTATCACACTAAAAATAATGAAAAAAGTAACATCATGTATTACCCAATCGGTATCCTAACTGTATAACTCGCAAATTATTCACACTGAACCTTCGAGTAAATATTTGTCCTAATTTCTCCACGTTATTAACTGTGTGTTGATCAATGAGTCAGAGTTTAAGCCATTGGCATTCTCATACTTAACAGCAACAAAAACCAATGACTAGTATATAAAGTACTTAATTACCAGTTAAATTGTTCTATGTCTTAAAAGTCAAGTCTGTAGTCAGTGGATTTCTAATCCCAACTTGCCATTATTTGTCACATTTTTACCCGCGTCGTTGAGTACGAAAAGTCTAGATTTATTCAATAAAGTCTACTAGATGAATGTATCAATGGTAGATAAGTTAGTAAATAATCTTACTGTTTGTTATTTATGGTCAGTATTCTACAGTAAGAATATTGAAATGAAAAGACATAACTGATTTTTTGAATATTAACATGGAAGATACTCAAAATACTTACACAATAAAGAATAGGGAAATTGACTGGCACCTAAGTCTTATATTACGTACAACGGCGGTTTTGTCGCTAATCGTGCCGACCTTAAATTACTTATTTACAAGTTCGAACCTCTTTTTCGATTTTATCAGTCATATGATATCATTAACGGTTACATAAAACACATTGCTCAAATTTCGGTACGTAAAACTGTGATTTGTCTTTTGAGTTCTACAAAATATAAGTCTTATAGTTCATTAATGAGGAAAGTCTAGCATCGAGAAAAATTCATGATGAAAAGCTTTAGGTTCCAGAAGTTACCCTAGTTAATATCATCACTCGTACAATAAATATAAATTTCTAGGAGAAATACAAATTTTGTTTACATTATAATCATTTCTGGTTGTTGTGGCAACTCCATCATTTTTATAAAATTCTCCATTGAATACTGATTCAATCTCTACCAAACTGTATTCACAAATAGCTGATGCAGTTGGCATTGACCTATAACAGAAAAAAAACGTAAAAATGGATCCGTGAAATTTAAAAATGATAACTTATAAAACTATAAATCATTCAATGTAGATGATAAGAAATAAAAGGGAATAGTACTGAATATAATGAAACTTGATATTCACGTTCCTTATCTTCATATCGTCTGTCGTAGATTAAACATTTCCATTCGGTTACTTATAAACGCAGATACGAATTGTATTCAAAAACCGATCATGCAATAACTTGCAATTAAGACAGAATGAATTTCACACCAGGATATGCATAACATATTCGTAAGATTTTTTATTGGTAGTTGAAGGTTTAACACGTTCAAATTGAAGAAAAACAGCAGAATCGATCAATTAGACAATTCACAACTCAGATTCAATACTTCATTCATGTTTTCTTAATACATTCGATTAGATCAAAGTATGAACTCACGATGAAGTTTGAAAAGTTCCAAATAAAGTTTTAGTTGATTGATCTACATATACAGCTTGAAGTTCAGTAAATACCAAACTATTAGAACCGTCATCAGGTGTTGATGGACAAGTGATTGTAGCTTTGAGAAAATAATTGAAAACCCCCATGGAATTTCCATCATCTAACTGAATTGGAAGATTTAAAAAGGTCTTAATTAGTTTGACTACTTACTAAGATATGAGTAGTTTTCTGATTTTAATAAAATAAAAGATGTGTAAAAATCATTATTTTTATCTGATATTAAGAACTTCAAGCTAAAATGTACTACTTGTTAAGCGAAAACATAATCATATGACGGTTAATGAATCTAAGTCTAATATATTTTCTTCCATCAGATACTACGCATAAAATTAAGCATAGTTTGATAACTACTTGTTTCGATGAATGTTATGACTCCGATAAACATTCTTGAACATTGATGTTCATGTGCTTAGAACTTTCACAAGAAATAAACAGTGTTCCAGTTCTCTTGAAGGTATGAAGAACGTTAAATAGAGGAATTACAGTAGTTCTGATTGGCGTACACAAAAGTAGTTATTACATTATATATTTTTCTTATCCATTATATCTAGAGGTAAACAGTTAATATCTTCTTCTTCGTAGAATTACTATACCAAAATTATCATGGTTGTTACATTCACGACAGTAGAAACTACTTTTTTCTAGTTGTATAACTTACGTATTTACCAATAATTCATAAGAATTCCAAGAATCAATAAATGGCAGTTGATAATCAACTCCCTTTCTATTTGGTCATGCGTTGGTTTTACGCCTTCAAAGCATATAAAGGTTGTTAAAACTATATAAGTTATGTATATTATGACTTTTACATAATGTCTAGATTAGTATTAGAATTCGATTGAAAAAAAAATTAATACTAATTACTTGATTTAAACATATACAGAAATGTACTTCTCAAGTTACTGAATATTAATACGATTGTTAAATGTCCTATAGCTTGATTCGAATACGTAATGGAAGTCAGTTATCTGCACTGTTCATTTCCAACTTAATCTGATTTAATGATTTTATTTAAACAAGTTCTGTTTTGAATTATAACATATTTTCTATAATGCTAGTTTACTCAAAATAATCGATATATATATATACAAATAGGGAAATGAAGACTTACACTACACAATCGGCCGATTCGTGATACGATGATCTGTAGTTATAGAAAAAATCATGTTGAATTATCCAATATGATAAAATTGCTTTAATTAAATAATGACCAACTAAATAAGTGTGATTTATATTGAGCATAACTTATTCACATTCACTTCATGTTCTTAACGGCTACATACTACTTATCTTAGGCCAATGACTTGCATATTGATATGAATTCTGACATTTTATAGCAACTGGTCAATCGTCTCGCATTTCGATTCATAACTTTTATCGTGATAACATTTCTTCACTTTATTTTCCGTGTATGAAATTCACTGGGAAAATCTTTTGACTATGAGTGACTCGACTAACCTCGAAATCTATCTACTGATGTATTTTTGTTGGTTGCTATCACTATTGTTCTACAATGCTATGTTATATTTTCCTTATGTACATTAATGGTTGTAATTTAATTCCCACTCACTTATTTGCAAGTAGAACTCTGTGGCTGAATATGCTGTTGGTGGCGTAATTAATGAGAGAATACTCCACCGTTTCTGATTTATAATTCTTCAATGTTTTCTGTATTTTCAGACAACTATTGTCTTTCGGTTTACTGGACTGTATAAGCAACTACATCGTCTTATGTTATTCAAAAAATCCAATGTTTTCGCTACCACATCATAAATAATCAAATCTCATCTTCTGATTAATGTATCAGTTTTGTTTTTCAAATATCAAACAGAATAATAAATTTAGATTTATTTCTTTTCAACCAGTTATTACAACTGTATTTATCACAAAATGATTAGACTTAAGTTCTGGGTTCCAAAAGGTAGTTAACTATTTTACAAAGTTATTACATAACGTTCATTACATTTATTTGCTTAAGCAAATTCATGTACTTCTCATGATATTTCTTGGTATATTCAAATGGTGTACCTTCTCTTATTTTCAAAGATGTTTTTTTTGTAATAGAATTCTTAGAGTTATTGTTTGGCTTTTCATCCAATTTCCTAAGAGAATTATTGGTCACTTCCTGTTGGTTAATTCCTACTGGCCATATTTATGGTCGTATTAGATATCAATGTCACGTACTTCAATGTTGTTTCTTATTGGTCGTCTTAACTGTCAATGTCACAGACTTCGATGCTGTTCGCTTTTCGACCTAAATGTATTAATAAGTATTATATGTAACATTTTATGGACCGGACCCGTTTCCCTAGTCCGGGATCCTGATTCTCTTCTGAACTCAGACCTCTTATTTTCTGGATGCTTGAAGAATACAGGTTCTACTTCATATGAAGTCTTCTTCTTTCACTCAAAGGGGGTTGGGACACTGGGATTAGAGTAGCATGTTATTTCACTGGGTCCTCGATCCTTGCTCTCGTTTTCCGAATAAGGTGAAGTGGTAATAATTCACGCATGGCAAAAAGACATATTTACTTTCATGCGTAACAGTTATTCATTATTTTAAAACTTACTGATTTATCACAACTTTCGACTGTTTCATCAGCTAATTCTCGAAACAAAAAATATACAGCATTGTGAAACTCGAAACTATGTACAAATATCGTATTATCTGAAAAAGATTAATAAACAATTGCACCGGTTTACACTTTCAATAGTGTATAATGTAAAATAATTACGAAATATTTCAATAATATTAACTTGTGAAATTTTAAATATATGAAGCACTTGAATACGGTTTGCTGCAAATGATTTGCGTTTCAATTAGTTTTATTTTAAGTATTGGTTGAAAAAATATCTGACTCAATCAAAACATTGATTTTTCACAAAGGATTTTTAATTCTATAGAGTTAATATATCACGATATTATTTCAAAGGCAGGATTGTACATTTAAAGCTCATATTATGTTTCTGGCTATTTATAATTTTAAACAACCATTTTTACACAACCAGTAGTATCATTGTAACAAATATTCACTACTTGTTAATGTGACTAGTAGAATGTTGATTTAAATCTCTTTATCATAGTCATTGGAAAAACGATTCAACAGATATTTCATTCAGATAATTTCTCATCAGATTTATAACTGAAAGAATAAATATTCATTTGAAACATTTGAACTGTGGCCGTCGTATATATATAAACGATTTTCTTAACATTTGTTTGTGTACTAAACATATGCACAACCAAGTTAAAAATACGCAACTCATGTTGCAAGTTGTTTTCACTCTTCTAATTCCTAAATACCAGTTCTTGATTATATGAGTAGAGAGGTTTTCGTGCTTTCTCATACAAAATTAGTTTATCAGATAAAACTGTTGATTGATTGCACTATCTAAAGGTTTTTTATACTATTCAATGAATAGCTTACTTATAGGTTCAGATTGGCTTACTTTCGGTTAGTGTGCTAAATTATAGATAGGGACAACTAGTTATTTCAAGAAAAATAACTGTGGCTGTTGATCACTAATTATCAAGTCTCAGTTTACTTTTTGTTTATGAAATACTTCCACCGCATAAAACTACTAAAAAACATGAAGTAAAGTTTCTATTGTTTGATTCGATTCGAAACTTAATAAGTACAGTATTTATTAACTACATTTTAACAAAGATTACAAATTGCAACTACAATTCTGACTGTAACAATAGATTAAAATCACACTGTTGTGGTGTAACTAGCACGAGGAATCTACTATCTGTTCAGATAACGCTGTTTCACTTACTATTTTGTTTTATTATATTATCATCAGATAATGTACGAATAGGATATTTAAATGATTGTACTGAATTCAAATTTTCTACAGAATTAATTTTCATAATATGGATTTCCGAATTTTCTAAGGATCCTGTTTTACTACCAATATATAAATTTTGTGTACTTGCGACGAAACCAACTGCTGGTCGATTAGGATCGATTGGACAGTAATCGACATTTTTCCAGTGTATTTTCGATGGAGCACGCAAATTATTAGCCTACAAGAGATGAAAGACAAATGTTTAAAATAATATTTCATACTATCAGATATGCCGAATTGATAATTTATTCAATTATTTTTGTTTAAAGTTGTCGATATTAAGAAGAGTTTCATGTTTTAAATGATATAAGTGCCCACTAAGTTGTTTCACATTTTACCAACCCATTATTGCATACAGATACAGATACATGCAGAATAATGGTGTGCTTTCTCATGCGAATCAATCAGTTCTAATATTTTAAAAAATTATTATTTCTAATACATTCTACTTTTGAGTTTAGCAACTTACTGTATTCCAAGATATTTTCAATTCTATAGACAAACCAAAATTAATAATCTAATATTAACATAAAGTAATGAAAGTTGACAATAAGTACTGATATTCAAATATCCTGATTATTCAGCAATCGACAGGTGAACATTCATTGTTTAATCTTGTTCAAGATCTTATTTATAAGCAGTTTTGAGGAAGTCAGTCAGGTGTTGTTTTTTTAATTCAAAAATCATAATAACTGCTTGTCTTTCTCCTTTAAAGTTCACACTAAATGTTAATGATTTTAGATTAGATCATATTAATAAAGAGAAAAGGTTGTAGTCCTTATTTCTACTGACAGATTAATTTATTGATGACTGAATGCGGGTTTATTTAAATGTGGTATTTTACTAAATTCTAAACAAAATGGAATGTTAATTATGCATATTCGATACTCGTTTGTTTCAATTTGACAAGATTTCCAAGTAAACTAAAAAATTAGCTGATACTATTTTGAACAATAAAAAAATAAATCATTCTACTGACCACCTTGTGAGATACACAACTACATACTTTATCTAAACAATATATCACACTATTTAAGTATTAAATTAAGAGCATGCACAAAGAGGTTATGAAGACAAAAGGTTTCTTAGTGACGATGTAATAGTTTTAGCGTTATTTTGAGGAAAAGAATTGAATCGTATTAACTAAGTAGAACGTTAAAACGATAACTATTATCCTTCGCATCGAAACTATCATCCAATTTGCGAATATTATAAAATCATTATTTCTCAAGCTCAAGCATAAAAGTCACATTCAAATGGACTTTTATTTCGCTGATTAAACCACTTTAAAAAGAATTTCAAGACAATCAATAACGGACTTTTTATAGCAAACACATTTAAGTATATGTGTTCAAGGAATTAGTATGTTTAACTGCTTTTTCATCGTCACATTTTAAATTAATTCACTTAAACACAAAACCTGTGGCATAAATTAAAATTTAGTTCAATCAGAATAGAACTGTATTTTTGATAGTACTTCTATGTAATATATGTCCTATATTGATTCATAAACAATAGATAAATGAAATAATTCATGAATATATTTGGAAACTAAATTTTTACCACAACTGGTTATTCAAACAATAATGTGTATTTTTCCAAGCCTATGCATCTACTGAATGCAACCACAATGCTTACTTTATCATTATAACCTTCTTTAAAAGTCATCAAAAAAACTAATCCGCCTAACTATATAGATACAAGATTCAATTAAATAAAACATACTGCGAAAACCAACCTGACGAAATGAACATTCAGCTATTAGTCCATTGGATAAACATACATAAATTCCAGTCTGATGTAAAGGTGAATCATTTAATCCAGGAAATATTTTATCTACAACTTTTACCAAAGTCACTGCATATTGATTACATGGGATCTAAAATAAAATTGAATGTGAAATTATCTTACATACAATCATATTTTAAGATGATTATTTGTGATAGAAATATTTTAAAAGAAATATCATGCAAATAAAGCATCTTTGAAAAGAACCTTTCTACACCTTCTGTCCTAATGACTGTGACTATAAATAGAAGTCCTATCAAAATAAATTATCTGTTTGAAGAAAGAAACAATTTTATTTTATAATAATTAATTCTGTTGCTGATGTTAGATCCCCAGAACTCGGTTTATAAATGCCTTATTTTGGATTTCACGTTTGCGAGCATGGGCTGATCAGTTGACCTTGAGATTTCATTTTCCACCAAGAAAGTCCTTGGATGTAATTGGCTGATTCTATTGTAGTGTGCTATTTTTGTGACTGTCCCAAGGACGTTTCTTTGATGTTTATGTTATGTTCGTCACTAGGTACGCTTGAAGCTATTACGAGTTCACCTTAGTCGATAAACACGAACGAGACAATTACCAGCGTCCAGGTAGGCTACCTTGAATCCCAAGCTGTAAAACAGAAGTCTTGATAAGTGTAGAAAGTATATTCTACAACACCCAGCAATCACAATGCAATCAAGCACACAACTCTCGTTTATTTATACATCATAGAAACGTCCTTGGGACAGTTAGGAAAATAGCACACTAAAATACACAGCAGCCAATCGCAGCCATGGGTTTTCCTGGTGGGAAATGAAATCTCATGGTCAACTGATCAGCGCATGCTGGGAAACGTGAAATCCAAAACAAGGCATTTAACAAGCGATTTCTGGGGATCTAACATTCCCAACAGTATAAATAAACGAGATTTGTGCGCTTGATTGCATTGTGCTTGCTGGGTGTTTGTAGAATATATTTTCTATACTTTCAAGACTCTACATTAGTCAGCAGATCAGGGTAACCTACCTGGAGGGTAGTTCATTGTCTCGTTCGCGTTTATAGACTAAGGTGAACTCGTTATAGTTTCTAGCATACCTAGTGACGAACTAACATATTCTTGGTATCATGACAAACTAGTATTATGTCACACTAAAAGCCATTATATCAAACTGGCTCATTTTGGTTTTTATTGCTGACGTGAATTTGTGAATCACATTTCCAATGTCTAATTCGAGATAAGTTGTTTGATGTCGTAGAGTTCGACGTTCAGTTTACATTAAAGGCCCTGAACCTTGATGTCCTACTTCTGAGGACATAATAGTAAGGTATTTCTGTAATCTGCGGAAAATATTTACATTTTTGAAGTTACCGCGAATTAGTGTGAAATTTTCTTATCAAATCATACAACTCTTTAAATTCTCAGGTAACTTAACACTGTTATAAGTTACATTTATTTGACTAACATAGTAAGTTCGAGTATTATGCAGCCGTAATTGTAACATGATTGTGAATATCCATATCCATGTAACTTGAGTTCAGGATTTGTTACAGATAAGTGTTTATTATTAGATAGTAAGTTCATATTAAATTACAATTGGTTTATCAACATTAGAGTGTAACTCAATCCTATAAACATTGAAAATTATTTTGTGGTGACTATGATTTTGTAAATAATGAAATTGTATATATTAAAAATTGTGAAGTTGAACAATGTTCTGTAATTATTTTGCTTACCAAACGCCCATTTATTGAAGTTCACACTTAGTACGCCAGCAATCGATAACTATTACTCATGAATATATAGCGTTTGTGAAAGAGAAATAATTCACATAAATTAACTAAAATTCTTGGCTATTTTTCCCTACGATTATGTTACACATTTTTTTCAGTCATATGATTTCTCAGCTTAAATTGGAGGTAAGAATTCACGCTAAACCATTGTAAAAGGTGTTTTATAACCTTTTAATGTGCTTACTAAATTACTTCAAAGTTTCTTTCTGTTTGTGTTTTTCATGCAGAGTTCAGAAACATTCACTGTTTCTTTACAATGAGTTACATGCTTGTCATAACTACGTGTAACACCGTGCATATTGCACTTTCAAGTTACGTTCATCAAACATTGATCTGTAATTCACAGAAAATGTGACCATATTATCATTACGTATTAATTATTGATCATTTTTGTAGTTAAAAAATGCCATTTAACTTTTAATTTATTCATGTTTTTTTTTATTATTTGAATATACATAAATTTTAAATTTTATGACAAAATATTTTTTCTGAAAAAGACATTGATTAAATGAAAATAATTATTCGCCATTTTTTAAATTTTTACTTTTTCTTCAAATGATGTTATTTTTATAAGAAAAACTATTTTTCAATAATATAAATTTCTTAAATTTTCAGATATACAATAATGTCAAAACACTGTTATATGAATGAAGAATATTCTTTTGAATACATTTTCTTCAGTTTCTACAGTTAAATATCCAAACTTGGTCACTTTTTGGATTATAAATTTCAATATATAACTATAGAATATGAAGTGAACTTATTGAAACGAACATTCTTTATTAGTAAGCTTATACTAAAAAGAATCAATATGACACTATCAATTTACTAATCAAAACAATAAGTTTTATATCTGATTGCAAGAAATAATTATGTATGTATACATATGGATATCACTTACTTCTCTATTTGAATGTTGTTGAGGACAAGTTGATATATCTTGACTAGACAGAGACCAACTAGCTTCATCTTTTTTTATTAATGTATCTGTAGTAACTCTGATAATTGAATTACTGTCGAATAAAAAGTGACAAATTTAAAACAATTATTCAATGATCAAATTCTTAAAGTAATAATTTATGGGTGTAATTTATTCCTACTGAAAACAATAGTATATACATATAGTACTTTTCATAATTCACTTATATTTCATAGAAAACAATTTTTAAAAAATGTATCTGGTTAATTTATCATATTTTATTTTTGAAATAAACATGTAAATAAATTGATTTCTTCATTCAATGTTTCAACAATGGAATCTTCTTAACTGAAAATTCTGTATGACGTAACTTTAAATTCATGAACAAACCTAATAATAATTAGGACAATAATTATAATCTCTATCATGTGTTCTTTATTGTCCTCACTGAAGTAGGGACATTTTAGTTTCTCTTGTAGTTCTAAACTGATTTTTTTAATTATCTGCAGGTGAATCTGTGAATATTGCTTATAGTCTGTAAATCATGTATTAGTTTGAAAAACTTACAACGATATGGTAATTTTCTTACTTATGTACAGAAATAAAATATTTTCACTAATCTACAATAAATCACCCTGAAACATTTAAATGAAAACGAGTAAAAGTTTAGTAAAATAAAGAACGACTAACCATTAAAATGAACTAATTTATAATTGTAGTCAAATACTATTAGTTAGAAATCAATACATTGGAGTAGGATTAGCTAGTTCTTTTTATGCATAGACTTTATTACCTGATTTATTTATCACTACTGTAAAAACAGACAAGTTCACAGTAAATTAGAAAGGCTTCTTAGAAAATTTTATCATGGAGCTTAAATAGAGTTTCGAAAGAAACCAAGCACAAAATATAGTTTAAAACAATTAGTCCCTTTTATAAGTTTTGATAGAACAGTGAGAAGACGTCTTCTCACTTCTTCTAAACATAAAATCGTATAACGTAGAGGAAGTAAATAAGTATATGACAAACAATTCTTTCTTCATTAATTTAAAAATCGCTATATAGTAATCAACAAATAAGGAATATTCAACTAAACAGTTGTTCCTGATAATTTTAACAGACCTAGTATTAATGTATTATAATAATCATAATTAATTTAACTAGAAATATCGTGTCAAAGAGAAGGGAAATAACAGCCATAAGTAAAATATGTAAAGTTAAGATAGAGCATTGTACATCTAAGAATGGTGTTTGAGAAATAGAGAGGAAAGACATACATAATAGGCGGTTAAGGATAAGAGTTTATAAAATTCGGTTAGGAAGTTATATGACTCAATTGTAGGCCAAGATAAACAGGATGAATTAACAGAATGTTTTTGATGACTTAACTTTGCTTCCCACAATTTGATCTAAACAAATTCACTAATGTTAAGAAAGAGTAAATTTAAATCATTCAGTAAACTGTTTTAGACTTGAGACGAAGCTGAAAAGGCTCTTATCCTGACCACATGTTTGTTTCCTATCATCTGAGAAAGGTTTTACTTTCAAGTTTATTAACTTCTAGCTATTCTCCTTAGCTATTTTAACATATGGTTGTTTGTAAAGAGTAACGCTAAATGAGTATTATTACTTAAAAAACAAGGTCTACAGAAATAATTAAACTGATATTACTACATAGAAAGTTGATCACTAAGATCTTCTACTGGTCATTTTGTTAGTGCTTGTTTAACTGTTTCTTTAACATTCCTTGAGAGTGGATATTAAATTATTTTTCTTGTGTAAATCAAATTATCAGAAACCAAAAGTCATGCACTTGCATTATTCCTGATTAAAAAAGAAGGGAGTTGGACTAAGTATATTGTTATTTAATAGGATTGAATATTAGATCATGATTCTCTGTAAACGTTAAACAACCAAAAAACAAAAGTCTATATCAATGAATGAAGCTTACAACACCAAAATAACTCATTGCTAACCTTTTGTTTTATGATTTAATTTAGTGTACTTTTTCAAAATACTTTGAAAAAGTAATCGAACAGATTCCTAAATAGTATTTAAAATAACTTCCAGATCTGTTACGCTGATTTAAGCTTACTGATTTTAAACTAAATAATACTCTTAAAAGCCAAAAATAATCAACCTAGTGGAAGGTCAGCAAAGCAAACTATAAGTCATATTGGAAGAAACTCGAACGTAACACTTCAAAAGAATCATGAAAGCTTCACGACTGAAACATCCAGATCAGATATGAATCTCCACCAAAGTTCCTTTGAATGGCATATGATTTTATCAAATCCTTCTGCTAAAAATCTTTTATCCTCTCATGTTTCTCTTCTATTCCCAATGTAATATGTTATTCAGAGTTCTTCTTTTCCATTCACCTTGAAGATTCCAAGTTAGGACTTACATTGCGCCGCAGTTAGGTGGTTTTCACAATGTGTTCTATCAACCCAGCTCTTTTTCCTGATTCCAAACTCAGCCAAAAGCTGCTTTGCTCAAAGGATGGGAATGGCTACAGATAAAGTAGCAAATGTTAAGTGGTTTTATCAACTCAGGATAAGCAATAACAATCACAGTCAAACATCTATACTGAAGTTTAGATAGATTTTGTTTTCATATTTACATGAGATTAAAAAACGATAAATACTATTAGTGACAATAAACTTGAATAAATTACATCTGATGTCTTTTATATATTGTAAAAATTCCTAATTATATAAACTTACTTTACTGCAATAAACAAGCTGTTTGATGATGGATGTACAGAAATTTGAGCTATACGACTCTTCTTGGGTAAAGTAAAACTTTTATGTGTTGACATCCATTTAGGATGAGAAATAAAATCTGTAAGATAAATCAAAATATAGCTAGCTACATTAGATTAGTATAGAATTTATATATCAAGTAAAAAAGCTCTAGTTCAATCTATAAACAATTTTTGTTGGGCATCAAAACTAATCCACTAAACATCCTTAATCACAAGGAAAATTCTATTACAGAATAAGCGCAGTAAATACTATTTTGAATACTTGGAGGATGATGGTTTCGTGGTTTTAACATTTATCTTTAGTACTTTAGGGTTTAAGTTGGTATAAGTTGATTACTTATGTTCATCGATATGTTATCAAACCAGTCATATTCTACGTAAAACTTGATACACTGAACCAACTTCTCATATCGTAATTTATTCAAATAGTGGTGGTTGGAAATTCGTGAGGAAAGAGGCGAATTCTTAGGAATAAGAGTTCTTGAATCAAAGCCAGAGAACTTCAAGTAAAGTGTGACTTGTGAGCTTAGTATTATGATAATAAAAACATTTGCCACTCATTCATCTGCTCGTTGATAATCTATAACAAAATAAATTCATCAATAAACCGATTTCATTGTCTTTATATGTTTAACCGCATTTAGAATAAATTGTCCCAATAAAATAATAATTAATACTTACTCTTTTACTACTTTTAGTTTTCATTCATACTTTTTTTGGGTCGATTAAGCTTTTTTCACATCTTAATGTTATGTTCCCATAGCTTGCACATCTCTCTCCTAAGATATCTTATGTATAAATATGCACAATCGACATGTAAACTATTTCAGTTGATGTAAATTAGTAAATCCATTAAAGAACATATTTCATTTTCATACCTACTTGGTAATATTTACTCAGTGACTTTGCATAAAATGATGTTTTATTGTGTAATACTAGTGCTTCTTGATTTATTGCTTTCTCTGAAATCTATTTAGTACGTACTTATGGGTGACGTGTCAAGCAATCTCTCAACTTGGACAGTTCAATAATTCTTAGGTATCAACAGATTTTCATCAATTAACTAAGAATTTAATTCAAATAATATACAGAAAATTTTGACTAAAGATTCATTTGAACAAATGAAAAAAGTTTTTTGTAAAGTAATCATGTATTCATTGGAAAATCGATTACTAAAAAAGTAAAACAGATTAGCATACAACTACCAAAAAATACAAATCCCTTATATTGATAACATAATGGTACTAATAAAAGACCTAGTTTTGATACTTATTTTATCGACTACTCAAAAGTCTAATTTAACTATTTTTTCACTAAAATTCACTATAGCTAAATGTTTGTAACCGACTTTTAATTCTGATGAAATTGGTTCTAACCTGAGACAACATGTAACGTCACAATGTTCATTATTTATTGAAATAGTATACGGATTCCAGCGAGCTATAGAATTCAGAAAATAGTTTTATTGTGTGTATGATCGTATTATCACAGAAAACAGATCATAATTTCTTTCCGATCACAGTAAGTTGAATTAGATAGTGAACTTATAGTCGAAAACTTAATTTTTGTTTAAGTACATTAGAATATTAAAAAAAACACCGTCGTATGGGGGTTTAAAGGTGTGACTTAAACTTGTACGAATGTTGTATGCACAATATACTCTGAGAAATTAAACATCACGCTTTTTAGTTAACTTTCCGATTTATTTCAGTCTATGGTTGGCGTCAAAGAAAGGAATAGTAGGGTCAAACCGATTAATAAATTATACTTGCAGTCACCCATGAATGACTATCTTACATAATGAAATTTCTAGATTCTAAACGAGAACTGTTGTTAATACTTATCATTAAAATTTAAATTGTCGAAAATCCTCCAAAATATTTTACAAAAGTCTAATTTAACATAAATTAACATATTCTACCGCGACTGACTAATCACGTGCTAAAAGTAAATCGCTCTTCTGTGTTCCCTTAACTGTTAAGAATAAAATAAACAGAAGTCTTTTTAGGTTAGAAAAGTGCTGAACAACCCTGTCAGAGTATGGAAGGTTCTGCACTGAAACTTCAATTCATTTGGTGTGTTTCTTGACTAACCTATATTTTTTACTCCTATAATTTATCATCAGAATATCATTATCGACTACACCTTAAAATTTTCTAGTTTATGAGACAAGCTAGAGTATAGTTGGTTTTATAAATCATATTGAGAGAAAACTTTTAATATTTTTAAAACATTTACTAAACATATAAATGTCTCTTAATCCCAAAGAATATAAAACCCTAGCACGAACAATACAATTGAAACCAATATAATATCTGTATACCATATGAAATAGTCTGCAATAATCTGAAATATGACATCGATTTTCATGAATGTTTGGAATAAACGGATAGCATCTCTAAAATAATTAATTTCAAAGTACATAGTTATACCACCAGTAATTTATGACTTACAAATGAAGTGATCGTAATAATTTTAACCCTAAAAAATTTGGACTATAAAATTTATAGTTATTTGTTAACTTTTAGAGATCGTTTTTACATCCGTATTTATTTATGCTGAATATAACTTGTCTAATGACTGGATTTTCTGGAGAATTTCTGTTGCCTGAATCTGTTACAGGTTTAAGTACTTCTAAATTTTTCTAAAATATACTGGATCATAGTAAAATATTACTTTTATTGAAAACCATTGGATGTGTATCATTCAGTTTAGTATTAAAGATTGAGTTAATGATACTCAAATTTGGTATGACTAATTAGTTATAGCTAAAAAAGAATAAGGGTGATTTATAATATAAACACATTAAATGATTATTTTACTGCTATGACTATATCGCTGATTATGGCAATCACAATCACTCATAAATCGATATCACATATTCGCCTTTCATGCATACACATATATACATATAGAAAAACGTGTGCATACAAAAATTCACACAGTTAAAATATGAGCTTGGAATTTAATTTGTGTTTATTGATTTATCATATTATTATTGTTACACAGATTACTAGTACAATTTGTAAGCATTGCCATGGCGTTTAGTGTTGAATACGATTGGTAATAGTGTAAAAACGATATTGGTGATAACTAAACAATCACTGTTTAAACTATTGAAAACTAGTCATCACTCGACAATTCTAAATTACTAACCAAGCTATAGATTACTTGTTTGCACTTGCATTTTTAATAGGTAGGATATTGAAAAATTCCTCTCGCGCTTCATGAGCATGTAGCTAATTATTAGAGACCAAAACAAACTGCAAGTGACTCATGGAAATAACTGTAGCTAATGTTTATTTATCATTCAATTTGATAAATACTTTTGAAATGGTGTGGAAAATTTGTAGCTCAGGTGGGTAATTTTGAGCTAGATGGTTTCGTCGTGTTACAATTGTCTATTGCAGAAATCATTAGGATTTAGAAGGAGTAACACTTAAGTAACAATACATAGCTCTTCAGAGCAGGTTAATTTTGATTATTTGACTTATGTATTTTTTTGATGAAATCTAACTTCCTGAATTACTTAACTTCTTGCAAGAAATGTACAACTTCCACAGATGTTCGTCAGAAATAAAAATCCACCTAGATTGATCGATAGAAACTTGGCACCAAGACATAAATATGTTGAAAGAGCACCCTTTTTTATGAATGTCGAATTTAACGAATTTGCGGCTGCCAAAATCTTGGACAAACTGATTTCAAAATTCCTTAAGAAAACCTTTTATTCAACTAAGTTCTATATGGTTTTCTCAAAGTAGCCTACCATTCACAAATGTGTTAAAAATAAACTTCCGCTCATGGCACCTAAACATTTACTTGTTCTTAAGACGCAGGTCACACTAGCCACACAAAGCTAACACCTTCCAAACGCTTATGACAATATCACAGTGAGGCTTTTAAAAGGAATAGTTCAGTACAGAAGCATCTGATGAACTCTAGGCATATGACTCCAAAGAGGTTGTCCTTTAAAAATATCCCATACAGTTAAAGGGATTGGATCAAGGGAAGGTTTAATAAAAAACTTACGTACTGTTGAGGCGTTGGCGACTCACCAATTCAAGCCCAAACTCTGCGTGAACAAATGTAGCGTCCAACTTCTCACTTTTCCTTAGCCCTAATCCCCTTCTCTGGTATGTTTTTGGTCTTGTTTTTCTCATTGTTTTGTACTTTTTAAATCGTGATCTTTTATTAGTCATTATTTTCCTCCATCGATTTTTCATGATTAATACTCAATTATTTTTATGACCTTTACATGCCTTATTTTTTCTCCATATCTGTTAAGTGAACATTCATCTTAAGTATTTAAGACCCGTAATTTATTCGCATCATCCTATCCTTCTCTAACCCCGTAATCATTATGAAACTTCCTATTTTATTTGAAATTTTGGATCACTCTATGATGCAGTCTTTTCAATCCTAGTATATTTAGTATATTTATCAAGCGACTATCAATACGAACATACAGTTAAAGTAAATGTTTTCGTCCAGAAGATGTAACATAACAATAAATCACAGTATCTGAATATATCCCATCGCATTATTTAACAATAACAAACTCAGTGTCAATTAAAAATAGTTGCTCCTAGTTAAACTTCAATAAATGGAAGTAATTTCTCCTTGCTGTATCTTTTCACGCACGTACAGACCAAAACATTAACTTCTGACACATTTTAAAAAGTTACAGTGGGAATCAATGATGAAGGTGAAATAAATATGAGAAGATCTAGAATATGAAAAACCGTTGAAATTGAATAAACTAGCAGTTCTTAAACTTATTCATAATAAGATAAAGCAAAGTGTATTAGATATGATATTTACATCCAAAAATATGAAGGTAAATGGAATTATAATTTCATGAAATACAGTTTTTGGACTTATGAAATGATAATACAGCGTAGTATATTGGATTTTAATTTTAACGAATATGTATAAATGTTTCATCAGTTTTGAAACAAGTTATACGAAGGAAAAACGATGGAGACAGTACGTACAGAAATACTGAATTATGAGATTAACCTAGAAAATAAGACAGTTCCCTACAGTGGTGGAATTTCATTCTCTGTGTTGGATGGTTTGATTGTCAAGTTTTAGTCGATCTTCTGAATAACATTTCAGTACTAACTTCAGGTAGCAGCGAATTGTTCGAATTTCTCCACGTATGACGCACAGATTGTTTTTTTTAGAAGATAATCATCAGATATGTTTCTCTATTTTACCGTGCTGCATGTTTGGACCAGTATGTTCTCGTCTTTTCGAAAAGGCTTGTTGATCTAGTGATTATTTGAGGTTGTGGCTTCTATAGTTCATATTTAGATCTATGTAGATTGTGTTCCGATACACCAGATTATCCATTTTTCATTTTTTTTTCTATTTATTGGTTTATTTGAAATCAGCGCAAGTTCGGATAACAGATTTAGGTTACTAATTCTCAGTTTTATGTGTCCAAAGAAATAATTTAATGCCTTTTATATCACTTCATTTTTTCGCTCCAACAACAATTTCTTCTGTATTGCGGATACTGAGTACATGATATAGTTGAAATATCTGGTAATCATTTTACGTACAACCAATTCCATTGATTTCTTCTTGTAGATCAAGATACAGGTACATTGGAATTTATACACTCAATGAAAAGTATAGATGTTCTACAGTACTAGATCTAGTGTATATTATGTGCAACGGGGAAATCTGTTAGAACTAATCAAACCTAAAACTTGTATTCTTGCTCATGTAGGATATTCATTTATACAAAGATTCTTATTTTCCAACTTTTTAGGGATTCATAATAACTGCTGAACGTTTCCAATGATCATGACTAAACAACTAAAACTTTTTTGACAGCCCTTGAGTGATCTCAAACGAATTATTGTTGATGAATAAAAAGAAAATCATGAAACAGTAATAGCTGCCAGTAAGAAAATATTTTGTGTGAAAAAAGAAACTTCATAATGGTTTAATAAGAAAACATGGAACATATATATTGTAGTATCTGTACCAAATGATGATCCATTTGCACACTATTCCGTGCCTGATTTAAATACCAATCACTATATCTTTGTTTATGTTCACGGAATTCTTCCTGAATTCAATACTCATCCATGTGAGACTATTACAGTGTGAATTGGACATTTCTGAGTATTACTAGTTAGTATACGAAATACAGTTACTCTTAGTTATCGCAATTTTCTCTATACATAAAGCTCAGTAATCAAATGATAGCACGTTGTCAACTCAAAAATCCATGAAAATCACTAATTAAATAACATTGTAAATTGATTTTTATTGTTAATGTTGATGATGAAACCGGGATTTACGATTTCAATAATTATCACAGTAGAAATCATCTTAGTCAATGTTACATGTTCAGTATAAAATGAAATTTTAAATGCGTAATATTTAAATAAGTTCCTCTCAGTTGAGATGTTCATCATATACACTAGATCTAGTGCAGTAGAACATCTATACTTTGCATTGAGTGTATAAATTCCAATGTACCTGTATTCTGATCTACTAGAAGAAGTTAGTGGAAATCGTTTCATGTATTCGATTAAAACATGTTAGTGATTTCAGTCCAATTCTTAATTATGATTTTTAATATTACAAGTTATAAACAGCTGACAAGAACCAAACGAAATAAAATGAATTCATGTTATTCTGCTGAAATGTTGGATCTTGCCCTTTTCAAAACTTTTAGTAATTATATAAAATACTATGAAATACGACTGATTTTCCTTTAAAAAATTCCAGGAAAGTATAACGGGTAACGGTATAGGATATCAAGTGGGACACAACAATCCATTAATCATAAAAGTGTCATGCAATGTCAAAACCAAGTAAACTCTCTACGTAATTAGTCAAAAGGAAAACTCACTCCATAATATTCAAATAAAACTAAGTGAATACCAAGAGAGACCAGATGTAAATCTTAAAACAAGATGAATGACATTTGGTATAATTCTTATCATAGAATCTCACACAGCGCAAAACTAATGAGATTTTTACAGAATGTTTAGGTACTTTTGATATTTTAAATTATAGTTGGCAGTTTGACCTATTTTCTGATTACTCCTTCTTAGAATCATTCCTATATCATGTCTACACACTTTTTACTTTTTCATTTTAACAGCAAATATAAATTCTTTAACCTACAAAGATACATTAAACCAAAAATAGTGAATCAAAATTTATTTGTAAACAAAACGTTCATTATTATGATCATTAAAACTTGACTAAGAAAAATATTTATGTGGATACTTTTTGAATTAAAGTCAAGAGTTCATGCTTAAAAAGAATTTGATCTTAAATTCACAGTAGCACTTTCGCAAACCTGTTAAATTGATGATATTTTCGAACAATAAGAATATTTCTTTAATTTAACAGATTTAACAAACATCTAAGAAATAATCTAAATTGAATAGTGAACAACACCTGAAAGAAACAACATAGTTCTGATAATCTTCATCTTCTTATTACACTAACAAAAGAAATCAAGTGTTTTTAAATCGTTTCACTTGCATGTATTCTTTATTATCAAGTGAATAAGTCAAATAGATAAAGTTAATTCACTTAAAAGACTAATAAGATAGTGAAAGATCAAGGTAGAATAAACGTAAATGTAGTTTTATTTTGAGTGAACAAAAATTGAATTTAACAATAATGTCTACTGATCATTCCTAAATACTTCTTTACTGTACATACTTCCTTTTGGCTGCCACTGTAAACATATTTTTAAAAATTCATTGTACTGTTGATACTACAGAAACTTTGTTATAAGTTTGCTGAAATAAACATTGAGATGAGAAATTTACTAAGTCTGATTACGAATACATTTGGAAGAAAAGTATATTACAGCATCAATCGAAAAATGACACTGAAACACCTAAATTCAAAAAGATGTATTTGATCAATCCTAATAGTTAGAATGAGTACAATAAGTCCTATTTGGGAAGTTTTTCATAAATAAAGAAAGAAAACCTTTATCATCAACTCTCACATCGACTTGCAATACAAGCACCATAGGCATCGACAACAATCCCTATATTTTTTATCTGGCAAATAATGCGTACTATGGAATTTAGGTTGAATAGGAAACTTTTGATGAAATCAAATAAGATAACTTACCATCAATATAAACAATTTTATAATTTGGTACGCTGAAGTCTAATGAATATGTTTTGAATAAAAGTGAATTAAGAATTATCAATGTGAATGTAAAATAACTAATTAGTTGAGGATATTTCATTGATGAAATAATAATTATTTGTATATTGTCTTCAAGAGAAATAGATTAACAAAATACTTTACGTTTTGTTTAAAATTTAAAGCGGTTGGATATAATGTGTTGTTTATTGAGATATCACTGATATGTGATCATTGACAACTCATCATTTTACATCACAGTTAACATTTATTTGTGCAAAACGAAATATATTTACGAAATTTTTGAAAATTAGCATCCCTTTCTGTTGACACTAAGAATGTGTTTTCTAACGACTAACCACAAATTTGTCGTCATATATGAACAAACAGAAGAATAAACTCATCTATTCATACACACGAACATATCAATCTCAACCAATGGGATATGAGATTTAGTTCATATTCTCTTAGAACTGATGCTTAAGTCACGTGCTGCCTAACTCATAAAATAAAGAGGAGGAATGTGTATTAAAAGCTAAATATTTAGGTCTGTCACTCGAACTAATAAAAAAGCTTGAATCCACAAAAGTGAGTTGAAAAATAGGTTCACAATGTCCTCCTGAAGCACTACTGAGTTAAGGAATTAAGTCACTATATTTTCCATAGTTTCTAAATATATATTTAGACAAAAAAATTCCACATTTTTCTAACAACCCTTGTCACTATGGAAAGTATAACGAGTTTATCAATTACCTGACTCGCTCAAGATAAAAGTGATATTTGATAATCTTTGTGCATCACCTAAATTTTGATGAATTTTTCAGTCACTTTTTAGGCTAAATGAAAGATTAGTTAATCATTTAACTGTATATTCCATTTGCTAAGGTAGTAAAACCGCAAAGAAAAGATTGGTCTCAACATCTAGTACCAAGCACTTTCATTTTGCAAAAGCCTGACACCAGCTACACTGATTTTGATATCTAATGTTAAAATTGGCTTTTTTTATAACTCTCAAAGTACATTCTTTACTTTATGGTAGCATTATATTGTACACATTTGAATACTCAATACAGCTTTCAAATATATGCTTTGTTTGCATGCTTGTGAACTTGTTCATTTTTCGTTTTCGTCATCAAATGTAGTTTCATAATCTCTGTTTGATAGATTGGCAATCTGAAGTTATTTAAATCTTTCGCTTGTATTACAGTAGTACATATTTGGAATCACATCAAGTCAACAGATCCGACGACCATGTATTGATTATTAAACAGTAATGAAGAAATAAAACATAATGTAATTAGTAACAAACAGTACCGAAATGTAGCTTACAGGAGAATTCTATTTACTTGAGTTGGGATTCCACCATTCTAAATACAGGAGTATGAAGTGTAAATTCCTATTATTATCAAGAATGTCAGCTCAGACATAAAAGTTTTTAGTAATTTCGACAGTGAAATATAAAAATAAAAAGACAGTAGTATAAGCTTAGCTTATTTTTTTATTGGGTGCATATTTAAGTAACCTGTTGTCCGCATAAAACTATGATCATAGAAGAATAAAATACACAGTTTGCTTTGTCTGATTTCTAAAGTAAAATCGGAATGTTCGGTATTTTTCTTCAGATATTGTGAGTGACTACTGAATTTCTATTTACTCAAAGAACTTAAAGGTTCCAATGAAAATTTTCATGTATAATATCTACATAGATTATGGTAATTTCCCTTTTGTTATCACAATATAACACAACCTACAGAAAATTTTCAGCAGTTTTAATGGCAGTACATTAAACCCACTACATCTAATTACGATATCCTGAAACCTTGTGCAATGCAAAGAAAGGCTATCTTAAATGAAGTTATCTAATAAGCCCACAATGATCTGATGAGTAGTTCTAAAATATATATATTGGTGTTGACTGGTTTACAGATTTGCTTTTAGCACTATTACATATAATATCCCGGCAGCACCACTTATGTATGAGTATACGTAAGAGTTGACATATGCTATTTGTATCCATTCTTCATGAAAGCAACTCTTGGTTCACCTTATTTGAAAATATATGCTTATGAATCTATTTATCTATGTGTACAATGTTTATTTTTTAATCCAAAGTAAGGTCATTGAATATTTTGAATACTTTAACGTCATCATTTGTTAACAGAGTGCTGCTGCTACAAGTGAGCTTGTTTTTATGAACTAGGGATCCGAAGTTCACCACTGAGTAGTTCTGGGATGTTTGAGTTCCTTTGCACACTACTCCAAATTCACTACTTCACTACTAAAAATTGCCAACATGTTGTCTTTTGAGAATTAAATATTATTATTAATAACCTGATATGGAAGAGAACAAGTCAGATTCCAGCGAAGGAAGAAATCAGGAAGAATCACAGGCAGGACAGAGTGGATTGCAGAATGCTAGTCGGTGCTTATGCTACATTAAGGGAATAAAATAGAAGAATGACCAACATATTTCAACTCAATTGTGTGCTTGAGAAAACCAAGAAAGTTGGCTCTGATTTGACATTTCTGAATATTTACCGTAGTGCTGTGTTTTAGAAGTCGCTTGAAGACAAAATCCACCCTTAAGGGATGAGATTCTCTGTCTAGCCTTGCGATTCAGCAGTAATCACTATAGACATGCACAAAATTAAGACCTTAGAGAACGCTGTCAATCAGCGGCTGAGAATTTCAGGTAACATTTTTTAGGTCTGAAAGCATAAGCAGAGTTTTCGTCAATCTAAACGACTTTGCCGTCCATTATGGAGACCACACGGTAAGAAAAAGCCGATGAGCTGTTTGATAGTAGGATAATCTTTCACATGATCCATTCCCTTTTTGCCACTCTTAATTTTCCAGGAGCTAAATAGCATGCTTTCGATAACGAACGTGATCCTGTAGTCGTAACTCGATTTGTAACATCTCTGGTTACGCGAGGTGATTGCGGTCGTGTATGATGAACTTGCAGTTACCTATCAGGTACTGTTTGAAAGAACAGGTCAGTTGTGTTACATCGTGACCTGTTACAGACAAGTCGCATTACTACCAATACCATCAAAAGTTATGGAAAGGCTAGTGGACGAACAAATGAGGGAGTACATGGAAATGAATAAAATACTCCATGACGCTCAACACGGGTTTCGAAAAGGCAGGACCTGTGCATCTAATCTCCTCATCGCATGGGACAGTTGGACATCCTGTTTAGACCATAAAATACCAGTACACGAAGTATTTCTCGACTTCGCAAAAGCCTTTGACACAGTGCCCCACGCACGCCTAATCGAAAAGGTTGTGAAAATGGACTTCACTGACCCACTCCTATCTTGGCTCAGAAACTACCTTGAGAATAGAAAGTTTCTCACCAATGTAAATAGAGTGCACGCGAGTTAGCGAGTATCCACATCGGGAGTTTCACAGGGAACCATCTTAGGCCCACTCCTCTTCCTGATATATGTTAACGACCTACTAACGATCTACGCAGACGATGCGAAGATCTGGAGGTCCATTAGAAGCGAAGAGGATTCGACTGAGCTTCAAAAGGACCTTACATCCATTGAGAAATGGGCAGTGAAAAACAGTTTAAAACTCAACCAACGGAAGTGCCACGTCATGCATTTCCTGCCTCATATGACGCAAACCACCTACAATCTCAATGGAAGTCTGCTCCCTAATGTCTCCTCAGAGCGCGATCTTGGTTTAATAACCACAGAAAGCCTCCACACGAGTCCGAACTATATAGGGGAGCAGCCAAGGCAAATGCGACTCTTCACTTTATACGAAGACAGCTTGGTGCTATCACCCCGGAATTATTTTTAACCCTCTTTAAGACGTACACGCGCCCACACTTGGAGGTTCACAACGTCATCGCACCCGCTCTGCTGAAAAGAGACATAAATCTCTTGGATCGAGTGCGGAGACGAGCAACCTAACGGGTGATAGGTGTTACGGGAGAAATGAAGACATTTGGCTGATTAAAGCCTTTATATAAATACCATTGATTTCACTGTTTTTTCGGGTATATTTGTTTTACTTAACTTATGAAGTTGTTTCACTTATTATTTTCGGACATTTTGGTTTCCGTTTGTCTTGGTTTGCTAATTGGGAATTTTTGCTCCAGGAACCTATAAAATTGAAGGTTCCTGTAGTTATAATTATAATTAGTTATAATTATTGTTGTTATAACGACATTTTGGTCGACTATTTGTGAACTGCGAATAAACTTTGGTACCTAACTTTGGACTTGGTTCTGTTGTTAATTTGGGTTCGTGAATTGCAAATAGATCGACACACTGTACTGCAATAACGGGAAGGAGAAAACTTTGACGTAACAATAAGGCTGCAAAATAAACCCTACGACGATAGACTCCAGCTCTTGGAATTATTTCCACTGAGCTACAGGAGAATCACAGGTGATCTGATTATGGCGTACACTATATTAAACACGCCAAACCATCCCAATGTGAGCATCTTACCGATGCATCACCACCACTCCCCTCGAGGCAAACCTCGAAAGATTGCACATCAAAGAGCAAATGCTCAGATTCGTGCACACTTTTTCTCATTGCGAGTCGTCGCAACTTGGAATGCTGTCCCAGCCGAGGTAGTTACAGCCCCCTCAGTGGACTGCTTTAAGAAGAGACTTGATAATCACGTAATCACATACGGACTATCATCTCCCTCTTGGACAAGCTGTTCATGATGCATATCTTGAGACCTGCTAGTTGTTACCATTGCCATCTCCTCAGATCACTCAATTGATCTATCTCGCCTTTTATCTTGGTTCCCTCCCCCTTTCTAACACTACGGTCCTCTCTCACAATTTTCACTACCAATTGACAAACTAAATTCATCTATATTTTACTCAGTTCTGAAATTTTATTCATATTAGCATGAGAATTTCATCCTTATTACTCTTATTACTCTCCACATTGTAACTAACTGATCTCCGGTTTGGTAATGTGACGGCTGCTAGTATCCAGAAACCCTACTGCCCTGAAACAAACGTTTCATTCAAATCCCGAGACATACTAACTCACAACCAACTGCGCACTGACTAGAATTAGACAGTCGAGTGGCTAGGCCTCCATCCATTGGACATTACCGAACACCTGGAACCGTGCCGAAAGCACAAGAATCGAGCGCGAAGGAATTAAATTGGTTTACACTAGCTTGTGAGAAAGATATTGGATATTGGTGACGGAACAGACTGTAAAGCTAGGCTTTTGGCGATCAGCAGGATTCGGAGCAATCAGTTAGGTTACGGCGGCATTCGAAAATCATCCAGTAGGTAAAAATGCACGTTTACTAGTCTTGAAAAAGTGTCTAGAAGACCTCAGTTCTAAGGTGTCAAACTGGCTTATAACGGAATAGAAACAAGCCATTCTCTCTCTCCAATCTTTAAAGCAAGAGTTTCATGTTTCATACCAAGGTGAATAGAGAGCATGCAAGCTGGAGAGTCACGACATCAGGAGATTCACCATAGGTTTACTTCTCTCCCTGATATTCATTAATGACCTATTAGACGAAATTAGCTCATCGGTACTAATCAATGCAGATGATGCAAAGGTCCATAGGAAGCGAAGGGAATTAATTTGAGCTTCAAAAGGATTTAACATCACTTGAGGAATGGACAACAGTCAACGAGTTAAAACTTTACCAGTCGAAATGTCACGTTATTAATACTGTGACTAACTTGACCCGAACAACTTACATCTCCAATGAATATACTCTCCCTTATGTCTCCTAGGAGCATGATTTGAATCTGATAACCACAGGAAGCCAACTTTTTCACTCTACATTGCAGATGAAGTCAAGTATAATTCAACTCTGTATTACGTGAGAGGACGACTTGTTCCAAACTCTCATCAAAACATACGCACGGCCAAAAATTGAAGTTCACAACGTTGTCGCACGCTCCATAAAAGATACATAAATCTCCCGGATCGAGTGTAGAGGCAAGCAACTAAATGGGTGATAGGGTTGGAGAAAAAAGCTCGCAAAGACAGACTCCCTCTGAGTGATAGGCGGGGGGTTAAACTAGCATCCTTTGAATATTACCAAAAATCTGGAACCCTTTCAAAAGAACAAGAATCGAGGGCAAAGGAACCACTTGGTTTATATTAGCATGTGAAAGATATTGGATTTTGGATAAATTTGTGCCATTCAAATACACAGTTTACGCCGCCACTTTTTCTCTCCAAGGTCGTTCGAGCAAAAGAGGTAGTTTTAACCAGGTAATGACTTGCAACGTGCTTCAACTTCTAATTTCGGTTATGATATTTTTTTAGGTCCATGGTCATATTATTACTGGTTGTTTTTGATTGTTTCCATAAATTAACGTAGGCGCATTCCAAGTACTTACTGAGTCGACTCACTTTCCTGTTCTATGTCCTTCTAGATTAACTCACACCACGCACCACACAGCTTCAGGCTAGACGAGAGCCTGCCAAAGGCTGTATGTCACACTGACTTGTATATTTCCCTAATTTCCGCGACTTCTGTGCTTATATGGAATCTCTAATCCCCGTTATAAACAAACTACAAGACGTGTTCAATACAGTAGGGTCTGAAACAATACAACTGCCCCAAATTGTTGTTTTAGGAACACAGGTAAGTTCATTTTGATAAAATTTAGCTTTGAAGTCCAATTCTTCGTATTGTATGAGTATCATGATGTATATGAATTCGAAAGCTAGTTTTTTCACCTGTTTTATTTACTGTTTCATAGCTATTCACTAGAACTGTTACATTCATAAAACAAATGGTGTGATAGTACTATCATACATTATTCAAGTTGTCCCATGTGTGACCTAAAAGTACAATATTACGGTTTATAGTTCTGTGCTCAGCGTAGTGAGTTTACAAAGGTCAGTCAGTCCAGTCAGCTACAACGTAGAAATTTGTACGTATGTTCATCAGTTCATGTTGCCATACCACATTAACACAGATGCGATTGTCAGTTCAAATCCCATAGTGGTGGAGATAGTAGAAGAAGTATTACTGGGAATGGAGAAGATGGGGGTTCGAAGATATTATTCAAGAAGTATGGTTCAGTGACATAACTTTAGTAAAAGAAAGACAGATGTGATGAGGGATTCAGAAGATTAAAATTTCGGAGAACACAAAGAGTGGATGCACCTGCACCATTGCAAAGGATTTTGAGCTGTCGTTCAAGGTCTCTAATCATCGGTTACTTTCGTCTCGCGAACCCCAACCAGGTAGTCCACATACACCAACCTGACAGCCCACTTTTCAGTGACTTCATGGATTTGTGCCATGTTTTGGTCTGGCCACCCCTAGCTTTCTTCCAACCTAATCCGACACTACAAAGGATCGCTCGACGAGGCAGTTGGTGGTTGGACATACGTAACACATTTCCCAACACCCTCACTACTTCATGTATTGATCAGCCATCCCTACCTAGTACTCGTTTCCTAACTGTAGCATTGCTTACTCAGTTGTCACAGGTTACATAAACAATGCTTCGAAGGTATCTATAATTGAATACTAATAACCTACGAATATCCTCAACTCTTAGGCCATGTTTCGCATCCGCATAGTAGGACGAAGCGAACTGCTGCGCAGTAGACTCATCCTTCAGTCAGCAGACCGACGATTAACAGTCAGACGCCGCCCTAAGGTCAAGGAATACAACTATTTTTGAACGCCGATATGTGTGTCTATGTTCTAGGATCTGACGAGGTGTGAATATTCGGTCTATACATCCACTGAATTATACTTCTTGAATAATATCTTCGAACCCTAGTCTTCTTCATTACCATTAATACCTCTACTATCTTTATCACTATGGGATTTGATTTGACTTTTGCGTCTGTGCTAATGTGGTATGACAACATGAACTTATGTACATACGTACGAAGTTCTACGTTGCAACTGACTGACCAAGTTCAGGTTTAAAACGAATTTGATTTTCTCGAGTTCGCTCTTTACGAGCTCTAGTTTGGTTTTAAAGTATTATTGAAGCTAGTCTTTTAAACACTATCAGTTAGACTGATTCCTCTGGGATTATCACAAGTGGACTTCTGTCCTTTCGTATAGACAGGGACAACCAGTGATTCAGACCAGTCAGATGGGATTATGTTCAGTTCCCAGGTTCTACTAAGATCTCAGTCAATCTAACTGCCGAAACTGGACCACCATCCTTAAAAATCTCAGCAGTAAGCCTGTCAGGCCCTGTTGCTCTCCCTCGCTTTATATCTCCAATAGCTTTTTCAACTTGATTAAGTGTTGGAGGACTTATATCGATTTGCTATTCACGTTGACTGGAGATCGCAGGCAACCTAAGTTTGGCTAAAGACTAGTTAAATTGATCCCTAAAGTGTTCTGCCCGCTCATCGATCCAATCTCCTGGGTTGAGAATAAATAATATGACCATCCGTTTCTGAGATAGTTTCGTCAACAGGTGGATTCTTAGTAACAGTTTCCTGGATAAGGCGCAACAGCTGTCTACTGTTACGTATCGCCGCCACCTTTTCCATCCACCATTGTTCGCGATCATTGCGTAAGCTTTTTATCAGCCTGCGCTTAGGCTGACTCTGCTCCTTATCGTACTCAAAGCCTGAGGAGGAGCTTGAGTTTCCGAACATCTATCAGTTCAGTAGATGTTACTGAAATCCTCTGTTTTTCGTCACTCTTATGGTTTACCTTACTAGCGGATACTACTGCCGTTTCCACAACCTTTTGGATATCGTTGCTAGCTCCGTCCAATGGGAATCTTTTACACGGTTACCTCATGGTTTCTCTGGTAGTTGCTGAAATATATTGCTATTATTGAGTAGAACCCTAAGAGGTTTCTTTGCAACGTCTTTCCTACGTCCAGTAAGTCAGAAACACATACGCGCTTGTACTAGAGCATGATCTGAATATAAACTTGTGATCCAAAACCAGCTTCGAAATCCTAAGGTGCCATTTCTATCCATTCATTTTCCTATCTCACTTGTTACTTTTGAATTTCATCCAAGGTTTAGATCTTTTTTCATTCTAACCTAAAAAAGTTTATTGTTGCCGTGTCAACTAATGTTACACATTTATTTCTAGTTCTAATGATTATAAATGCCTGACTGAACGGTCCTAAGCAAAATCAGAAAGTTTGTCGATTAAGGTTGTGAATATATGCTGACTGCTTCATGTATTACGTTTTTTTGTAGTCATCCCCTGCCCTCAAAGTACCATATTACGTAAAGTATCATTTACGACTATAGTAAGGAATGACACTAACTCCTAAACGCATGAACTGGTGGTTTCAACTCTGTAGGTAATATAGGCTGTCCAAGTGATCCTTGCAATCACCGAGATGACTTTTTTTTTTATCGAAAATCTAACTTTTTCTGTATTTCGACCATAAGTGTCTTGCCATTTCGTTTGTTACGTGCTTCCATTCAAGCTACCGCTTTTCTAGTAAGGAAGAACATACCAATTTCAGTACAGTCCTGACAACCCAAACGGACAAATTTTCGTACCAGGTTTCATTCACTATTCTTGTGTTTTCTCACTAAATATTTAAATTATTTTTAAAGGAAGAAGTTGAACACTGTATTTGAATGAATTTTCATGTACCTTCTTGATTTCACTGTCAGACTTTACCGCTCATAGTCCCATCTAGGATATCACATAGCTATAATATGAACGTATAGCAGTCATTCACGGTTTTACTGATATTGTATCCTGGTGATTAAGTGTGTTCAGTCAGGACCTTACTTATTCATATATTGATGAGCCAAACTCTGCAACTGTCTACATCATACTGACCGGCATACCCGACCGTTGCTGCTACCTTGACGTGGTGGTCGGGCTTGCTTATCGTGATGACGCAACCGAGCTATATTGGCTGGAACATATGTTCCTGAATGTTCTACCACGCCAGGAAGGTCGATTGGAGAACGATGAGACTAAAAGCAGCAACTCAAGGTCTGAGGGCAAAGTCGTACCTCTAACTGCAGAGGGGTGTGACAGCAGTAAGGTGTTTCCCTTGGACAACCAGCATCTGCAGCGATGCTGCCTTCTCCCAAGGAAGGACGGGGTTAGAAAAGGTCGGCCCTAAAAATTTCACACCACACCCTACCTCACGGATTGGCGTCTCCGGCGGTAAGGGCTGCCCACTAAGGGCTTTAAAAGGGCGGAGCTAATACTCATAAAACGGCCGTGCGTGACCGGCCCCAAGCGGTTGTCCGTTGGACTCTGCGGTCACGCTCCAAGGTCTCCAAGACCAACACTAACCTACCTTCTTCTCCAAGGTTCCTCAAGAACCACCCTTACACGGTGTGGGCAGTCGGGTAGTGACGTCGGCCCGCATACCCGTAATAGCACGCGAGACCAAATCGGTCATAATCAAATCTTTCCTACACTCCCTAATACCTCTCTTATCTCCACGACTAACTCTTCTCGCATTTCTATATCACACTGCACCGCTAATGCTAACGATGTGAGTTCACGAAACGTCATTTCCGGTCTCCTGAAACCTCATTCTAAATTACATGTTGGAGCATTTAATGTACGGACACTGTGTCGAATAAGGCGACAGGCCTCCTTAGCTAGGACTTTAAAATCTCGCTTAATCGATGTATGCTGCGTCTCGGAAACGAGCATACAGGATCCGAGTAGCGTCATTCACTTGACCTCACCATTTCAAAATAAAGAAGCAACTCCTGGTAAAATCATTAATTTTATTTCACCTTATCCAAACAAAGAAGCAGCCCAATTTACTCTTCGTGTATCCGGTAGCCCTGATGCTGCTTCCCGAGGTCTCGCTGGTGTAGGTATAGGATTGAGTCGTAGAGCTGAACAATCTCTCCTAGACTGGATCCCAGTAGTTAGTCGCTTGTGCGCTGTCCGATTGAATAGGACAGTAAGAACTCGTCAAGATAGGGACACTCGCCGTTGCCTCTTCGTTTTATCTACCTATGCCCCCACTGAATACAGTTCAGACGAGGTCAGTCAGTCAGTCAGTTGCAACGTAGAACTTCGTACGTATGTACATAAGTTCATGTTGCCATACCACATTATTAGCACAGAGACGCAAATGTCAAATCAAATCCCATAGTGATAAAGATGGTAGAGGTATTATTGTTATAATAAAGAAGGTTGTTTCTTGACGAACCTGAAAAGGAAGATGGATTAGTGTTGGTGCGTGACCGCAGAGTCCAAGGGACAACTGCTTCAGGCCGGTCACGCACGGCCTTTTTATGAGAGGTATTTAGAGGATTAGCTCCGTTCTTAAAGGCCCTTAGTGGGCACCCTTACCCAAGGAGACGGAAATCCGTGAGGTAGGGGAGGTGTGACATTTTTAGGGCGGACCTTTTCTAACCCTTCCTTCCTTGGGAGAAGGCAGCATCGCTGCAGATGGTGGTTGTCCGACGGAAACACCTTACTGCTGTCACACCCCTCTGCAGTCAGCAGTACGGCTTCGCCCTCAGACCTTGGGTAGCTGCTTTTAGTCTGATCGTTCTCCAATCGACCTGCCTGGCATGGTAGGACCTGCAGGAACATGTGTTCCAGCCAGTATAGCTCGGTTGGGTCATCACGATAGGCAAGCCCGACCACCACGTCAAGGTAGCAGCTTCGGTCGGGGTTCAGACGAGGTGAAAGATGAGTTTTACAGAAAGCTTTAGGGCCTCCTCCAAAAAGTTAGGCGCTCTGATATAGTAATAATTGCTGGTGACTTTAATGCTCAAGCAGGTAGACTAATTGAAAATGAAAGACACCTAGGTGGATGTTATGGTGTCGCGGCTCAGAGAACAGACAATGGTGACCGTCTGTTGCAAGTATGCTCAGACAACCGCCTATTCTTAGCAAACACCAACTTTAGGCATAAGGAAAAGCATCTGCTGACCTGGCGACCTCCAAAGTCGTCTCAACGTTGGACTCAACTAGATCACATCGCCATCAGCCACCGATGGAGGGGTTCGATAGAAGACTGTCGCTCGTTCTGGGGCACATGTTTAGATTCAGATCATGCTCTAGTGCGAGCTCGTATCTGTTTGAGGCTTACTAGACGTAGGAAAGACATCGTAAGAAAGCCTCTTAGGGTTTTACTTAATGATAATAAGGCGAAGAATATATTTCAGGAACAACTAGAGAGACAGTTAGGCGACCATTTAAGCGATTCCCATCCGGAGGCAGGTTGGAATGATATCAAAAAATCTGTGGAAACAGCAGTGATATCTGCTAGTAAGGTTGACCATTAGGCTAGAATGAAGCCGTGGATCTCAGTAGCATCCGCCGATCTGATGGATGCCCGAAAACTCATCCCACCTGGCTCTGAACATGATGAAGAGCGTAGTCAGCTTAGGCGCAGACTGATAAAAAGCCTACGTAACGACCGCGAACAGTGGTGGGTGGCAAAGCAAAAGCGATGGAAAAGGCAGCGGCGATCGGCAACAGTAGGCAACTTTTCCGACTTATCAAAGAAACCGGTATTAGGAATCCTACTGTAAGTGAGACTATCTCGGAAATGGATGGGACTTTCAATTATTCCCAATCCAGGAGATTGGATCGATGGACAGAACACTTTAGGGATCAGTTCAGTTGGCCTTCATCCACACTTTGGTTACCCACGATCTCCAGTCGTCCTGAATGGCAAGTCGACGTAAGCCCTCCAAACTTTTATGAAGTTGAAAAGTTTATAGGAAATCTAAACCGAGAAAGAGCAGCAGGACCCGATAGATTGACTTCCGAGATTTTTAAGGAAGGTGGCCCAGTTTAAGCAGTTAGATTGACTGAAATCTTAGGTAGAATCTGGTAAATGAGCGTAATCCCATCTGACTAGTCCTAATCCTTGATTTTCTCAATTTATAAGAAAGGACAAAAGTCTTCTTGTGACAATCACAGGGGAATCAGTCTAACTAGTATAGTTTCTAAATTGTTAGCCTCGATTATACTTAGACGCCTAACTAGAGCTCATGAAGGGCAGACTAGAAAAAACCAGGAGGGTTTCAGACCTGGACGTGGCTGTATAGACCACTACTTCACACTACGACAGGTCCTGGCACACAGACACACATATAGGCGTCCGACAATAGATGTCTTCCTGGACCCAATGGCGAAATTTGACTCAGTGGATCGTGGGGTTCTGTGGCAGTCTGTCATTTAGAGGTGTACCAAAGAAGTACATTAACCTTATACAAGCTCTCTACTCTAACACTACAGGTCGAGTAAGAGCTAATGTCAAACGGTCATCGAAATTCTCTACTTCAAGTGGTGTCCGTCAGGGATGTCCACTCTCTTCAATATTATTTAATTTTGTCATAGAAATGCTCCTAGATATAACCTTATCCTCGTCTGGATTTTCAGGAATAGACCTTCTACCAGGAGGATCGCTTACTGACCTAGAATATGCCGATGACGCTGACAAAATGCACAGTCTTCTGACTACCCTAAGCAACAATGCAAGCATGTTCGGGATGCGGTTTTCCCGTAGAAATATAGATTAGCTTTAGGATTGGTTTGCTTTGGCACCTGAACTAGTGATAGGGAGTGAAGTAGTTGAGCGTGTTGACCGCCTCACTAATCTGGGCATTCTCATCAGTATTGATGGCCTGGTGACTGACGAAATCTCAGCATGGATACAGAAATCTCGATTTGCGTTTGCCGGTTTACGTCATTTATGGCGTAGGTGAGATATCTATTTGCTGACTAAAGGACGGGTTTACTGCTCAGCTGTTCGATCAGTTCTCCTATACCAATCCGAAACATGGTCGTTAAGAGTAGCGGACATTCGTAGGTTACTAGTCTTCGATCATAGTTGTCTGCGAAGCACTGCTTGTGTATCGTGAGACACCCGAGTAAGCAATTTTGCCATTAGGAAACGAGTACTAGGTAAGGATGGCAGTTCATTTCGTGAAGTATTGAAATTTCATCAGTTGAGGTGGTTGGGACATGTGTTACGAATGCCTAACTACCGACTGCCTCGTTGAGCTTTGTTTTGTAGTGTAGGAATAGGTTGGAATAAAGCTAGGGGTGGCCAGACCAAACATGGCACAAATCCATTAAATCACTGACAAGTGGACTGAGTCAGGTTGGTGAATGTAGGCTACCTGGTTGGGGTCCGCGAGACAAAAGTCACCAATGGTTAGAGACCTTGAACGACATGGCTCAAAATCGTTTCCGATGGCGCAGGTACATACACTCTTTGTGTTCTCTGAAATTCTAATCTTCTGGATTCTTCACCTCCTCTACTTTTGTCTTTCTAAACCTATCTCACTGAATTATACTTCTTGAATAATATCTTGGAACCCTAATCCTCTGTATTGTCAGTAGCACTCCTACTATCTCTACGACTATGGTATTTGAATCGACAGTTGCGTCTCTGTGCTAATATGGTATGGCAACCTGAATTGATGTACTTACGTACGAAGTTCTACGTTACATCTGACTGGCTGACAAGTGGCAGAACTTTGCGGTAATTATATTCAAACTAGACGTTTATTGAACAGTAAGCTCCTGAGACTTTTTAAATCAGATATTCTCATACGACATTAGTATAAAATTTAGTTTTATTTATTTAGATTATATAGGTTGTTCACATACTTTCCAAGTCTTTAGTGGTCGTAAAATGGCTAATTTTCGGTTTTTCTTTCCATCTCCAAGTTTGTAACGTAATGAAGTGATTTTTTTTTTAATTCTTATTTAACATTCAGAGTTCTGGGAAGAGTTCAGTCCTTGAAAACTTAGTTGGTCGAGATTTCCTACCTAGAGGACATGGAATCGTGACGCGGCGACCACTTGTTTTACAACTTATCCATGTAGATGAATCAGACCATGCTACACGGATCGCAGAAGGTGATGGTACCTCAACTGAATGGGCAACGTTTCTACATAGTAAAAAGATCTATCGGGACTTCGATGAGGTCCGTAATGAAATCAAGGACGAAACGGATCGGGTAGCCGGGGCTGGAAAAGTATGTTGTTTTTGACTTTCATTCAATATTGGAGATCTCGTTTTCATTATACACTTTGTAGTCATAATGTAAGTTGTACTGACAAGTGATTTGAACAAATACACTGTGATTTGTTCCATTGTACGCCTTCATAACTCTAATCAACAGGTTTAATTTCTGATCACTGTGTCAATTTAGACCATATCAACTGTCAGCCTTCACATTCGAATTCCATTTTCAAAGCACTTACATCAATGTGTCACTCCTGTTAAATGTCACACCTCACCTTAGCTCATGAATTTCAGTCCCTGGCGGTAAGGCTACTTAAAGAGCGGAGCTAACACTTTAAAAACTTCACATAAAACGGCCGTGCGTGACAGTTCGAAGCAGGATATTAGGGAGTGTAGGAAGGATTTGATTTTGACCAATTTGGCCTCGTGTGTTGTTACGGGTGTCCCTTGGGTTCTGCGATCACGCTCTCAGGTCTCCAAGACTGCAGCTCATATGAAGTAAAAGATGAGTTCTAAACAAAACTTTCGGACCTCCAGAACGCTAGGCGCTATGATGTAGTAATAGTTGCTGGCGACTTTAGTACTCAAGTACATAAAATGAAAAGAAAGGACACCCGAGTGAATCTTATAGTATCGTGACTCGAAGAACAAATAATGACGCTTGTCATCTACATCTATGATCAGGTAACCGCTTACTTTTAGCAACTACTAATTTTAGCCATATGGAAACATCTTTTAACATAGCTACCCCAAAAACGGGTCCAACGATGTACCCAACTGGACCACATTGCTACCAGCTACCGGTGGAGAAGCTCAATAGAAGACTACAGCTTGCTCTAGAGTTCATGTTAAACTTTAGATCGTGCTTGTGCGAGTGCGTTTTTTCTACGCCTTACTGGATGCAGGAAACATACTGCAAAGAAAACTCTTAGAGTCCTACTCAATGATAGCATAGCTAAGAATATGTTTCAGGAGCAACTAGAAAGACTGGCAAAAGAAAGTTTGGTAAAAGCCAATCGAGCTTTCTGTATCCATGCTGAGATTTCGTCAGTCACCAGGCCATCAACACTGATGAGAATGCCCAGATTAGTGAGGCGGTCAACACGCTCAACTACTTCACTCCCTATCACTAGTTCAGGTGCCAAAGCAAGCCAATCCTAAAGCTAATCTATATTTCTACGGGAAAACCGCATCCCGAACATGCTTGCATTGTTGCTTAGGGTAGTCAGAAGACTGTGCATTTTGTCAGCGTCATCGGCATATTCTAGGTCAGTAAGCGATCCTCCTGGTAGAAGGTCTATTCCTGAAAATCCAGACGAGGATAAGGTTATATCTAGGAGCATTTCTATGACAAAATTAAATAATATTGAAGAGAGTGGACATCCCTGACGGACACCACTTGAAGTAGAGAATTTCTATGACCGTTTGACATTAGCTCTTACTCGACCTGTAGTGTTAGAGTAGAGAGCTTGTATAAGGTTAATGTACTTCTTTGGTACACCTCTAAATGACAGACTGCCACAGAACCCCACGATCCACTGAGTCAAATTTCGCCATTGGGTCCAGGAAGACATCTATTGTCGGACGCCTATATGTGTGTCTGTGTGCCAGGACCTGTCGTAGTGTGAAGTAGTGGTCTATACAGCCACGTCCAGGTCTGAAACCCTCCTGGTTTTTTCTAGTCTGCCCTTCATGAGCTCTAGTTAGGCGTCTAAGTATAATCGAGGCTAACAATTTAGAAACTATACTAGTTAGACTGATTCCCCTGTGATTGTCACAAGAAGACTTTTGTCCTTTCTTATAAATTGAGAAAATCAAGGATTAGGACTAGTCAGATGGGATTACGCTCATTTACCAGATTCTACCTAAGATTTCAGTCAATCTAACTGCTTAAACTGGGCCACCTTCCTTAAAAATCTCGGAAGTCAATCTATCGGGTCCTGCTGCTCTTTCTCGCTTTAGATTTCTTATAGCCATTCCAACTTGATAAGGATTTGGACAACTTTCATCGACAAATAAGAGGTTTAAAAAGGATTTGAATGAGACTGAATTGGTCTCGTCTGCGTTTATGGGTATTAGGTCGGATGTAACTTCCTGGCTGCCAACACTGTGGAGGTGTTCAGGTTGCCAGGATGGGCATCGGCCTCATGAGTTGCAAATGAACTCGGCTTTTATCATGAGACGTCAGTTGCGTCGAAGTTATAGTGTGGTATGTCAACTTGAACTGATTTACCTACATTCGAAGTATTGCGTTTCAATAAACTGACTGACGTATCGTACTGATAGGAGCACTTATTTATTAATCAAAAGATATAAAATTTTAGCATATCATTTATTACATCACATATAAAAGTTCTTATTGTGTCTATGCGATAGTTTAGTTTTTTGAATTGATTGGAGCTATCAGAAGTTAGTTACAACTGACGTCAGTGTCCTGTGATGAATGTCAACCACAATCCGATTGTCATCTACGACTTCGACATTTCGGTGTATTTATATACTTTCAGTGAACATTTTGATCGCACATTCAACACCTATGTTGTCTTAAAATCTTTAAGTGAATACAAAGATGGCTGTTTACAATTGTTCCCCATTATTTCTAGGTTTCCGAAAATTTTTAAATGTTTCGTTTTCCCCGAATACTGTTCTTATCATGAAGCTTTATAACTTCAACATATACTAGTTGTAAATATGGTTTTTTCTCGGTGATATTGATAAATAACACTTTGTGTTTGATACATCCGCATCAGTTTCATATCTTTTCAAAAGTTTGCTTCTCACTTATGTCATCTAGGTCAAACAAAAAGCAACAGATATATATTTATATCCATTTAGTTTATTGGTCGGTAAATAAATGGTTACATAATCGTATATTTTTAGGTTGTGCTGTCAAAATGGGTTTTACTAATTTATACACCAAAATAGCAAGTTTGCTTTTGACACGAAACACTGTTTTATCGATTGTGAAGAATTCTAGTCTCTAAATTCGTTTTCAAAGCTAATGATGAAAATATTGTATATGGTAATAATATGTTTGTCATTTCATTCATAGTGATTTGGATTATTCAAGTCACGGGGTGAATATCAACCTCAGGATGCAAGTAAAATTACCAAACTAGTCACAAATAGGATGAAATGTGCGTCTGGGATTCTACCACCTTCCACTTCCTGTCTATTTTATGTGAAACATGTTTGTCAGTTTAGCTTTCGAAATTTAATTACTTAACTTACTGACTTACTTCCATCTATAAGCTGTTGTATTTAGCTTTTCTTATTATTGAGGAAAAACTGGATAACTAGATAGGGGCATATCGTCATTGCAAAGATATAAATACTCTTAAATATATAGTGGGTGGGGGGTTAAAACTTTTTTGTCGAAATCTGCAAGTCAGTCACAGTGTATAATTAAAAACTTAATCGATTTATTCATGATTGGTTGTAACAACATGGATGTTTCTAATTTTGCGACCCGATGAAACTCATAACCAAATACCGGTCTGCTATCAGCGATCATGTTTCATTTTATTTCAAGAGTTTTTACTACGTTGTCACTTATATGTCTCGTGTAGCCGATCGCGTAGACCTTATGGCTGCAGTCAGTTTCAATAAAATTTCAATGTTAACATTTACATTAAAAACTTTGATTTATTTTTAGGCTGTTAGTTCTGAGCCTATCAACCTGAAAATATATAGCCCACGTGTTCTCAACCTCACTTTAGTTGATCTTCCGGGTATTACGAAGGTTCCTATTGGTGATCAACCTGAGGATATTGAAACATTGATCAACGATTTATGCCTTCATTACATTAACAATCCTAACAGTATAATTTTAGCTGTTACACCGGCCAATGCAGATATGGCTACCGGCGAAGGTCTTAAACTGGCTAAATCAATCGATCCTGATGGTAAGTAAAATGCCATGTCTACTTGATAGAACATGACATACTTGAAATACGTTATTCCACTGTTGATCAAACTCAGATATAACTTGCAAAATTGCTTAAGACTTTGTCCTTGCTTATTCGAGATGAAACAAACTTAATATGTTCTCGATTTCCATGAGACATTATTTACAATGCTTCAAATTTGAGCATTTGGACGACAGATGTTGTTGATGAACATTATATATTTAGTAAACCAGTAATTGAATGCCTAATAACGTAATCTACACTGGAATGAAGGTGAGCATAGTTATCAGTTTCATTCATTTAAACGCAACGTAGAAGCTAGTATGTACATAAATCAGTTCAAGTTGCCAAACCCCATCAACACAGTGAGTTGAAATTGCTGGGGTGAATTCCAGAGTGATAGGTGTGGTAACAGTAATAGTGGTAATAGAAAAGATTAGTCATCGAACACACGATTCAAGAGAATCTAAGTCAGTGAAATAAACAGATATAAAGTTATGGGGAATTCAAAAGCTTAGAATATGGAGTAGACAGAATTGATGCACTTGTACCATTTCAAATGATGTTGAGTCGTGTTATTCAAAGTTTCCGACCACTGGTTACGATAATCACGCGAACCCTAACCAGACAGTCTACACTTGTTAACATACATGGCTCAGTTCAATTTTCAATGACTTCATTGATTGAAGACATATTTCAGCTTGGATGTCCCTACCCCTCTTCAAACCGACTTGTACACCAGATAACATAGCTTGTCGAGATAGTTTTTGGTTGGGCTTATGTAACACATGTTCCAACCACCTCAGTTGGTTGTAGCTGACTGACTGAATTGGTGAGGATTTGCTACCTACCATATCAGTCGATTTGCCATCCTAACTCAGCACTCATTTCCCAACCCAGATATTATTTGCTCTGTGGTCCCAAAATTCATGAGCAATGCCTCAAAGATACTTATAATCAGTTACTAGAAATCTGCTAATGTCCTCTATTGTTAATGGGCATGTTTCACATCCATAAACCAGACCTTTAGTCAGCAGACGGATATCTCGCCTACTACACAACTGACGCCACAAATTATCAATCTCAAAACAGGAAACCTCACTACTACATGTTAAATGTAGTATAACCCGACCGTAGCTTCAACTTTGACATGGTGGTCGGGCTTGCCTTTCGTGGCGACCCAACCAAGCTATATTGGCTGGAACAAATGTTCATTTATGTCCTACCATGCTGAGCAGATCGATTGATTTATCCCTAATCACCTTTTCATTTATAAGTATGTGAATTTCTACGGTAATTCTGATTTTAATATATTATAGGCTGTAATCACCTAGTGAGTTCTTATTACTCTGCACCAGTCTTTGTTTATGCTCTCTTCAAGATAATATAGGAAACTATGTGTATGCCGTTAATATCCAATGAAACATTTCGGCAACTGTTTGTCATGTTATTGAACAGTTTCTGGATAATAAAATTCGCGAAATAAATTGAATTTATTATTCTACTAGGCTTTCTATCATCTATTAACTGCCTATTTCTAGCAAACACTAACTGTAGGCACAAGGAATAACATCTCTTGACATGGCGACCCCCAAAGTCGTCTCAACGCTAGACCCAACTAGAAGACATCGCCATCAGCCACCGATGGAGAGGCTCGATAGAGGACTGTCGCTCGTTCTGGGGCACATGTCTAGATCCAGATCATCCTCTAGTGCAAGCGCGTATCTGTTTGAGGCTTACTGGACGTAAAAAAAGACACCGCAAGGAAACCTCTTAGGGTTCTACTTAGTGATAATAAAGCTAAGAATATATTTCAGGAGCAACTAGGAAGACGGTTATGCGACGATGTAACTGTTTCCCATCAGGAGACAACTTGGAACGATATCAAAAAGGCTGTGGATACAGCAGTGGTATCTTCTAGTAAGGTAAAATATAAGGTTAGGGAGAAGCCGTGGATTTCAGTAGCATCTACAGAACTAACGGATGCTCGAAAGCCCATCCCTCCTGGCTCTGAGCACGTTCATGAGCGGAGTCAGATCAGGCGCATGCTGATAAAAAGCCTTCTCAATGATCGAGAACAGTGGTGGGTAGCGAAAGCAAGGGAGATGGAAAATGCAACGGCGATGGGCAATAGTAGGCAATTATTCAGACTTATCAGGGAAACGGATATTCGGAACCCGAATTTGAGTGAGACTACTTCGGAAAAGCATGGTCTTATTATCCATTCTCAATCCAGGAGACTGGACCGATGTGTCGAACACTTCAGGGATCAGTTCAACTGGCATTCAGCGACTATTCGGTTACCCATGATCTCCAGTCATCCTGAATTTTTTCACACTATGACAGGTCCTGGAACACAGACACACATATAGGCGTCCGACAATAGATGTCTTCCTGGACCTAATGGCGAAATTTGACTCAGTGGATCGTGGTGTTCTGTGGCAGTCTGTCATTTAGAGGTGTACCAAAGAAGTACATTAACCTTATACAAGCTCTCTACTCTAACACTACAGGTCGAGTAAGAGCTAATGTCAAACGGTCATCGAAATTCTCTACTTCAAGTGGTGTCCGTCAGGGATGTCCACTCTCTTCAATATTATTTAATTTTGTCATAGAAATGCTCATAGATATAACCTTATCCTCGTCTGGATTTTCAGGAATAGACCTTCTACCAGGAGGATCGCTTACTGACCTAGAATATGCCGATGACGCTGACAAAATGCACAGTCTTCTGACTACCCTAAGCAACAATGCAAGCATGTTCGGGATGCGGTTTTCCCGTAGAAATATAGATTAGCTTTAGGATTGGCTTGCTTTGGCAACTGAACTAGTGATAGGGAGTGAAATAGTTGAGCGTGTTGACCGCCTCACTAATCTGGGCATTCTCATCAGTGTTGATGGCCTGCTGACTGACGAAATCTCAGCATGGATACAGAAAGCTCGATAGGCTTTTGCCAATTTACGTCATTTATGGCGTAGGTGAGATATCTGTTTGCTGACTAAAGGACAGGTTTACTGCACAGCAGTTCGCTCCGTCCTACTTTAAGGCTGTGAAATATGGCCAGTAAGAGTAGAAGATATTCTTAGGTTACCGGTTTTCGATCATGTATGTCTCCGAAGCATCGCTCGTGTATTATGGGACACCTGAGTATGCGATGCTATCTTTAGGAAACGAGCACTAGGTAAGGATGGCACATCAGTTGGTGAAGTATTTAAACTTCTGTTGAGGTGGTTGGGACATGTATTTCTAATGTCCAACTACCGACTGTCTCGACGAGCGTTGTTTTTTTTGTAGTGTAGGAATAGGTTGGAAGGAAGTTAGGGGAGGCCAAACCAAAACATGGCGAAAATCCATAAAGTCACTGACTAGTGGACTGAGTCATTTTGGTAGGTGTCAACTACCTGTTTGGGGTCCGCGAGATGATAATAGTCTATGGTTAGAGACCTTGAATGACATGACTCAAAACCGTTTGCAGTGGCACAGTTGCATCCATTCCTTGTGTTTTCTTAAGTTCTAAACTTTTGAATTCCTCATCATCTCTATCTTTCTCTTTCTAACTTCACACTGAATTATACTTCTCGAATCATAGCTTCTAACCCTAATATTCTCCAATACTGCTAATACTTCCACTATCTCGTTTGAATTGACATTTGCGTCCCTGTGCTAATGCGGTATGTCAAGCTGAATTGATGTACTTACGTACAAAGTTCAGCGTTGTATCTGTCTGTGTTTATCATCTATTACTGTAAAGTAACAGTGAACAATATAAATAAAAACAAAGAATAATAATATTACAGTTAGTACTGTTGAAATGAAGGTTTAAAATGCGATAATCTTTCAGAACAGTAATACACAAAAGTGATGTTAAACATTATGGCGATAACTTCTCCTAAGAAAAGAAATCACAGTGTTTCTCATAGTTAATTCTTAAAGTTTTGGAAGTATCCATTTTCGTTCATTCATATGCGTATTATGAGTTTTTGATTTTGTTTATTCTACTTAGGCCGCCGGACTTTATGTATTCTAACTAAGTTGGATCTAATGGACCACGGTACAGACGCTCACGATCTTTTATTGGGGCGTGTTGTTCCAGTTAAACTCGGCATAATTGGTGTTGTCAATCGTTCTCAAGCTGACATTAAGGCAGGTAAAAGTATTGAAGAGGCATTACAAGATGAGGCCAGTTTTCTGCAGCGACGTTATCCATCACTTGCTAGCAGAAATGGTACTCCATTCTTGGCACGGACACTAAATAGGGTATGTTATGACACTATTGTATTTTACTTTTACACATGCACGAGTTTTATTTATGTCTATAGTTGCTACCGTATAAATTTTTCTCTAAATCTTCTGTTATTTACGAAAATATTACCTACTCCACTTACGCTCTGTGAATTTAGCGTAAATCATAGCAACCGCATAAAAAATTTGTTATAAGTTCTTTAACTCCCATTCATCTGTTATTATAGACTAGGACGATCAGCGATCACGAACAGTCAAATGAAAGTACGTCGAGACCACAGATTCTAGGTAACATCTTAGTTAATCTGACTTCAAAAACTGGATCGCCATACTTAAAAATCCCAGTGGTCACTCCAACATGACTTGCTACTCTCTCATTTTCGATCGCTTATAATTTTTTCTGCAAAGTTGTACTATGGTTTTTGAACATTGGAGTCATGCTAAATCACTTTGTTAAGCTTACAAAAGTAAACTGCATCACTTAGTGATCAAAAATACGCCACATTAATTTAGAATCGATTACTAAAACGACCAGTATGGTCATTTGTCATAAGATCATACTGTATAAGGTCAGCTCACTGAAAAATCTTACAGCTACATAAAGAATGACAAAAAGTTATTTAGTCTGAACTATTTGCCGACTAAAGTTAATGGATGTAGTAATTCTCATTGTATGACAAACATTGATCGATACTATGTGTATTTTGCACTAGAAAACATTGGAATTTGGTGTAGTATTAGTATTAGTAGTATGACACCAATATTTTAACAAATTCCTTTAGTTTATTGCGAGTTAGTGTTTCTTCATGCTTATACTTTTATATTTTACTATTTTAGCTTTTAATGCATCATATACGGGATTGCTTACCAGACTTGAAAACACGTGTAAATGTAATGGCTGCGCAATTTCAGAATCTTTTGAATACATTCGGAGATGAAATCGAAGACCGAGTGAGTTTAATGTCACGTGTTAACCCTCACTGTAGTTTTATTTTACATGAAATGAAATATGTTATTTCCAGTTGAAAACCCAGATAAACAAGGTTGGGCCATGGGGTTAGTATCCCTGTCATGTAGAAAACAATCTTGCTAAAAAACGTCAACCAAAAAAGTGTTTTAATCCATTTAGTGTAGGTACATTGGATGTCCACACGATGCGGGAAGCCAAGAGATCTATTCAAGTTGCTAAGGAAATAAAAAATACAACCTGGTAGTACTTAGAATAAATGAGACCCATCGGAAATAAGGTGGACGGAAAAGATTAGCTTTGCGACAGATATTGTTGTACTCCGAACAAAAAGAAGATAGTGTCTCACATAAGGATTCGCACCGATGTTGTGCAAAGAAACACGAAAAACACTGGACAGGAATCTCATGGACCCTGTATTATCAAAGCACCCACCAAAGATAGCAACGGCGACGATAAAGATCACTTTGCATTCAATCAGAGCAATACCTAGGCAAGGGTTGTATCACAGAACAAAATCGATTACATCCGCATCAGTGCAAAGTCCAAAAGGTGAATGGAGGACGTCAGAGCAAAGAGAGGAGCTGACAGCTTCAGATCACTAGTTGGTAGTGGCCAAAATGAAATTGAAGTTAAGCGAGCACTGCATAACTGGCTAAACACCATTATAAAAGTCTACTACGGCCTTATTTCGGGATTTTAGAAAACTTAAAGAATTCAAGATCTCTCTTAGCGACGAGTTCCAAGCCTTTCCCAATCTACTGAATGAAAAGCAAATCACCGTGGAGAACAGCTGGAAAGGAAGTAAGGAAGCTACAACTTCAGTATATTTTGAGTTGTTGGGTCGCAATAAGTACTCTTATAAAGAATAGATATCTATTAATATACTTAAGATTTCCATAGACACTCAACTTCGTGTCATTTTCTGTATACATTAACTTTTTAGGGACAACTTTTGCTCCAAATTATTACAAAGTTTAATACTGCCTATTGCAATACCATTGACGGAGTTGCGAAAGATATTGAAACAACTGAATTATGTGGTGGTGCTCGTATTTGTTACATATTCCATGAAACTTTCTATCGAACTTTGAGTAAAATTGATCCTTTGGGCGGTTTATCAACCCTTGACATTTTGACTGCAATAAGAAATGCTACTGGACCAAGACCTGCTCTTTTCGTGCCAGAAGTTTCTTTTGAATTGTTAGTAAAACGACAAATCAGACGTTTAGAAGAACCGAGTTTACGATGTGTTGAGTTAGTCCATGAAGAAATGCAACGCATCATTCAGCATTGTGGTGCTCAAGTGAGTGATATAATAAATTTAAATATTTGCCTGTTCTATTGCTTTGCAACTAATTCATATGTTTGAAAGACGTATGATAAAACTTCTATTTAGATTTTTACCACCAAATAAATGAATACGTTTCCTGTTGTTAGCTTTTGGATGTAGTAATCTTAACATTATCCATTTAGTATCAACCTTTTTTCGGTCAGTAGAACTGGAATTCAAATACATTCCTATACATTTGTAGTGTGCGTTGAATTTTGATCGATATTCGAAGATCTCAATTAACAGGTAGAAAAATGAGTTCCCGACGTTTTGTGGCCGATTATAAGTTGTTTCTTCAGGAATAGGTAAACATAATTCTAAAAAGCGCCCGAAATTCAATTTCCTACTCATAAGGAGATTACAAACATATTTTATTATCATAAGCTATACACTTAATATTAGATTCATTTGAAATTATCTAGATAAGCATTGTTATCTGAACTTGTGTAATTTATCTGATTTCTGAATGGAAGTAGTCAAGATATTCAAATATCGATTCACGCTTGTATATAGACAATAACCATTATTCAAACTTCGCATATGTGAAAATTTATTGTCTGGAAACAATAGCGTTTGGATTGTGTCAATAAAACGAAAAATGATTTTGTATGATAATCAGTAGCAGTATGTGTAGAAATACAATAAATTCTTCGGGTTCTCTTCGATGAATATTCAAGCACCACAAGAAGATAGTATTTTATTTATCGTGATTCGTACAATTTAATCAATTTCTTGTTAAACATTGTACTTCTGTATACTGTACATTCATCCTTGTTTTTGCATTCCAATAGACTCCTAAATAATAATAACTTAAGCAGCTACTGATTTTAATTAGGAATCACTAATCCAGCCCTTCACAAATACTTACCACGATAAGTCCTCTAATCAATCATGATCAAAGTAAAGCCAGACACAAATATGTTTCAGTCCAAGTTGTCTTACCAAAAATTAAATTACACATTATGTATGAATGATTTTATGTGACCAGTTGAAGGATAAATTTTTAAAGTGATAACATATAAAAAAACAACAACTAGTAACGATCATCCTCAAAGGTACACCAGTGCGTTAACAAACGTGTTTATGAATATTTCTTATTGCTAATATAAATAGATCTGTCTAGTTAACCTTATAAAGCACTCTTAGACACGAAGTCATGTGTTGACTCATGTATTCTGAAATCTATAGTCTTTTTTACACCTTTTCGATCAGGGATTGACTATTGGCGTTAATTATACCTAAAAGTCAAATCGTAATTCTAAGCGGAGTGTATAGCCTGCATGTTTGGTATGGTTCCATAGTTTGTAATATGTGTCTTTTATCGGTTAGTGTTTGATTTGTAAGCATACAATTTTATTAGACAAAACAAATCTATTCTTCCTACCCTGTTTTTTAATCTCGGTTCATTTAGTGGTGTTTCAGTTAATAATCCGATCTCGTGAATAATGTTCATCCGTTGATTGGCATTTTATCCGTTTATTTTAGTAATCCATAATTCATTTATGATTAACACTAATCCAGAACACAAATGGATTTATTCTGTTGACCGAGCTATTGGTTATTATTACTGCACTTATTTATCCCTATCAAGTTATTATAAACATTTATCCATCGATTTCCTTAATCTTTAACTTAAGTTTTACGAATTCATCTTTGTTCTTTTATTTGCTTACAGCAAGAACTTCTTCGGTTTCCGAAACTGCATGAACGTATAGTCGATGTGGTCACTTCTGTACTGCGCCAGCGCCTGCAACCAACTAATCAAATGGTTACAAATCTAGTCGCTATTGAGTTAGCTTACATAAACACTCGACATCCTGACTTTTTAGAAGCGCTAAGTACACATCGGCAACAGGCTCCAGGATTAGAGAATCTGGTAATTTTTTGTAATTTCGAAATTTCTTGGTGCCTATGTTAAAATTTTATTGTTGCCTTGTTGGTCACTTTTCATACTTGCATCAATCGTTATAATGTATCAATGTTTTTTTGTAATGTCTTTGTTTATTTTAAGCAGTGAGTTTACTGACAAAAGCTTACTTGAGTTAAGAATCAGAATCCCTCTGCATTTTCTTCTGTTTAAGTACCTGAGTTATATCAATTGCCTTTACAAAATGGTATTACGCAAACCCATGTACATAAATCCGTAATTACATACTGGATTAAATTAAATTCTGTTTAATGTCTTTTATGGTAATCTGTTTTTGTTTAATATCGTTGATAGCCTAAACGTTCAGTAGTTTTGCAATAAAAATCTCAAGTTCATCTTAAATATTAGCTCTGTATTTGGTAACGAGTTTAATTAATGTTATTTTCAAAGCAACTTTAAAACATGAAAGCTTGATTTTACTCCATGATCGATTACATCAATACTTCATCAAAATTTGCAAGGTATTTTCCCTTCTCTTTAATAACTTCATCTAATAAATCGATATTTATCTATCTAGTCTTTTAACTGATCCGGAAGTAATATTTATTTATTGAATGTCATAAGTGCCATATAGTTCAATAAAGAAGTAATCAACAGTTCATGACAAACTTGCCAGTGTCACCACTATCATTAAAAGCTATAATTTGATTAAAATATAAAAAGTGACTTTTTTGATAACGTTTACTTGATTGCCAACCAACTTAATGCTTTTAATTCTAAAAACAATTCACTTTTATATAAAACATGTAAGACTTCGGGCTTAAATCTTACCCCAATTATGATAATTGATTACGGCTGTGCTAAAGTTGTGATAAATTTCCTCCAGTTATTGATTAATAATCATATCATAGTGAGTTTCTAAAAGTAGTCAGGACAGAATAGTTTACGGAGAATGGCATTCACTGATATTCAAGCAAATTAAGAAAACCAAATCAATAATTTTTTCCTGATAAAGTTTTAGAGATTGGTGAGTTTGATTAAAGTCATAAATCGATCAGTCTTAGACCAATATTAGAAACCTGCAAGGAGTGGGCACCTGTTTCCTCCTGACATGGGACTTATCAGTAGTGTGTATCCACGACGTCCACGTCCCGAAATCAAACCCAGGGCTTTCGATCTTGCGCGCAAATGCTCGACCTCTAGACCAATAAGCCAGAATCCAGTAGTGTTAGTATCTAACTCCAATTAATCAATGATATCACGCGTCCTTATCCATTGTCTTCGGTGGTAACTGCTTCATATTCGACTCGGTTGAAATCGATTAATCACGGCTTCTCACTAGAACTCCGGGAGTTTCTGCATGAGCCTAATCGCTGGTGTACGCAACCGCGTCCACTGTGAGGCAGTTACCCACCAAACACAAAGAATGAAGTCGTGCAATAATATGAATTGATTCGAGTTAGATAATAATGCCACTGGATTTTGGCACATTGGTCTAGGGGCTGTGTTCGCGCACAAGACTGAAAGTCCTGGGTTCGATTCTCGCGTGCCTGCGTCGTGGGTGCGCCTTGCGAACGACTCCCATACTAGGAGGAAACGGCCGTATAGGTCTTTCAGATTTCAAACGGTACTCTAACATTGGTCGATTCATAATTTCAAAATCTGTCTTGTTATGTCAGCAACATCACTTTAACAATGAAGCTGCGTCTACCGTCCTTCGGAATTCCAAGTACATATCGGTTTATAATGTTGTAACCTTTCATAGACATATTTCTCACACCCTTTAAGGGACTATTAAAAACCAATGTTAAGTTTATCTTAGATCACCGTTTTCACCTTGGAGCTCCACTTTTTATGTTGTTGTACAGTTCGTTTCAACATGTTTACAACATTTGTCCTATTTTTATAAACACTGGACCACGGTTTGTTTTCAAACAATCCATAATCCCTAATAGACCAATACTGTAGTATCTTGCAATTCTATCTCTATACATACTTTTATATCCAGTGTTGCTGTTGTTATCTCCGACCATAAAACATGGAATTTCACCAACTTATAGATCCAGTAATGTTTGAGTTTGCTTCTTATGTCATTTTTGGCATAAATTTGTTGATTCTTCTCTTGCTTAGTTTATTCCGTTTATTGTCCAAAGTTAACACATACTCCTACACTTTCTAAAGTTATGTTCATTAACATAATGATTTTTTCCGCTTAACTTTAGGTTCTAGATTTAAGTAATTGTTCGTTTTAATTATGTGTTATTTTATCAATGCTAATCAGTACCTATCAACACGGCTACTCTATCTTGAAGCATCAATTTCGCAACTTTAGGCGCAATCACAAAAAAATTGATGATGTCATGGGAAATATTAAACGTCGATGTGTGGCTATTTTGTTCATTTGTTTCAGTTCTTTATTTCGAGCATAAAATTCTAAATTCATGAAGACTAACACCTTTAAAAGAGGTTTTTCATGGTTTCTTGATACCAATTAATGCTCATATATTGCCTTGTAATAACGATTAGTGAATCCACAGTATCTCACCTTTTCAAACCTTCTACTGATTTTTTTGTCCAGTCCCTTAACGATCAGCCGACAACACAGGGATCAATTTCAGGATCGTCACTTCGTGCTACTACTGCTTCACATCTCAGTCGTCGCTTACCCGCAACTCTTCCGCTCGAAGAACAGTCCGGTTCATTAAATGTTATTAGTCCATCATCAGATCAAAATTCAGATAATTTACATATTGGACTAAGCCTTACTCCAGATATTGTAAGTTTCTTCTGCCTATCTCAAAAAGATTTTTTTTAAATTGTTTATTTTGGAATTAACATTATTTTCATCCGACTTTCCAGGAGTGAACGTTTTACCAGGAGACGCTTGTCGACTTAGAATATGCCGATCACGTAGTTCTATTTATTGAAGATGCAGAAAAAACTGCAGTCTCCTGACCTCTCTAAGCAACAATGCAACTATATTCGGGCTGCGGTCCTCACCTTTGAAATGCAGTGTTGCTTCAGGATTGGCTTGCCTTGGCACCTGAACTAGTGACAGGGAGTGAAGTAGTTGATCGCTTCACTCATCTCGCCAGTCCCATCAGTGCTGATGGTCTGACGAAATCTCAGCACCGATACACAAGGCTCGATTAGCTTTCGCTAACTTGCGTGAACTATGGCTCAGGCGAGATATGCGTTTGGTAACCAATGGACGAGTGTACTGTGCATTAGTTCGCTTCGTCCTTCTATACGGATGTGAAACATGGCAGGTGAGAGTAAAGGACATTTGTAAATAGCTGATTTTCGACCAAAGGTGTCTCCCAAGCATTGCTCGCATATCCTGGGACAGCCGAGTAAGCGATGCAATAGTTAGGAAACGAGTTCTAGGTAGGGATGGCAGATCAATAGATGAAGTAGTGAAGCCCCATCAGTTCAGGTGGTTGGGACATGTTTTACGAATGCCCAACCACCGACTGCCTCGACAAGCTATGTTTTGTGGTGTAGGAGTAGGTTTAGAGAAAGCTAGAGGCGGCCAGTCCGAAATATGGCAGAAATCCATGAAATCACTAACAGGATTACTGAGTTATGTTGGTAGATGTAGGCTACCTGGTTGGGGCCCGCGAGACCAAAGTAACCGATGGTTAGAGACCTTAAACGACATGGCTCAAAATCGTTTCCGATGGTGCAGGTACATCCACTCTTTGTGTTCTCTCAGTTTCTAATCTTCTGAATTCCTCATGACTGTTTCTCTTTTTTAATTGATTCCTCTGGAGTATACATCCCGAATAATACATTCGATCATTAATCTTTCTGATCACTGCTATTACTTCTACCACATCTACTACTATGAGATTTGAATTGATAATTGCGTCTCTGTGCTGATGTGGTACGTTCGTACGATGCTCTACGTTGTAAATGACTGACTGTTACCGGTAACTCTGGAATTCACCCCAGCATTTTCAGCCCACTGTGTGGATGGAGTTTGGCAACCTGAACTGATTTACGTAGGTACTAGGTCTTACGTTGTGATTAATCGGATGATTGGCTTTCGTTCGCCCTATAATTTGTCGAAACCGTAACTAGTTCTCTGATTTTCTTGTCGGATTAGATAGATATGCTTTCTTTTTAAGTTTAAAAATTTGCCAACATTATGTTTATTACTGTATTTGCATGTTGATAGATGTTTTGTGTTTGTTGAATAGTTACTTTTATGCTGTCATTGACTTCGAATGTTCACCTGTAACTAATACACTAAATATGTTGAAAAATAAATCAATCGCTTATCCCTTTTAAATCAATTTACTAAATTCATGTATAACAAGTATTTTGTTTCCCATTGTCCATGATATTGATCAATTTTCGCACGGAGATGAACAATAACTTTTTTCTCCAGTATGTTGTGATGTCTAACCTTATTTTATTCGTTTTTAGCACGGCATTAGTTACTTTGTCCGGTTAAGATTATATGTGTTCTACTACGAAATATGCTGCTTTTTAGTTATACATTTGTTGTTACTTTTTATTTGGTCCAAAATAAAGCGCACCTAGAAACCCTTCTTAAAACGAATTAATAAAAAGTTATGATATCTTACTAGCGGTAATAAATTAATTTCGTTAATATTCACAGTAGGACTGATTTGATTCGCTTGTATTGTTCATAGTAATCACTAACGGATTACTTTCAAAAAGCCATGAACAATGGAAAGTTTTCCATAACAGTGTTATAATTCCCTCGTATTACAACCCAGCTATCCAAAATGCTTAGTGTTCTCAGACGCCAATTCACTCGAAACTATCCACCCAAATCAGAACATGGTTGAATAAGATAAAGATTATGTTCCAATGACAAGGTTAGATGGAAAGTAAGAAGCTCTTTAGGAAAAAAGAGCGTTAGTATATTTATAGTTTTTACATGAGAAGATTCTCGAATGTTCCTCCAGTATCGACTAGCGCTGATTGGATATGAAAGAGCCAATTAGCGTGCAATAACGCAATTGTGTATAGGGCATGCCTTAATCCGATCTATGTCCTGCCAACAGGCAGAAATGTCAATCCGTCCTGCTACAAACCTATCAAGTGTAGTGCAGTCGATCACGACAAAAATTGCCATAACTATGTCACACTTCTAATCAATCCTATCACAAATATTATTCCAAGATATTTGGAGTTTAGTGACTAGATGCACGAAAACAAAATCGTTATTACTGATTACGAGCAAGCATTTAAGAAGTTTCTGTATCTGAGTCGGACGCCATGGAACACAGCAGAAGGTTGTTGTGTTATCGACACCATCCTTGATTCTGATCTTATTCTTTTCAGAATGTTCTTTTTGACTGTACAATCTTCAGATCTCCTTAAAATTGCTTATGCAAAGTAATTTCTTTAATTCATTTTAAGGAAACTAGTCGACGCTTGGAATATATTCCAGAAGCTTCTTATATAAAAACTGTAACGAGACTAAGGTTGTCCCTATTTCACCTTCTTACTTCCATTTAACCTTGCTATTTGGAATAAAATCTTTTTCCTGCTGAACCGTGTTCTAATTTGGGGACTTGTCGAGTGTATTGTTGTCAGCAAATACTAAGCAATTGGAATAGCTGGGTTCACAAAGAGAGATTTCTAACACTTTCAGTCTAATACATAAACTTGAAATTAAATCACATGTCATATTTATTGTATGGTGTGTTTAATACCAGTGATTTTATATTTGGTTTCTTTTCTTTTCTTTTCTTGTTATTAGCAAACAGAAGTTCAACAACACAAACTAACACCAAATGAACGACATGATTGTGAAGTTATAGGTAAGTTCAATAATATATTTTTATTGTTAGAACTTGTAAAATAATATTTTTTTTTCATTGATTTTTTACACTTGACGTACATGTTATGTTGCAGATTTTAACTCATACGCTTAAATCTTTTTGATATTGATATTTCATACTCAAAGATAAAAACATATACTAGACTATTTAATTCCGATGACATGTCACACTTGAAAACTTTTATATCAACTCAACTGTTATCAGTTTTTACAGTCTTGAAAATTTCACGGCTATTTTAAAATTGATAGGGAGACGATTTAGTCTCAGTTAACTTTCGTGAGACCTTGTTAAATATTACTGTATCCAAAAAGTATCAGGATCTAACCTGTTGAGATTACAAATCACTAAAATGGAAATACATTCTCATGGAAAACTACTGGAAAAGCATGAATAACCTTAAAATATTGTATTTCAAAATTTTATCTTAACCATTATCAGCTATCACACCCCTAACTAATTGTTTGTTACTGTTAAGACTGTACTAAGCGAACAGTTCTTATTTAATTTCTAGATGTTTAACAAAATACTCAACTTTCAAACACCTTCAGTAACTAAAGCAAATACGTAGTTACATCACCAAGTTTCTACTGCTTTGAACTTTAAAGGTCCATTCATTATCGCACTAAACTAGTTAAAATTTGGTAAAATTACGTATTATGTTCTTGGTCTACTTATTCTGAATGTGAAAAAGTTAAGAAAAGCACAATATTACTTTTATGTGTTTTATCGAACTACTCAGCGTGGTCAGTTTAAGATTTTTCTATAAATAGATTTGGTCAAAAATAGGTTACACATGTTAAATTCCTTTCCTCACAAATTTTCTTGTTAACTAATGCTTTTAGTAAGTGACCAAGGTTGACTGGTCAGTAGTTCATGTTCTTTTAACTGTTATACCGCTTAATTACCACTAATATAGTAACCTAAATTACGATACATCTTTCCTCATGTATAAATCCACATAAAGTGTAATCATTGTTCTTAACAGAAAGAACATAAATCCATTTATTTCTCTTGATCTTTCCAACTGCTCACATCTTAGAAATGATGGTACTAATAATTTGTAACGAAAATACATAATATTATCGATTTTTGAAGCTTTTAACTACATGATTAAATAATGCGTTGAAACTCTGTGAATTGCAACACGAATCACAATTTGGGTAGGCTCATATATAATCAAAGAAAGATGCTTCCTAAAATCAATGTATATAGTTATTAACAACAACATACGATGATAATAATCGATGGTTAGAGACCTTGAATGACATGGCTCAAAATCGTTCGCAATGGCTCCGTTGCATTTACTCTTTGTGTTCTCTCAAATCCTAATCTTCTGGATTCTTCAACACCTCTAGTTGTGACTTTCTAAACTTTTCTCATTTAATCATACTTCATGAATAATATCTTCTCATCCTAACCTCTCCGATTACTTCTAATACCTTTACTACCTCTTCTACTATTGGATTTGAATTGACAATTACATCTCTGTGCTGATGTGGTATGGCGACATGAACTGATGTACTTATGTACAAAGTTCTACGTTGCATCTGACTGACTGACTGACAACATACGATAACCTATATGACAGCTAATTGCTTCTTCGGAATCACTATTGGTGACTATATCAAAACGAGAACGAAGAACAGACTTCCAACAAATACACTAAGATTGGAAGTAATTGTTGCAAGTATTAAAAAGATCCAATTTCAATAATAAAGACCCTAAATTTGATAAGTTTGTGTAAATACTAGGAAATATTCCATCACGAATGGATGTACCACACCATAAACCTATAGGTTATTTCCAAAACATTTGGAAACAAGCTTCTCGAAAGTAAAAATGGTTATTAAAGATTGAACAATAAGAACTACAAATCAATACATTCTGAGTGAAATAAGTAGGACTCAGAAAAGATGCAAAGTATAGATAAAGTTATCTAGAGTATGTATTGGGATGTTGTAAATTTCATAATGAACACATTGTTGACATTTCGAAATCTCTCAAAATAATCAATGTGTAAACAACTCATTTTTTACGATTTACCAAATCTGTCTTCATTCAAAGGCTAAAATCGAATATGGTTGTTATTCTCTTACTATAAACGTAAAAGGTTTGTTATTGTTGGCTTTTTTTTTGAAATAATGGTTATATTATTGAAAATTCAAGTACTATTATCATATATTTTATTGGTGTTTCATTTTCTCTCTAGGTAAACTTATTCGATCCTATTTTTTAATTGTTCGTAAGAATATTCAAGATACCGTTCCAAAAGCAATCATGCATTTTCTAGTGAATTTCGTTAAAGATAACTTACAATCAGAACTTGTCGGTAAATTGTACAAACAAGATGAGTATACTACATTGTTACAAGAAAGTGAACGAGTAGCTCAGCGCCGAAGAGAGGCTTCCGAAATGTTGAAAGTAAATAACTTCTTTTTGATGCCCATTATTTTTACTATAGTACAATCTTTCTTAAATTGCATTTTTTTTGTTTCACTAATAGTTTGTTTTTCGCTTTGGATATTGAGTTTTTACATTTGATTGTCTGTTAATTTATTTACACAATAATTGACGATCAGCGGAATGTTTCAGAAATGTTCACTCTTTGTCCTCGTATATAGACCTTGAGTTTCAAAATTGTCATATATTTATTCCGTAAACTCACTCCGTCGAATCATATTGCCCATGTACAACGTTTTGTACTACCACTGATACTGTTACTTTGTCATGTATCTTGATAACTTTGTATCTCTATGTTAATATGTTATGGTGCGTATGTCCTTGTTGACGATTGACTGATATAATCGGAATTAACATCTCTTGTATTGTTATAATATTACTTTTGCAAGATCATGTGTTGTATGCTCTGAAACTACATTGGTTTAAGTTCCTATTGTCATATGGTCCTTTGTTCCCCAACTTAAATGATAAAATAAACACTTAGCTAAAAATATTGCAGAAAGACAGCTACCATTGTTCATCTACACAGCTAATTTTGATGATTTATTATTTTGGTTAGTTTACACAGTAAATTTCGTAACAATGAAATGAAATTAGAAAAATTAATATTCTCAATGCATTTATCAATATCTAACCGCTAGATTCACTTCGACTCAAAAATGTATTGACACGACTCCCAGCTTAAAATGTCCGAGTAGCAAAAAGATTAGACAGGATAATATGAAATTGTGAAAACCTGGGCATAAACATTTTGAAAATCGTAACATATGACACCAAAATGTATTTCTTGTGATAAAACGACTATAGTCCCTAAGGAGTCTTTCACCTTTTCAGTGAAATTATTACAACAAGCCTTATGATGGTTAAAAAAAATAATTGTACAGCTATTTTCTTATTTGCTATTGCATAGTTTGTTAATTCTGTAACTGTATATTTCAACTAATTTATAAAATAACACCTTCTAGTATTAGAATTACTCTATTCACTTTGACCTCTTAATTGCTCTCTTCGTAGTTACTTTCATAAAACCTTTTTGAATAAGATAATCTCGCTACCGCTTAATTGTTATTCGTGTAATTATTATTAGAATTCGTTTATCTTCATGGCAATTTATCCTGTTTTGTGAATGTTTCCAAAATCTTCATGTTTCAAACTGTAAAAAGTAAAATGAGAACAGACGCTGATTAATATAGTTTTATGATAATATCTTATTTATACAAAAAAATAGTCTGGTTTTATTCTGTGTTATATAATATAATTAGTTATTTCTTAATTTCATTAATATGTTGTTAAAATCTCTTCTTTTAGGCTCTTCAGAAAGCCAGTATGATCATCGGTGAAATTCGTGAAACACATTTATGGTGATGAATTCCATTTGTATCATGGTTTAATTTTCAACTATAACTGTAGTTTATATGCTTCTTTTTTCCTTGTTTCTCATATCATTTCCTGTTGATTAAAAGTGTACCTATAGGCTTCTGAGCTATTCATACAAGTACACTACATCTGTCTATACATCAATTCTTTTGTCCTATTTATTCAACTGTTCTCATTTCCATTTTGACTATTATTTTATAATTCTTATCTGTTGTTACCTTTACTACTATCAATACTAATAGAACTACTACTTTAACGAACGCACACCAAAACTATGATCCATCATCTCAAAAACTAACCTAGCATAATAAATAACCTATGAAGAATATACTGTTTAGTAGTTGATATGACTGATTATTAGTCTGTGTTGTTTTTATGCAATTCTCGTTGTTTCGTTGCTTAGACTGATAATTCTTTTTTTAAACATTAGGAAAAGTATATATCGCTATTCATCTGTGTTTGTAAAAAAGACTTCTATGTTGTACTTCCTCAATAATTGCAAATGTAATTATATGACAAAATGAATAATATTAAAAATGTAATCCCAATTCTACAAACTTTCCATTCTCCCGGTTTTTTTAATTATAAACCGTTCATTTCTACTTAAAATTCTTTATAATCCATAAACCGACACTGATTATATTACAAAATAGTCTCGCGTCCAACCAACGAACACTTGGTCGGTGGAGGTCAGTTCGATGAGTTCGACGTGGGCACGAATATGCTTAGCTCCGGTAACAGTGACATGAACCAAGCGACACAACAGCTGATCTGTGTGTTGTTCTGTGGTGAGTATTGAATGCTGGTAGGAAGTTGCGTGAGAACTCGCTCGGTGTCACCAACTGGAGTGTGGTGTTGTCTTCCGATTGAGAGGAAAGATCTCCTCCGAGGTGTTAGGACATGTGGGTGACGCCGGCTAGAGAGGATGAGTTCCGCGTTCGAGGACCCGGTCCATCGTCAACTCACCTGCGAGGTCACAACCGACAGTTTGTCCAGAATATTGGTATGCAGTCGTTTTGTCGGTCTTGAGGATTGGAGAAGCGACTGCTAGGCATCAATCGATGAGGCGGGTGTGTGTATTGCGGATGGGATTGTACAACTCTGTTCAACAGGCAGTTATGCACATGATGTCGGTTGAGCGAGTAATGTTGATTTGTGCAGAACGATTCACGCGAAGCATGTGTTAGCGATGATTTTGGTATTAGTGCAAAACCGTTGAGCCCGACGTGATTCGAACACGCAGCCTTCTGATCTGGAGTCAGACGCGCTACCGTTGCGCCACGAGCTCGCTCCGGTCGCGCACCCATACCATCATCACTACAACTGAACTCCTCCTACCTCCTACACATCATCCTCTAACGATTGTCCCTTCGTCCACTTACACCGACAAACAAATTGTCACTAAGCAAACAACTATCAACACAACACACACATCACAACCAGTAGGCGCATCTACCCATTCCATCAGTAAACTACAACTCTACACCATAACCAATTGTCCACACAACACAAACGCACAAACGAGCAAACAACTAGACCAACAATCACTCCCCAAATCAACACAACTATCCAACAGCCTGTACGACCAATCAACAACACCGCATACTAACACAGCTATTCTTTCGTTCATTCAAACTACTATACAACCAATCGGTCGATCGACCGATCAAACGGTCAGTTAATCAGCCAATCATTCACTCACCGTAATGTCTGTTCATATTGACTGTCTTCACCAGTCTGACTGAAGGGGAACAGCTCTGCACACTCGAATGCCCATTTGTCGATCACTCGCATCACTTGCATCACCATCATGTGCCCTCCGACACATCATGAATTCATCGTTCCATCGAACTAGTCGTGCTCCGATCTGTTCCGGTGAATACCGGTCTCTCGAGAAGTGTGACTGTACAGTGAACCAACAGCATCAGCAATAACAACAACAAAGCTACACCGTCACCAGCCTCATCATCATTCAATCATTCCTGTCAGACACAAGCGTATTTTGCTGTGCAGTGACTGACTGACCATGCAACATATGCAATTTCAAGCAACCCGCAAATAACATGTGGATGACTGGATTCAACTTGTCGCTTCCAACCAACGAACACTTGGTCGGTGGAGGTCAGTTCGATGAGTTCGACGTGGGCACGAATATGCTTAGCTCCGGTAACAGTGACATGAACCAAGCGACACAACAGCTGATCTGTGTGTTGTTCTGTGGTGAGTATTGAATGCTGGTAGGAAGTTGCGTGAGAACTCGCTCGGTGTCACCAACTGGAGTGTGGTGTTGTCTTCCGATTGAGAGGAAAGATCTCCTCCGAGGTGTTAGGACATGTGGGTGACGCCGGCTAGAGAGGATGAGTTCCGCGTTCGAGGACCCGGTCCATCGTCAACTCACCTGCGAGGTCACAACCGACAGTTTGTCCAGAATATTGGTATGCAGTCGTTTTGTCGGTCTTGAGGATTGGAGAAGCGACTGCTAGGCATCAATCGATGAGGCGGGTGTGTGTATTGCGGATGGGATTGTACAACTCTGTTCAACAGGCAGTTATGCACATGATGTCGGTTGAGCGAGTAATGTTGATTTGTGCAGAGCGATTCACGCGAAGCATGTGTTAGCGATGATTTTGGTATTAGTGCAAAACCGTTGAGCCCGACGTGATTCGAACACGCAGCCTTCTGATCTGGAGTCAGACGCGCTACCGTTGCGCCACGAGCTCGCTCCGGTCGCGCACCCATACCATCATCACTACAACTGAACTCCTCCTACCTCCTACACATCATCCTCTAACGATTGTCCCTTCGTCCACTTACACCGACAAACAAATTGTCACTAAGCAAACAACTATCAACACAACACACACATCACAACCAGTAGGCGCATCTACCCATTCCATCAGTAAACTACAACTCTACACCATAACCAATTGTCCACACAACACAAACGCACAAACGAGCAAACAACTAGACCAACAATCACTCCCCAAATCAACACAACTATCCAACAGCCTGTACGACCAATCAACAACACCGCATACTAACACAGCTATTCTTTCGTTCATTCAAACTACTATACAACCAATCGGTCGATCGACCGATCAAACGGTCAGTTAATCAGCCAATCATTCACTCACCGTAATGTCTGTTCATATTGACTGTCTTCACCAGTCTGACTGAAGGGGAACAGCTCTGCACACTCGAATGCCCATTTGTCGATCACTCGCATCACTTGCATCACCATCATGTGCCCTCCGACACATCATGAATTCATCGTTCCATCGAACTAGTCGTGCTCCGATCTGTTCCGGTGAATACCGGTCTCTCGAGAAGTGTGACTGTACAGTGAACCAACAGCATCAGCAATAACAACAACAAAGCTACACCGTCACCAGCCTCATCATCATTCAATCATTCCTGTCAGACACAAGCGTATTTTGCTGTGCAGTGACTGACTGACCATGCAACATATGCAATTTCAAGCAACCCGCAAATAACATGTGGATGACTGGATTCAACTTGTCGCTTCCAACCAACGAACACTTGGTCGGTGGAGGTCAGTTCGATGAGTTCGACGTGGGCACGAATATGCTTAGCTCCGGTAACAGTGACATGAACCAAGCGACACAACAGCTGATCTGTGTGTTGTTCTGTGGTGAGTATTGAATGCTGGTAGGAAGTTGCGTGAGAACTCGCTCGGTGTCACCAACTGGAGTGTGGTGTTGTCTTCCGATTGAGAGGAAAGATCTCCTCCGAGGTGTTAGGACATGTGGGTGACGCCGGCTAGAGAGGATGAGTTCCGCGTTCGAGGACCCGGTCCATCGTCAACTCACCTGCGAGGTCACAACCGACAGTTTGTCCAGAATATTGGTATGCAGTCGTTTTGTCGGTCTTGAGGATTGGAGAAGCGACTGCTAGGCATCAATCGATGAGGCGGGTGTGTGTATTGCGGATGGGATTGTACAACTCTGTTCAACAGGCAGTTATGCACATGATGTCGGTTGAGCGAGTAATGTTGATTTGTGCAGAGCGATTCACGCGAAGCATGTGTTAGCGATGATTTTGGTATTAGTGCAAAACCGTTGAGCCCGACGTGATTCGAACACGCAGCCTTCTGATCTGGAGTCAGACGCGCTACCGTTGCGCCACGAGCTCGCTCCGGTCGCGCACCCATACCATCATCACTACAACTGAACTCCTCCTACCTCCTACACATCATCCTCTAACGATTGTCCCTTCGTCCACTTACACCGACAAACAAATTGTCACTAAGCAAACAACTATCAACACAACACACACATCACAACCAGTAGGCGCATCTACCCATTCCATCAGTAAACTACAACTCTACACCATAACCAATTGTCCACACAACACAAACGCACAAACGAGCAAACAACTAGACCAACAATCACTCCCCAAATCAACACAACTATCCAACAGCCTGTACGACCAATCAACAACACCGCATACTAACACAGCTATTCTTTCGTTCATTCAAACTACTATACAACCAATCGGTCGATCGACCGATCAAACGGTCAGTTAATCAGCCAATCATTCACTCACCGTAATGTCTGTTCATATTGACTGTCTTCACCAGTCTGACTGAAGGGGAACAGCTCTGCACACTCGAATGCCCATTTGTCGATCACTCGCATCACTTGCATCACCATCATGTGCCCTCCGACACATCATGAATTCATCGTTCCATCGAACTAGTCGTGCTCCGATCTGTTCCGGTGAATACCGGTCTCTCGAGAAGTGTGACTGTACAGTGAACCAACAGCATCAGCAATAACAACAACAAAGCTACACCGTCACCAGCCTCATCATCATTCAATCATTCCTGTCAGACACAAGCGTATTTTGCTGTGCAGTGACTGACTGACCATGCAACATATGCAATTTCAAGCAACCCGCAAATAACATGTGGATGACTGGATTCAACTTGTCGCTTCCAACCAACGAACACTTGGTCGGTGGAGGTCAGTTCGATGAGTTCGACGTGGGCACGAATATGCTTAGCTCCGGTAACAGTGACATGAACCAAGCGACACAACAGCTGATCTGTGTGTTGTTCTGTGGTGAGTATTGAATGCTGGTAGGAAGTTGCGTGAGAACTCGCTCGGTGTCACCAACTGGAGTGTGGTGTTGTCTTCCGATTGAGAGGAAAGATCTCCTCCGAGGTGTTAGGACATGTGGGTGACGCCGGCTAGAGAGGATGAGTTCCGCGTTCGAGGACCCGGTCCATCGTCAACTCACCTGCGAGGTCACAACCGACAGTTTGTCCAGAATATTGGTATGCAGTCGTTTTGTCGGTCTTGAGGATTGGAGAAGCGACTGCTAGGCATCAATCGATGAGGCGGGTGTGTGTATTGCGGATGGGATTGTACAACTCTGTTCAACAGGCAGTTATGCACATGATGTCGGTTGAGCGAGTAATGTTGATTTGTGCAGAACGATTCACGCGAAGCATGTGTTAGCGATGATTTTGGTATTAGTGCAAAACCGTTGAGCCCGACGTGATTCGAACACGCAGCCTTCTGATCTGGAGTCAGACGCGCTACCGTTGCGCCACGAGCTCGCTCCGGTCGCGCACCCATACCATCATCACTACAACTGAACTCCTCCTACCTCCTACACATCATCCTCTAACGATTGTCCCTTCGTCCACTTACACCGACAAACAAATTGTCACTAAGCAAACAACTATCAACACAACACACACATCACAACCAGTAGGCGCATCTACCCATTCCATCAGTAAACTACAACTCTACACCATAACCAATTGTCCACACAACACAAACGCACAAACGAGCAAACAACTAGACCAACAATCACTCCCCAAATCAACACAACTATCCAACAGCCTGTACGACCAATCAACAACACCGCATACTAACACAGCTATTCTTTCGTTCATTCAAACTACTATACAACCAATCGGTCGATCGACCGATCAAACGGTCAGTTAATCAGCCAATCATTCACTCACCGTAATGTCTGTTCATATTGACTGTCTTCACCAGTCTGACTGAAGGGGAACAGCTCTGCACACTCGAATGCCCATTTGTCGATCACTCGCATCACTTGCATCACCATCATGTGCCCTCCGACACATCATGAATTCATCGTTCCATCGAACTAGTCGTGCTCCGATCTGTTCCGGTGAATACCGGTCTCTCGAGAAGTGTGACTGTACAGTGAACCAACAGCATCAGCAATAACAACAACAAAGCTACACCGTCACCAGCCTCATCATCATTCAATCATTCCTGTCAGACACAAGCGTATTTTGCTGTGCAGTGACTGACTGACCATGCAACATATGCAATTTCAAGCAACCCGCAAATAACATGTGGATGACTGGATTCAACTTGTCGCTTCCAACCAACGAACACTTGGTCGGTGGAGGTCAGTTCGATGAGTTCGACGTGGGCACGAATATGCTTAGCTCCGGTAACAGTGACATGAACCAAGCGACACAACAGCTGATCTGTGTGTTGTTCTGTGGTGAGTATTGAATGCTGGTAGGAAGTTGCGTGAGAACTCGCTCGGTGTCACCAACTGGAGTGTGGTGTTGTCTTCCGATTGAGAGGAAAGATCTCCTCCGAGGTGTTAGGACATGTGGGTGACGCCGGCTAGAGAGGATGAGTTCCGCGTTCGAGGACCCGGTCCATCGTCAACTCACCTGCTTG